CAAGGCAGAAAGAAAGATTATTATATTTTATAATTATAATATAACAATTATAGTTTATCCTGGTGCTTTATATAAATTTAAACTAAACTCATCCCATCTATCAAATGTTAATTCTAATCTTATTGAAAGCCTGAAATGCACAGCACAAATGAAGTCTGCAGTCCCATTTCAAAAATGCTAAAACACATCCTGCATGGCATGACTCACAAAGTTCATTTTCCAACACCTCTTGGAGCACACTTCTTCCATTCACTATTCATTTTGTTGCAGGCCAGGGACTGTTTTATATAAAATGGAGGAAATCTACAAAATAGGCAGACTTACCAGATTGTAGTCCAGAGAAATGTAAAGAAAAATATTTTGCAATTATGCAATGTTGCAATTTCTTCTTTTAGTTTGTGTGTGGAGAGAGTTTAATAATTCTTTCTTCCTTTTCCTCTCCCAACCAGACAACTCCTCCCCAAAGTCCAACAGTAGCAGTGTTGGGAAATGAGGGATTGAAGTAAACACAAATGTACACAAAAGAAAAAGAAAAAGCATTGCAGAGCTGTTGCTAATTAAACAACTTTTTGAAACTATTCAACCTGTTGGTAATCACACATCTGGATGTGGGGGTAATCAGTTTCTGAATTTCCCCCAAATTTTCCACTATGGGTTTTTTATTTTAGCAAACCACCTGAGAACTATTTTACTGTCCCTTGCAGATTATGAAATGGCTCCTTTGCAACTTTGGGTGAAAGATACAAATGGGATATTTTACTGTGGTATAGTTACTTTTCAACTGTTGCATACTGAGGCCACTATTCTATTACTGTTTTTTTTTAAAGGAAGAACATTACATAAGAAACCCACTAGAAGAATGCCTTTCAGTTTTCCAAGTATCAAGAAGACTTTAGCTAGAGATATGGAAGGGAAGCTCATGTAAAAATTTTGGAAATAGGATTGGGGATAAGATACAGGCTCTTAAGTCTGTCATACAAGGTGAGGAAGCAGCTCTGTATGCACCTCTTTGCATTATGTCATTACAAATTATGCATCATGTATAATAGACATTCTTGTTGTTTACAAAGCTACCTGGTGTTGTGATGGGCTTATTGCATCTGTACCCTCTTTCTCTGGGTTGAATGAATGATTATCAGCTGACGTGTCCATCTGAGAAATCTGAGACATTGCATGGAAATGCAAAGGATGCTTATATTACATTCCTTATTTCCTGCCTTTATCTTCACTTGTCTTTAGAAGACAGCCAATGCCGTTGATCGGCAATGCCTTTCTGATGCCTTCAACATGCACTCCAGAAGAATACTGCTTTGGTTAATACCTGGCTGTATGCATAAGGTGGGGTAATCTCAAACTTGCAAGCAGTTTCCTGAGAACAATCCTATTTGCTTTTAGCAAACCTTGCCTTTGTTTGATATGAGGGAGTGGATTTGCAGATCCATGCATAAACATAAGCAGACACATTTTATCAAAGTTTTTTCTTAAAGGAAATATATAAAGAAAAAAGGAGAAGAGGGACAGATTTCACACTTCAACCATTTTTTTCTGCTGTGTAAAAGAAAAGATGTAAGGAAGAAAAAAATGAAAATAATATAATAACTGAAGATACTGATTAGTCTCCATATCCTCATCCCTAATATATATTTTATTAGATTATAAATCTGTAGAAAGGACTGGCCTTACTTAAAGAGTTTTAATAAAGTAGTTGTTGAGGTTAAATAACAATAAAAATGTAGAACTGTATTGTAATTAAATATCTGGTCCATATTAAACTTCCCAAATAGGGTAAACATCAAGTTTTTAAGTTCCTACTGAGAACATCTGGACAGAGATTACAGAGATCATCCTGGTTTCAACACAAAATTGTATCCCTACCTTCTATCCTATGAATAGAAATTGTGGAATTTCTATTCATTGTTATTGCTATTTCTCATTTACACGTACAGATTTATGTAATGGTTGCATTTAGTTATTGTATTCTTCCTGTTGGGGGGGCACTGCATTTAATCACTCTCCTAGTTTCTCATATCAGTACTATTCTAAGCATTTCTTCTGAAACCTGATTAGAATATACATGTCTGTATGCTTATGTGTACTTGTGCACATCTAAAAAAAGCAGCTTCTGAGATGTTAAAGTGAATGAAAATTAATAACTAGAGGTGGTATTCAGCCAGTACTGTCAGGTTCTGGAGAATCGGTAGTCGAAATTTTGAGTAGTCCAGAGAACCAGTCAATACCACTTCTGACAGCCCCACCCCCATCTATTTGGTGCTTCCCGAGTCCCAGCTGATTGGCTGGGTCTTCTTTTGTTGCCCTGCACAAGAGAACAAAGCTGGAAAGCAGGTTAGTGGGGTGGAGAGGGAATGGGGGATTTTACAGTATCCTTTCCCTGGAGTGGGGTCAAAATGGAGATATTACAGTATCCTCCCCCTGCCATGCCCACCAAACCACGCCACACCCACCAAGCTACACCATGCCCACCAAGCCATGCCCACCGAACTGGTAGTAAATTTTTTTGAATACCACCACTGTTAATAACATAGTGAAATGGTGAGAATTAAAGAATCAAGTTTATAATAATCAGTAGAACAGAATTATTTAAAATCATTTTATGGCTGTAAATTGTAAGGAGCAGTTTAAATTCTCCATATGCTTTTTAAAAAGGTCACTGGAAGAGAGTTGTAAAGTCTAAGGCAAGACATTTGGGCAAAATATTATATTACTGACATTTGGGAAGGGGAAAACACATTAAAAATTTAAAAGGTAATTGAATAAAAGAGCTACATTCTCTTGGTCAGGAAAAATATATAAAAGACTCAGGATTTCTGGCACTGCCTAATTTTCCTTTATGTATTTTAAAGGTCTGCTTTTTCTGAAGGAGAGCACAAAATTGTAAACCTAATTCAAAGCCTGAGATGTCAATGGCTCTTTGCATACAAAGCTCCCCAACCAAGACATAAAATGCTCAAACACTAGTAGCACAGTATTACAAATAGTCTAATCGTTTGCCTGTCTGACGTTCAGAAGCATAGACCACTAACATGAAGATAAAAATTTGGAGCAGAAACTAGTGATTTGACTAAAACTTGTCAAAAAAACCTAAGACAGGTCAAAATATATTAGTTTCAAATTGCAAACTGCACCTTAACTAGCTAAATGGATCTATTCCTATAGAGTTGTTAAAGCCTCACCTTCTGCTACTGATGTATGAGTTCTAATGCCATCATTTATGAGATCATAACTGAAGAATGATGGAGTGCCTGGCATTGGAGGACTACAAAGCAATGCCAACCAAGCAAGTTTAGAGCTGCTCTTCAGACAACTGAAAAACATTTAAAAGGAGCCCAATGATTTTTCTTAAAGGTATCAGCAGCATATTATAATTAAGAATTCACCAAAGCAAAGAATGCTTTGTTTCAAGACATTTTTTAAATGGGCACACATTCAAATAAATCAATGAAAATCCTGAAAAATTTGGTAAAACCAATGACATTATAGATATCAGCTAAAAATTTCAAAGTAGGCATCTTAATGTAGACATTAGAAAAATTATATTTCTAAAGATCAAATGTATTAATTTTTTTCCAAGTTTTTTATTTTATATTACTTATACATATCAATGTGTGAACAGTGTGATACCTCGGTACCATACATTTAGTACAGATAAACATAATATTTTAACTCATAGTTATTACATTTCATTTTCATTGTTTCATATTAAACATATCAAATACTACTGCCATTCAATTTCTAGACCTCCCTCTTATTATTACATAGATCTTATTATATTAAAATATGTATATTGTTGTTCCCCTCTTATTTCAATTTCTATTCTTTCTTATTTTTCCCATTGGTTCATTTAAGCATACATAACATTTCTTTTCACCATTATTTATTATCCCTTTATATTTGATATTTTAAAAATTACTCATTTTTCCACCATACTTTCAATTTCCCAAATATCCAACACTACTAATCAATCCAAATATTAACAGTATTCAATCAATCCGGGGAATACATCTTCAACTTCCCACAATTTCTAATCCTTAAAAGTTTAAAATTCTCAATATATTTTGACACAATTAATATTAATAATACAATTAAATTCCCTAATCCTAAGCTTCTAACTTCTACCCTTATTTTTAAATAAATTCTATTTTTCTATTCCTGTATATGCTACTGTTTTCCCTATTTATATTTTCTACTTTTCCATTTTACTAGTTTATTTTATCACTATTCATCATCTCTTGGTCTCTTAGGAGTTCCATTATCTGTTAACTTTTTAATCACCCTTTTTTCTCTCTCTTGGAAATTTAAAGTTTTTTATAATGTTTTAATGCCCACTAAATATTCCTTTTGAGTTGCCCTTTATCTCTTCTTGCTGCATCTGTTGAACATCCATCCATAAATCATTCTTTTTTTGAAGAGATTTTTGGTTTTTTTCTCTGAACTTTTACTTTTTTGAAGAGATTTTCCTTTTTTTCTCTATTCTGTTATAAACTTTTAAAATATTATCTGTTTGATTCCAACTTATCAGTCCTTTCTCTCTATTATCTTTATTTTCTTACATCTCCCTTTGATTTTTTTTTCTGGTGCTTTTTCTAATTTCTGATGTATTTCCCAAATATCTTCTTCTCCCCCCGCCCCCAATTATTGCAGGCCTTTTACACTGTTCTCTATCTTTAGGCACCCCCCTTGTCTCCTTATTGTGTTTTATAGCTTCATGCATATTTTTAAGCATCAAAATTATTTCTTCATATTCCTCTATTATCCCCTGGCAATCCATTTTATTACAATTCAGTAAAAGATTACTCAGTATACCTCCATAATTCCAACGGCTCAATATTTAAACACTCCCACCAATCCAGTTATCAGTAAGACCCCTAAATTTTTAAGAATCTTTAGTATTTTATAGTCTTTTAATTTTCCAATTGTTTGTCTTCCCAATTGTCCAAATTTTAAAGTCTTATTTAATTTTCCTTCTTTTCTCTTTCTCTCCCTCTCTTCTTCTTTGGTCTCGTGTGATGTTCTATCAGATACTATTAATAGTCCAAATCCAAATTAATCCATTGTGTTTTCTCCAATCTTTTGAGTCCTCAGTTCAATAACTAATTTCAATAGTATTTAATTATTAACAATTTAATTCATCTTTAAAATCTTCAAAAAGTGAAACTCAGTAGTTCAAAATATTCAAATCGCCTTCTGAGATAGAGTCAAGGTCAGTCCGCTTTCTTCTATTATGTGTATTAGATGTTCTTCACTTTCGTTAGAGGATGTAACACTGTTGTATTCTTCTTCTTTGGGTTTAGAAATTACAAATATGAAAGACAGCTCCTCCCAAGGATCACCTTTCAGGTTGTTCAGCTATTTTCAGCTATTTTCCAGGATTTCTATATTTTAAAGTTTCCTTTTAAGCATTCTTTTGCCTTTTAAAATAGCGTTGGTTTTTAAGTGGGTAATTCTAGCATTTAAAGAGTGCTAGATCGCTGCTGTTTTTTAAAAATAGTGAACCTCTCTTTTCCTGGATATTTTTTGGGGGTTAAAATACAAAGAATTCTTCTCACCTGGTTCACAGCTGTTCACCAAAATCCATCCCTGCAGTACTTAGATGGTCGTCATCTCTCCCAGCTTTCATGGCAGCCATCTTGGATTGCCTCTTCTCCTTGATGTGGTGTAGAGGGAAAAAGCCCCTGGGCTCACAGGAGATTGCAATCTCTCCTGCTACCTCAGAGAGCCCCTCCTTAGCTTCACTGCCCCTACAGGGCAGCTTTGACTCCTATTGGAGCCCACAAACAGGGAGAAAGCCAGTATAGGAACGGAGGTGACTGTTTGCTATGCCTGGTATCGCTGGGAGGCTCCACCCTCTTCCTCAAATGTATTAATTTCTGTTCTTCTTTAAATACTAATATGTGATCAAAACGTATTTCGTAATAATTTGTCGATGACCAGTGATTTCAATCAATATTTTTTTGCAATATTACTATAAAGAGGATGGAAATGAACTTTTTTTTATACTTAAAGTCACCATATTATCATCAGTTACTCTAGATAAGCAATCTGCTCGCTTCTGGATATATTGGGCTTACTGTTGCCATGCTAGTTAGGGATGAAAACTGGAAGATCAAAATCTCTAGAGAAATACAATTTACTATTTACCATATTTGGAATGATCAGGGTTTTTTTCTACAGAAAACATTCAAACTAGCTCAGCTGTAATATTGATCAATACAGCATCCTCTTACTTTGAAAAAATGCTTACAATTTGACTACTTGTTGTGGTTTTATTCAGATTTGTTTATCATATGAATATTTAAAAGAGGGAATCATACACCTTTACTGCCAGCTTCTTTCCAAAGCAATGGCATGCCTACAGGGCCTCTGTTAAAAAAAACACACCATCTCTCGGCTGCAAAAGTCAGTTCCTCCTCAACTGACTCCTCAACTCAAAATCAACACTGTTTTTCTGCCTATCAGGAACTGTTGGCACCCAAATACATTTATATTTCACTTATACCATTCTACCATCTGTAGTTATTTGACTGGTTTAGGAAGAAATCAATCATTTATAGGATTGTGCCTTCTTCCTTTAATAATTAGTGTTTGAAATCCATTTCCTATTGATTATAAAGCTCGCTCTACCATCTTTTGCAGAACAGAAACTATATAGAACAGCATCTTGAAAGCATAAAGCTTTGCAGATCGGGTGATCAGAAAAGTAAATAAAGGCATATTGAATATATCCATCTTCGTACAGTGAGAAACACAAGGATGTGTACATTGAAAAGAGCAAGTCAATTACATGGTGGAGAAAATGTACATAGGTGAAAGCAAATAACTCAGCAATATAATGACATTTACTCTATACATCCAATTGCTTCTGTGTTAACTGGATGATTCTATGTTTTCTATGTTCACCTTAAGAAAGCAAACCAAATGAAAGTAATATGTTTCAATACATTAACCTCTGTCAGAGACTATTTTAGTTCTAAGCAGACTGTCAGAGCACTGAAAAAATTAAGAGGACAAAGTATTTGATAGCTTGCCTAATTCAGACAGACATCACTATGACCAGGAGATTTCACATGTTGGAGTTTAATAATCATCATCATCATCATAACAACAATATTCAAAAACAACAATAGTGTGTGCATTGTATGCAAGGTCTGATATCAGTGCTTCTGGTTGGCCATTTGCTGTGTTAAGTGTCAGCAGGCTGAAGACAGAGGGTACAGTATGTGGATAAAAATCCCAGTTGTGACACTCTGAGAGGAAGAAAGGCAAAGGCAAAGGGCCAGGGAAGGTTCAGAATCGGACAAAGGTAGCATCTATCTGCCGGACGGATGGAAGAGCCAGCATGATTTTGCGACGGTACTGGGGATCCTTCTGGAGAGGGTTTCGTTCTAGATAGACTGTTTCCAACTTCTTGGCTCCTTTCAGCTCATCTAAGTCACTCCAGCATTCAATAAGATTATCATTCATCTGAGAAACACAGAGAAAATAAAAATTGCTAGAAGTTTAAGACATAGGTTAGTAACTGTTCATAGCTGTCATCATTATCTCATGCTCCGATTGCAAGAAAAAATTCTTGAATAGGTGAAGCTTATTCTGCCTCATCACCAATTCTTTGGTGATATGAGTGATGGTGCCTCTGGAGGGGGAACTAGGGTGGTGAACTACAGTGAAAAGGCAGTTCCCAGGAAGAAGGGAACATATTCCAGAAAGGAGAGTAAGACAAGAGGCAGTGCAGCCCAGAGCTGGATAAGAGACAGAGAAAGTGGGTAAGGATAACCACTCCCTATAATCTCCCACGTTATATCCGTTAGGGTTTGAATAGTAAGATGTTGTTTGCTATGTGTAAACAAATAAAGAACTGTTCCACATTCTTGTGCTTAGCCTGAGAGGTCCTGAAACTAGAGTCCTGTGCATTAACTATGGGAGCTCATGTACGCTCTGAAGCCCTTTTTTCATAGTAGATAGGAAACAACAGTGAAAATGAATGATTCCTTAAAAGTATTATCTATCAGGAGTTCACAATGTACTCACACTGAAAAATGAAAAATTCAATATGGACTTAAAAGAATGATATTTCTATTCTAAAATCTGCATACAAAAGAGAAAAACCATGATGCAACACCAAAAGCAAGGCTCACTCAACATCATGTAGGTCCTGAAGATGATAGTAACCTCCTCTTTGTTGGAAGTCTGATTGGCACTATTCCAAAGTACACAAAAGCTTATTCCAGCCTTTTCTATTGTGATATAATAGGAATCTTCCAGAATTACCAGGAAGCATGATCAGAAATTCTGAGACAAATAGTTCTAATATATTTAGATGGCACTGGGATGTGGAAAATTTATGTATGTTGTATTTTACTTGCTATGTGGATACTGTTAAACTCAACAAGCTAGTTAAGGAATCTTGTGGCCAGGTGGAATTTGTATTTTTACATCAACATCAACCTTTCATAATTTTACAGGACAGAAAAATGAAATATTATAGTATGGGCTTGTCCCACATGAGCAAGGATTTCATAAAGTGATTGGATAGCAATGGAAGGATTCATATTGAAGTAGCTCTCAACCCTCTAGAGCTGTGATGGCAAACCTATGGCATGCATGCCACAGGTGGCATGCAGAGCCATTTGTGCGGGCATGCAAGCCCCAGCCAAACTCACCTGCACTGCGCATGTGCGCACCTCCCAGCTGGTTTTTGGACTGTTTGAGGCCTTTTTCAGCCTTCCAGAGGCTTGAGGGAAGCCTCTGCAGTCTTTGGAGGCCAAAAAATGGGTCCATTTCATCACTTCCAGTTTTTGAGGTCGAAAAAAGGCCCTGTTTTTTGGCCTCCAAAGGCTGCAGAGACTTCCCTCAAGCCTCTAGGAGGCCAAAAAAAGGCCTCAAATGGGCCGAAAATCAGCTGGGAGGTGCATGCATGTGCAGTGCAGATAAGGGGGCAGCGGCGGGGAGGTTGTCCATGCATGCACAGGGGGGGTGCATTGCATTGTGGGTGCCAGCACACATGTGCTTTCAGCATACCACAACAAAAGGTTCGCCATCACTGCTTTAGAATAGTATGAGGAAGCCATTTAAAGCCCATCATAAACATAGGGGAATGAATCCCACTAGCAGAGAGAAGCATTTAATAGTATTTTCTCAGTCCGCTGCTGACAGAAACAACAGGGAAAGATGTTGTCAACTAAAGTTACTGCAGATTTTTCAGACTGCAGACTTACCCAAAATTCCTGGAGTTCTATTAGATGGGTGATATTTTCAATCTTTTTGATCCTATTGGCTGCAATGTCCAGCATTGTAAGTTTATTCTAAAACAAATGCATAGAAAACTGACATTAGTTTTCTCACATATTTTATACTCTTGCATAGAACATTATTAAAAGTTAAAGGATATGTCATGCAGCAACATACATAGAATTCAGCAGTTACATATTTGGGCCCTTAGTTGTCTTTCCCACCATAAACGTATTGATTGTTGGTACCCAACTACAGAAAAGGCAAAACTTTTTTCCCCTGATATCGCTAAATCTAAGTAACAAAACAGTTACTTAGTCCAGTTACTTGGACATAATTTTACTAAGGTAACACAGATCAGTTGGGACCCTCTCCATATTGCTTCATTGTGATTAAAATATTTCAAATGATTAAAATATTTATTTCCTTATAATATCTATTCTAGGCAAGAAGAATAAAGCAACCAAGAGATAAAAGAGATATATTTAATTCATGGAAAACTGAATCAAAGATGTTCTTTAAGAAGAGGATTAAACTTAAGAAACCTTTACATAAGATACAGCAATATTTTAAATTACATTTTCCTTTTTATAAATTTTCAGATGTATGAATATTAGGAAAGCATAACTTAATCTTTATTTCCACTAAAAAAGACACATTAACTCTTATTATTTAAACCAGAAGAGCAAAAGTGGAGATCCACATGAGACCTGCAGCTTCTGCTGCTTCAAATGACTTGTTCTCTCCCCTTTGTTCCTAAACTGCCTCCTTAATAACATCTTCCTTCAAGTCCACCCGCAAAACATACCCTTGCTTTGTTGTTGTTGTTAGTTGCGAAGTCGTGTCCGACCCATCATCGCCCCATGGACAACGTTCCTCCAGGCCTTCCTGTCCTCTACCATTTTCTGGAGTCCATTTAAGCTCACGCCTACTGCTTCAGTGACTCCATTCAGCCACCTCATTCTCTGTTGTCCCGTTCTTCTATTGCCCTCAATCTTCCCCAGCATTAGGCTCTTCTCCAATGAATCCTTCCTTCTCATTAGGTGGCCAAAGTATTTGAGTTTCAACTTCAGGATCTGGCCTTCTAAACAGCAGTGAGGGTTGATCTCCTCTAGGACTGATCGGTTTAATCGCTTTGCAGTCCAAGGGACTCACAGGAGTCTTCTCCAGCACCATAGTTTAAAGGCCTCAATTCTTTGGCGCTCAGCCTTTCTTATGGTCCAACTTTCACAGCCATACATTGCAACTGGGAACCCATAGCCCTTCCTACAAAGCCTCTAGTACAGCGCCCTAGTCATAATACTTTCTCTTACGGTATAGTAATGTTCTGGGGTCTCTTTATGCATTTGGAATTTTCAAAACATGTAGCAGGTGCTTTGTAAAATGGCTGATTGTGGGTACAGTTAATAAGAAAATATAGCTTATCAGAAGGAAAATTGGAGACCATCTTCTAGCATTCTGGATGTTTTTTATTGTCTCCTATATGTTAATTTTTTTCCTGGGCAAGCATGCCCTTAAACATACCATTTTTATTTCATAAGAATAACTTGAAGAAAGTATATGCCCTGAAGAAAGTATATGTGGTCACATTTATATCCAGACATACTCTATTCCTGCTTCAGTTTCTTAAATTATTTTAATACTTTTCTTCCTCTTCTCAAAAGTTTATATTTTCCTGGTCTTCCACTCTCATCTCTGCTCTATCTATTTCTACATGATAAACCTGTGATTTAGAAATTTGAGTAGTCCTTGGTGTTCTCTGAGCTTGGTGATTTTCTTATAGACATCTGGTTACTAAACTAAGTAACATCAGTGCTAGGAACTGACTAAGACAACCAAGCTCAGAGAGCATCAAGTACCCCACAGTTCAACTCTGGACTATACATATTCTCTTCTACCTGTAGAAATATGTCATTTTCTTTGCTTCTTTCATCTGGCCTCAACCATTTCCTGCCCAGATCTTCCAACCTTGCTGGAAGACTGCTATAAGCTCTCAAAGCCTTACCCATTTACTCTCAGGGCATTTATAAAACAGAGTAGAATAGGATTATACGTCTTCTTCATCTGACAACTTGGGAATTTTTATATCTTTTATACCTTTTCGCTCTACACATTCTGAAAACTTAGCTAAATGTGTCCCTTCTGGTGACTACATCCCTTTAAGTAGGTTCCCCACCTCTCTAACCTTTTCTCTTCTTGTCTCTCTCTCTCTCTCTCTCTCTCTCTCTCTCTCTCTCTCTCATTTTCCAGTCTAGCCTATTTTTCCTTTCTGTCTCCATGCAAAGATGCTCTCCTTCTTCTTTCTCAATTAATCAAAGTATTTTGTCTTGTTTTCATCTCTCTCTAATGATATTGGCCCAAGGATCTGGACCTAGCCCTGTTTCTGGTTGATCTACCTTCTGCTTTGGTTTAACCACAGGTCTAGGGTAGATACTTGTCTCTACCAAAGCCTCTTCTAAGGGAGAATCTGCTCCCTTTTCCGTGTCTGTTTGTGTGGTGGAGGCTCTGCTAAGTGGTCTGGTTTCTGCAGCCAGGATATTGGCCAATACCTGCAAAGTCTGAGCTTGTGTGGCTGCCACCTTGCATTGGATACCCCACCCTTTTATAGATATTCAACTTTTTTGGATATCCCACTGCTACCACTATTTTGTCACAGGTTCTTTTACATATACTTGAGTCAGTGGGTCCTACAAGCATAAAACGACAACAGCACAGATCCCAGGCAACACACACAAGCATTCACAGGCTGATACTGATCACTGTCACTCCCTCTTCTCCACTGCTACCACACCTCCTCCGACAAAAGTACCTCTTTATAGCTGCTTTATTCCCCGCAACACCTCCTTCTTTCTCTCCTATGTATCAACATCACTACCAACCATCTCTCAGCTCAGTGTTTATAGCCAACACTTGCTATGCTGGTTTGCAAGAGGGCTTAAAGAGGAAGGACAACAGCTGCAAAGGTGCTGGTTATTTTTTAGGCAACCTGCCCTCTCACAATGACTATCCGTTCTTTATGAAGTGCAATGTTCAAGAATAGTACTAAATACATAATAATAAAAAATAGCTCACGTTATTCTCCAGGCCCTCAATGACCTCTATACCATTATGGCTAAGGTACAGTTCTCGCAGATTTACCAGATTTTGTAGTCCTTCAATCTTTGTTAACCGGTTGCTCTGGAATAGGTATAAAATCTGGATTATTTCCATGTTGTAAGGATCATTCTAGTATCATCTCAGAATCACCCCTCCCCCCGAAAACAAAAACAAAAAAAACCCCACACTTGGAAGACATATCTAAAGACTTTGGCCCAAATACATTACTTTGCTCTTGTCATTTCCATTAATACTTTAACCCATTCCCTCAATTCCAAACCATATTTTTGTCTTTTGAAAGAAACTAGATGACTAGTACTAATTTAAATCTTTTCTGGTCAAAACTATGCATTATTTTATAACATTGAAGTAGCCAGATGGAATGCAATAGTTATCCTCCCAGGAAGCACATTTATGATTCTATTAAAGAAAAACATAATTTTCATTTAAATGATATTGTCTCATTTTTAAGGCTTACTGAACTTAAGGTTCTATGAAATCATATTATCTACTGGCATTTTAGGGAAAAAAATTAAGTATATACTTTAACAGGGTATTCTATGGCATAATTGCTGTAATTTTGGAGACAGCGATTCTGTGCGTGAAGGAAAAAAGCATACAATTTCAATGATAATTTAATAAAGGTCTGCAAAATAAACATTTAAATAAATATTTAAATTCAAAGTGATAACAGCATTTATAATTTCATTTTAGTTAGAAATTATGCAGACAGGAGAGGCAAATGTTAAATCATATAAGGACAATCAAAATAGAAAGCACAGGACTGGTACCTGTATGCTAAGCACTGTCAAGTTTGTTAACGCATCCAGGTTCTGCAACTTAGTGATTTTGTTTTTCCCCAGAAATAGGCTATCCAGGTTAGTCAGGGCATCGATATTCTGAATTGCCTAGAAAACAGCCATATTAAACAAGATTCCAATTTCTAACTCCTGCAAGCAACACGTCACCAACCTGTTTTATCTTTTAATATTGTTAAGCCACCCAGAGTCACCGTGTGGTGAGATGGGTGGTTAATACATTTTACAAATAAATAACCTCCAATATAGTCACCAGTAAACAACAATGTACCATAACTAGCAAATCTGTGTTGCCATACTTGTCCTTTTCTTCATGATTACATGCTTATATTTGTGAGATTATTCAAAACTCATGCGATATGACAGACTATTTGTACTTTCTATCAGCCAATTAAATTAAATGGACACAGCAAGCAAGCCATAGGAAAAGGATGAAAAATAGTGGCCTTCACATTTCAAAGTCTGTATTTTTTTTAATTTTCCTCACAAAGATGCTTTATAACAAATTTGCTGATATTTTTCTGCATTGAATCTGTATAGAATTTGCTTTGTTACAAAAGATTTTCATTGTTACTATATCTAGCAGCACAGTTCATCCATTACTTACAGAAAAAAAACACTCTTCCTAAAAGGAAAATCATGCTATATAAAAATCTCTGCAGCTGAAAATTTTCTGCAAATTGTTGTCATTTTATTTTGAAAGCATTGCCTTGATATTGGCTGACTCTTGTGCTGTTTAGAAACAAATCTTACCCTGATGCGATTAGATCCCAGCTCTAACATCTGCAACTGTTGTAAGTTGCTTAGGTTCTCAATTTTGCTGATTTTGTTGTTGACCAAGAAGAGTTTCTTTAACTGAGTGAGCTGATCCAAACCTTCAATGTTTCGTAAAATATTAAATGAAATATCTAAGATCCTAATAGGAAACAAAGAAAATAATTTCAAAAAACAAAAGCAGAGAGCTTCTATCATAGGATACAATCTGGGTTGGTCCCTGGGACCAGAGGTTTAGCCTCCCAAGTTTTTGGACTCGTGTTGGAGCCCATCATCAGGGAATTCCTCTCTACTGTAATGTGCACTTCGGGCTGTTCTATGCATCATATTAAGGGACCTGTTGGGTGTAGCTCCCTACTGGTTGATTGCTGTGTTGATGGCTGGCTATTGGCTGTTGTTTCCTTGTGCTGCCAAGTCCTTGGCTCCTAAGTACTTTATAAGCTGGTGGCAAATCAGCACAAGTGGCCTGTTTCAATCATTTCCCTGGGCAACTTTGCACCTGCTCGGCCAACAATCTTAGTAGTTATGAAATTGAATGTATGACCTTTGACGTATTTTGCTGCATTCTTTCTCATGTGTCCCACCCACATTTTATCCTGACCATTTCCCTATGAAGAACCAATATGCTCAAGAATGCATTTTTTTTCATGCCATTTTCTGCTTAAAAATTGCTATAATTAAATAAAAAAAACCAATAATTGATAAGCTAGACATTGAAATCTAACAAATAAATATAACATTTATTTATTTCCTGAGGATGGGCTCCAGCATGAGTCCAAAAACTCAGAAGATTAAACACTTGGTCCTGGTGACCGACCCAGACTGGATCCTGTAACAAATAAAGCAGGGCAAGAGAGAAGAATTGAAGGGGGGGGGGTCATCTCAATCACGATTCTTTACTTGCCTGACTTTCTCCCAATTGATGGTAGGGAAAGATGCTTCATTTCTCCAAACCTACACTAATCTCTTAAAGTGATACACTTTTCTCTTGATGCATTTTTTTACTAAGTAACCAGTCTGCATGAAGATCAATATATAAGTCCATCAACTTTATTTTTTTAAATAAAAACAATTTGGCAGCCTTTATGAAATGAACCAGCCAGTTTCCCATCAACCACTCAGATAGCGACCCACTGTTTATCCAGATACTTACTCAAGACCTGTCAAGGCTTCCAAGTTCTCAATCTTACGAATCTGATTGTCATAAAGATCCAACTCTTTGAGAATGTGCAGCTGTTGTAGGTTCTCAATGCACTTAATCAAGTTCTGTCGAAGACAAAGTGTCTAAAGAGAAGTAAAAAATTTTTTAAAGAACAATTATATTTAAAGATTCTTTCACCAAGATTCACATGGAGGACAATCTAAGCTAGAGTTCTAATTTTAAAATTCTACAACTTTCACATAACTTTGAAAAGCAAAAAAAATAATAATGCCACAATAAAATCTTGGTAAGTCTCAGCTGGTGATATCCAGCCTGTTTAGCCACTATTTCTATCCACTGTCAGTCCGCGGGTGGTCATTTGGAATTCTGGACTTTGGTTTGAGATTCCTAGTTGCCTTATTGTTTGGATGTCCTTTTCTCTCAACAACTACAGCATTGGAGTATGACCACCAAGTAAAAGAATATACGTAATTCAATGAACTGCCATAAAGACAAATGCAACATCATGCTTGTGATGAGATGGTTACCACAATCTCACCTTCGCTTTCTTGAGCACCTCAAACCCTTCTATTTTGCCAATTCGGAAATGATTCAGATCAACATCCTAAAAAAGGCAAAACATGGAAATAAAATAAAAATGGAAAAATGGAAAATCGAATTTACTTCTAAATTAGGAAGATACAGAGACTTACCGATGTACACATGTCAAGGAATTTATTCAAAACAAATGTATTGGCAATGTAGACACAAGAAATACCGTACATTTATTATATAGCAATGAGAATATTTTCAGCTAAAAGTCCTTCACAAGAAGTAATCCATCCATCCTTGTTAATTGTGATTCATATACTATTCAGGGTATATAGATGTTTAATCTAACAGATTTTCAGCATTTAAAGAAGAGTTAATAGTATATGCAAATGTTTTCAAAATCTGGACTTGCCCTCTTCCCCATTTGGGAGGTTTCTACCAAATTTCTTGAAGGAACAGAAATATATAGATACTGATTGCAATTTTAGTTTAAACTGAGAAATTGTTATGTCCTAATCAATCATGTGTATTGTCTATTTTCCCACTCAGTCCATTTTCTCTTTTTATTATTTATTTACAATCCTGTCACAGATGCAATATACATATTGCCAGTGAATAAGTTATTCACTTCACACCCAAAGTGGTAAAAGAAGTAAATAAGTTATTTATATTACTGAGGTTTATATTGCCTAGTAATCCTTCATAGCTTTTCCTCCTGATCCAGCCTTCTGTTCCCACAGAAGCCATTAAGATATCTTTCAGAAGCATAGGAACAGTATACAAAAATATTCTGTATAAAATGCACAGTAAAGGGCATTATTTTTCAGGCCTGATGCAATATGCAAGCAATGCTGCTACTAGACAGTGATTCCCTTCTCCTTCATAAATACAAAGAAATTCACTGCGTCTTGTGCCATTAAAATCTTCAGCTGCATGTATCCTGAACCTCCCATTTAATTAAGCCATTATGCAACTCTCAATTCTTATAATATAAGGAACATATTCAGTGGCCATAAAATGTGACTACTGCTTCAGGGGTGCCCAAGGAAGCTGTAAAGGTAGGAGGAAGATTGAATAAAATTGTTGAAATTATCAAAACTGTTCAGTGTTAGTTAACTGGGACTTACGACATTGCACAAAATAGCATAACATTGGAAATAATAAAGGAAATATTTAAAGAATGAAGGCAGATATCAATGTGAGAATGACAGATATGGAGCAACTTTTTTCTGAGACGACAGAAAGTACTGAAACTAGAACTAAAAATGACAAGTGAGAGAACAATTTGGAAAATGATGCTTTTTTGGTGGGATATACAAAAGAAACTGGCTGAAGTTTTAAAAATTTAAAAGGAAATACAAATGACAAACCAAGAAAAAATTTTCTTATTGGAACCAACAAAACAGGGTTAAATCTTTGATGAAGTGGGATGGGATAAAGAAGAATTAAAGAGAAATATCTTATGACAATATTTGAATGCACTAAAAATTAAGACTATTAGATGTAAAGGGAAGGAATATAAAGCTGGTTTACTTGATCAAGATTTAAATATTTATTTGCACACTTCTTACCACCTTTTTGCTGACACTAAAATTGAAAAAGTGACATTTTAGGGACTTTCTTATAAAGCAGGGGTCTTCAAACTTGACAGCTTTAAGACTTATGGACTTCAACTCCCAGAATTCCTCCTCCAGTCATGTTAGCTCAGGAATTCTGGGAGTTGAAGTCCACAAGTCTTAAACTTGCCAAGTTTGAAGACCCTTGTTAAAGGATGGGATGTGGGATAAAGAGATAAATGTTTGTAATTTTAGATGGGTGGAGAGTTACTTAATTTGTCTATATTTATAATGAAGATTTCTTTTCTCATTTTTATTTCTTGTAGCTTTTATTCTTTTTTACTATTCTTTTCTCATCAATTCAGCTTGCATTAGTTTTTAGTATTGCAGTTAAATTCCTTAATAAAAATTAAATTTAAAGCAATTTGAAAAATAACAACTCAGAAATTATTCTTTGTCTAAATTTCAAAGATATATCTCAAAAGCTTTTCCCATAACCCAGTTGTGTACAGCTACTGTGTTTCAATATGAAAGTGACATTTACAATACCTCAGCCTCTGGATCCAGGCTAATAGTTTCCATATCCACTGGAATCTCTGATTCACCTGTAAAACAGCAAACACATCCTGAGTAAACCCATAGTGTTCTCCAACCAAAAGTAAATTCGGAAAGTGAAATTAAGCCTTCGAGCAAAAGGAAAGCTAATGGATTTAGATTTTACTGCTATAATGCAAAAGTCATATACGCCCTTCTCAGCTAATGATCACTTCGGCTAAATCCAGATACGGGAAGAAATACCAATGCACTTATAGAAAATGTACATTACCTAATATTGAATTCAATTAGGAAGCACAGACTAACTCAAATGACTTAATAGCTATCCGAGCAAGCAATAAATATCAGAAATTTTAAACTATTCTTGCATTCTGGTTATCGTCTCAGTTTTGCAGTGTGGCAAAATAAATATGTTCTCCTGGAAAGGACTGATATGGCATATGTTCTTCCTGGTTTGAATATTGCCAGCAATTTGAAGAAAACTTTTCTATTCTCGAATCAAAAAGATCCTTACAAGTTCTCTCTTTCTCAATGTGCCTGAGTGAAGATAAACTCAGGGATTTCTGTTAAATAATTCATGTATGTTCTTATTTGGCAGCTGGGTGCATTTGCTCTTACATATTTTTTGAGCAAAATACAACAGTGCTAAGCATTATAAAGCAGTAAGCCAGTGTTGTTCACATTCCTCGGTTATTAGTAAATGAGCAACATGCATACACACCCAATAAAAGAACATAATAAAAAACAAAAACTCAACAATAGAAGAGCTATTGGGTTTTGTTCACCATGCCCAATGGAAGAAAGATTTTATTCATCAGCAAGTTAGTAGTTTACAGATAGTCTCAAATTACAACTGTAATGAAGCCCAGAATGTCTGTCTTAAGTCAAGATAGTCATAAATTGAGGAACCCACACGACGGGGCCAGATTTTACAAAAAAAAAAGTTGTGGTGTTTGTGAAACAAGTCAATGTATTTTTATGGCTGGTTTTGGCCAGAACCAGGAAAACCTGGTGTAAACCACTGTTATGTGACCATAAAAGTGAGGCAGTCGCCAAATGCCCAAAATGTGGTCATGTTACTGAGGTGTGTGCTGCCACTGGAATTCTGGAACTGGCTAAATAACTTGGGGTGTGTGTGGATCCATTGTAACTTAGAATGGTCACTATGCAACTAGTTGTTAAGTAAGGATTACCTGTAATTATCTATCTTCGCGTATTTGATTACATATTTTGCAAAAAAAAGTTCTGCAGATATTTACGAAACATTAAAAAGTATCTTGTTCTTTTAAACTGTATGCTTTACACTCCTTTTCACATTTTTTTCATTATACCAACTCTGGTTTTTTTCAAATCTATTTTTGAAAACTTTGTGACTTTTACCAGCTAGTAATAAAATAAAGATATAAGTATATATGTACATGTGTATATATGTGGCTTAAATTCTACTTCCATCTCATTCTTCTACTATATACCATCAAAAAGTTCTTCATGTGATTAGGGCTTATATTCATAGGGGTATTTGTTAGGTTAATATGGTATATTTATCACAACTGGTTTTATGCCACTTTAATAAAAAAAGAAGTCAATTTACAAAAGCAATACAAAATAAATACTACACAATAACACCAGAAAACTTTCATCATTAGCACTGTCCACATAAGTCCAAAATACTTAACATAATTTATTTCTCTCTGCCCAAATGTTTGCTCAAGTAACTTTGTTTTCAGTAATCTTCTATATATTAACAATTGAGACCTAATTTTATTTCTGGGGTAGCTGAAGGAGGAGATCTAGCAATGAAAACCTCTGAATCATCACCCACCATAACCTTATGGAAGTGGAGACTTGACAGAGTAATCCTGATGTAAAATAACTTTAAAAAGTTCTGTAATGCTGCGCAATGTTGAAACTATATTCTCTTTCTCTGAATTCTCTTGCAAGAGGAATAGGAGAAGTACTGTTGGCCAGCAGAAATATACAGTAACATATGACTCTGTTTGGGAAAGCAGTCAACTTTTATCTTGAAACAAAAACATCCAAGATACTTTCCCACCTCTAAAAATATCACGGAATTGTTTAGGCTTGGACAGTCACTCTCTTTTGAAAATATTGTTTTGGATAAAAGTAAAATTTCATATTAATTGGCACACAGAGCAACCACTGTAAACAGTTGATTATGTCTGGTAAGCCTAGAAGTAAAGGGTGACAGGTATGCATATGAAGCAGCAATATAAAATAGTATTTTTAAGAACCAGAAAGAATTTGAATCTTACCACTTTTATTATTCATAAGCAAGAGGGAATATAGAAATATAGAAAAAATTCCTCATAAAAATAACAACCAAGAATCTTTGCAATATTAATTTATACACTTCCTTTCCACTTAAAAAGTGCAAAAGGACAATTTCTCAGTGTTTTCAAGAGCTATAATAGAATTAAAAACCATGCAATGAATAAACACCAAATATGCAAAAACAATAATTATATACAGTAGGAAAGTGTAACATTAAGCATATTCAATTGCATTCTACCGATTCAAAGAGATGGGCGTCAGTAAGTCTTCAATTCTACTTCAGTCATATTATATGCTACAAAAGGCATACTCCAAATAGTAGCTTACTTGTTAAATTATCTCCATTCTGCTCTTCTCTTAGACTTTGTTGACTGAGGTCTGTTACTATGCAAACTGCTTGCTTCTTCCCTTCATCATCTCCAGATTCTTCTGATTCAATCCTTCTATCAACTGTGGAACAGAAAATATAATTGTTTGTTTTAGGATGCGTAAAGTATAACATCAGAGAAAAAACTGATGCTATATAAGTTACAAAGAATATTGTGGCAGCCTATAGAAAAACAATTATTAAGATATATACTTTTATGAATTAAAACAAACCATGTGAATGTTTATGTATAATGAATCTGTTATGACACATGACTGACCATTGTTACAACAATTTGACAGAGCTAACACTCTAAAGATAAATTAATAAGAATGAAGTTCCAGGAAGAGGCATGAATATTTAGCAATAAGCCCCCACCCAAAGGGAGATTTACTCTCAAGTAACAAAATGTAAAAAACAAAACAACCCCCCACCCCCCCCGGCCAGCTAAAAGAAATGCTAAACATGCAACATATCCAAATTATGGCAAAAACTAACCTTCACATACTATGAAAGCCAGATTTCTGTTACATTTCATAACCTTTTAGAGGAGTAACCACAATAGGGTTTTTGCAACAAATAACTTTGTTAACAAATTAAACACTAATAAAACTATTGCAGAAACCCTTGAAGTTATAAATCTCACAGTTTAGTTAGGATCACAGAATACCGCTGTATATTTAAGACAAGCAGTCTTTGTTTTTGAACAAATATGCATTTGGACATCACATCTTGGCTTAGTGCGCTAAAGTATGAAAAATCATTTGTCATGGCACACATTCACTTTGCTTTTTTCTTACAAGTAGGAGCATTCAAGCAGTTGGTTGACTATGTACCATCAAGCTGTGTTCGACTCTAACTTGTTCTTTCAAGTTTCCCAACGTTGCACTCATAGCCCCAGTTATTAAGACAGTGCACCTTGCTGGTGATCATCTTCCTCCCTTTCCTTTTACCTTTTGCAGAATTAGAGCCTTTTTCAGATAGCTGGTTCTTCACACAATGTGTCCAAAATAGGATAATTTGAGTCTAGTTATTTGTGCCTGGAGTGAGAACTCTGGGCTGATTTGTGCATTGGTTTGTTTTCTTGGATGTACACAATATTTTCAGTTTTCCCCAACACCAAAATTCAAAGACATCAATACTCTTCCTATTTCAATTCTTTAAAATCTGATGTTTGCTTCCATAGAATGTCACAGGGAAGGTTAGGCAACTGCACTAAATGTGCCAAGTTATTAAGAAAACTTTAACAACTTTACATCCTAAATTGCTTCAAAGGGATTATTTGCCTATTTTCATAGGGTTTCCCCCTCCTAAATCAATATATGTTCATTTCATTTCTTGGCCCAAGATTTGGGTTTCAAATTCTTATTAACAGATGTCCAAGAACTGATCTACAGTGAGTGAGCTACTACAGTTCTCGTATAGTTTATTAATGTACTGTCTTCAGATACAAGTAAAAAGCACAGCACAAAAGCCTTGTCAGGCCAGTCAAGAATATTTTCATTCCTTTGATAACTTCCTTTTCAGTGTGAAGTCAATCAGATCGACAACTTAACCTTAGTTCAACAATGATGGGTAATAATACCTTGGCAATGTCAACAACCACACTCAAGAATGGTAAGCCATTCACTTGATGTTGAAAATGTCACAAGAACTATAGAGCTCTATTCTTCTTCAGTTTGCACTCTATCTGCATCTGTGGCCATACTATCATTATGCCTAAGATTTTAATACTGTTCCAGATATTATGTATTGCTAATCAAAGTATACTTTTCCATGGGAGCCCCATGCAAACAATTTAAACTTGCTATATACACCCTACATTTCTGGGGCAAAAAGTAATTTAGATGAACTTATTTGGAAAATATTTAAATTCCTCTCTATAAGGAGAAGTTGCAGGACAAGATTCCTCAATTATTAATTCATTACAATTTATCAAAGCACACCAACAATCTTTTGCTAAGTATATGGACATTTTCAACTGTTCTGTCAGCATTATCTCTCATTTTATAAGAAAATGGGTAATAACTGATTTTAGAGTTTTTATAAGATTATATGAACAGTATGTGATGCACTTTCAGTATATTATCCCTGATGTTTAGGAAACATCTAACAGGAGGTAGGAGATGGTCTCCTGACTGATATGTCACACACCTTCCTTCAAATCTTGGGGAGCTACAGCACAAATAGTAAAAACAGGTTGAGTCGAAATAGCTTTAATAAAGCTATTTTGTTGCTTTGTAAGCATCAGCAAAATAAACCCTCCAACACAAAGCCATGATTCCCATTCCTGAAGTTAGATGTACCTCCTGAAAGATGCAAATAAAACCTTCTTGCTGTGGAAAAACTTAGAATAGGTTGCTACAAACTTTACTCAGATCCACAGCAGGCAGTGAGATTACCACTCCCAGGATAAGTAAATTTATAACAGTAATTCATGTTGCAAGTTCATCCTACAATGCTGTCATTGATATAATGTACCCTTTCTCTCTTCAAGATAATACTTAGCAGGAAATCACTGAATTTAAGGCATGAGTGAACAATATGGAAATCCGGAAATCTTGATGTGAATAAAAGGTAGGATTTAAATGAAGTTTGATGAGTCAGTGGCAGATTAAATCATCCACGTCAAGAACTCCTGCACCGACTCAGTGGTGACATCTGAACTGCTGTAGGGCAGGGTTTATAAAAACACTTCTTACTCAAAATTATTAATCTTATTCCAGAATCATCATCATCTCACAAATGATTATAACAACGTGCGTTTGCTTTGCATGCCATGCCAGTAGCGGAGAGACCTGGCAATTTTCAAGAGAGTGAAAAGAGCTGATTTAAATGGTGCAGTAGGATGGAGATGGGGATTATGAGACCCTATTCAGCAATTTTGACCCCGGGAAACAGCTCCAGCCTTTTCTCACAACATCCCTCGCCCGAAATGCTTCCCCGGAGGTTCCTCCCACTGTGCTCACCACCCAATAAATAGATGCCCCGCTAATACTTCGGCATGTCCCTCTCCCACATTAAGGCCAGCAGCCCCAAACCACAGCGTCCCCTATTTCGCTAAAGTCGCTGAACGGAACCGAACCAACCCTAACCTAAATTCGGACATCGCGCGCTACAATCCGGCCTCTCACCCTCCATCATCTCTTGAGCGCCCTCCCCACTCTCTGGCTCTGCTGTCGTCGTTGTCGTTGTCGTCGCCATAACACTTCGCGCTCCCCCCTCCTTCCGGCATCGGACATAGCATTGGAATAGCCAATGAATAATAGGATCGGGATCTCCTCCAGCCAATCACAGAATCAGCTGCGACGCAGAGGTACCAATGAGACACTATGCGCCTGCGTCTGGCCCCGTAGCTTTCTGGGAAATGTAGTTTTTGTCTTATAGACGTTCACTTGCTAATGAAACGAGCAGAAGAATTTCAGGAAAGCTGTGTGTGTATGGTAATTCATATTTGCTTGGCGTTTCTAGCAGCGGTGTTGGATCTACTGCCCTTTTCGTCATTTAATTGAAAATTAACTGAGATAACTAGTAGACAGAAAAAAGAGAGGTAATAATAAAATAGAAAGAGGAAAAAGGCTGAATCTTAGTGTCTTATAGTGGGAAACTGCTGCTTTCTTTTCCTTTGCTAGGTAATTGGGTTTTGTCTATAATCTAAACAAAAGGATCCACTATGGATTTTTTTTAAAATATTCTTTTTGCGCTGTTTTCTAAATGTCATTTAAATAGATTAGAAGAATCATGCTGTAGCTAATGGAAGATCAAGCCTAATGCTTCCAAGAAATCCTGCACAATAGGAAAATAGACCTTTGTGACTGCTGTTCTCCAGCAACTAATAAATTGAGACTTAAAAAAAACCACAAATATCTCATGCAGTACATGAATAATTAATATCATTCATCACTGCTACAGTGCTAACTATTTGTATTAATGCTCCTGATATTGTGATGGCAGGAAAAAAAACCCTGACTTTTATCTAAGCAATGTACTGTAACATTTTAGAAATCTGTTACATCAATCATTTTGAAAAAGTTAAAATAAGTTATTCTATCCCCTTCCTATCAATACTTAACAATTGGTTTTTCAAAATTGACAATGACATTTGAAATTTGCTTTGTTTTGTTCTAAACTGACTAATACTTAGTACGTGGATAGATAACATCAAGTAATCCATACGCTAGAAGTAAGAAATAAAATCTGGAAGAAGGCAATTGCAAAACATATGGACATGATAATCAGGTTATCAGAACTTGAGCCTGATTTGAATCTTATGTTTTTAGCAAATATTATAGTGAGAATGAACTTAAATGGAGTCTGGGGGATGGTAGAGGACAGGAAGGTCTGGTGGAATGTCCATGGGGTTGCAATGGGTTGGACACGACTTCGCAACTAACAATAACATAGTGAGAAAATCCTTTCTCTACATTATGATTGCTTTCAAGTTTCAGACTAAGTCACAATTCACTAAGTACAATTTGCATAACATATTAAGCAAAACTCAAAGCCATGTAATGAATTAGTGCGATGTATAAAGTTAGTAGTAAGCCTGTACTGAAAAGCTAATAAGTTCAACTGGTTTTCTGCATGCAAGGCAAATCATCTTGGTGTTACCATAATTTTATCACATAGAAAGGAACATAAAAGCAATAATTGCATTTTCTTTTGATATGACAGTTTGACATGCCAGGTATATGCAATGGCAGCTTAAAACCAGCTCTTATGACTGAGCTAGCCCTATTTGAAGAGGGGATTTTAGTTGGAGTGTGAATTTGGAAAAGAACTGTTTTGAAATACAAAATAAAGGTTAGGATGAGAGGTTTCCAATATGGTAAAGAAATGGGAGTTTGTTTTGAATCTTTATTGACTGATAATGATGATAGAGTTTGCAGCAATCTAACCAGAACACAAGTAAATAATTCAGCAGGATTCATTCATAGAAGAGTCTTCTTTATATACAATAATATACAGTATGATGCATGTATACAATACTCATGCAGCAGAAGTCAGAACCAGAACTCAAAATCCAGAAGTCATAATCACAGAAGCTAAATAAGCACCGAAGCAATATAATACAGAGGCAATATTCACAGAAGATATATATGTGTGTATGTATACACACACACACACACACACACATGTATGTATGTATGTCAAGCTAAGTCACGCCCAGGCTCTGAGCCATCTGATTCACCGAACTGTCCCCATTGGCTGACCTGTTACCATGTCTATTCCAATTCATGAACTCACATACACTGACAGATGATTATGTGTCAACAAGTTGGTGGGACTCATCACAACATAGATAGATTTTCTCCAGGATGATCTGTCCCTAATCTGGTCCTTCAGCCCTTTTGTACAGGTAGTCCTCAACTTAACAAGAGTTTATTTAGTGATTGTTCAAAGTTACACCAGGCCTGAAAATGTGATTTATGACCATTTTTTGCAGTTACGTTTGCAGCATCCTCATGATCATGTGATCAAAATTCAGATGCATGGCAACAGGCTCATATTTATGACCATTGCTGTATCCCAAGGTCATATGTGATCATCTTTTGCGAACTTCTGACAAGCAAAATCAATAGGGCAGCCAGATTCATTTAAGAACTGGGTTTCTAACTTATCAATTGCAGTGATTCATTTAACATCTGTAGCAAGGAAGGTTGTAAAAAGAAGCAAAACTCACTTAACAAATGTCTTGCTTAGCAGAAATTTTGGGCTCAATTGTGGTTATAAGTCAAGGACTACCTGTACTATCTCACTGTGGCAAGGAGGAGGCATTATTCAGAATCATGGAAAGGTTACTACAAATATTTCCAGCAGAGGTGAAAACCATCCCAGCTGCTCAGTTAAAGCAGGAAGCTCCCATATTGGGCAACAAGAATACAGAAGGCTTGAAGCAAATGACCACTTGAGTGACAATAGCAAAAGCATTGTTTCATACTGCACAGGACAAAGCAATGGAAAACCACCCCTGTACTTTGTAAAAAAAAAACGTTTGGATAGATGATATAAACATACTTGCAAATCTAAAATGTGCTGCTTCTAAGGTTTTAATCATTTATGAGCACCACAATATATTTGAATATTTAAAAATAAACATTGGAAGTGTGTGACAACCTGTATCTAATTTTATACATATTTAAATTTGTTTGCTTTTCAATACTTTAAAATGTATTATTTTCTACACAAAAAAGGAAAGAAACAAAAAATACCCATGTCATATTACATTCAAAAGTTAACTCATCTGAAGAGTTAAGAATGGATTCAAAAAATAATACTAATCAATCTTTGCAACAGTTCTAGTATGAGGGAGTACTGGATTAACAGAAACATACAGTTGCCTCATAGTAATGAAATATGTGGTCCAATTATCATTTTCTGGAAGTGGTCCCCCAGAATTTCATATGCCAGCATTTTTTGGAAGCTTATTGTTAAGTTATTTAGAGTATGATGAGAACATGACAGAAGAGAAGTAACTACAACATATTTTCAAACCCCATATTTTAGTAATTTGTCTGAATTCAGAACCAAGCAGTGCTGGCCTAGTGTGTATTCAAGTGAAAGTTAATTAGCTATAGGAGTGTTGACTAAATTGGGGATAAAAAACATCCTGGAGAAAGGTAATGGCAAATTACCTGCCTATTATTACTAAGAAAGTTGGTTAATCTACTCACAAAATCACCTAGAGACGAATTTGACTTGGAGTCCCCCCCCCTTTTTTTTAATGGATGCTTTTGCTCTTTTAAAGTATTTATTACAGGAAGAAAAATGCCAGTAAAAATTATTAATTATATCTGGAATATTTATTAGAGAGGCTAGAAAATCCATGTTCTAATGTTTAGAAATGTAAGGTATGGTTCTTAGGAAAAAAAACAACACATCTTAATTTTATTAGATAAAGTGGATTAGGATACACACTCGTTTAAACTGTATTTCTAGACTATAAACTGCCACGACTGTTAATTACGCTGTAATAGATTCAAAACAAGCCCTCTACGGATAGTTAGAAACACCGCCCCCCCCGCCCGCCCCTTCCTGGGAAAGAGATGAAATATGCGGGCAAGATCTGAATGGACGAGTTTCCTGCGTGCTCTACAGAACAGAACCTGCTCGGCGCGTCCCTAGCAACAGTTTGCGCGGGATCTTTTTGTCTTTGAACGTCGGGGAAACTCCACCCCTTTAGAATTGGTTGGGTTATCGAACTGTCGGCTTCTAGTTCCGTCGCGTTGCTTGGCTCCTGATGTAACTGCGTAGTCATTTCCCCGCCTACTTAGCTCGGACTGAACACTTCTCCCCTCGGACAGACAGTTGGGTAAGTTATTCCGTAGGAGTGGAGGCGTTCTGATGACTCCGGAGGGAGCCCCCCCCCAACTCTTCTAGGGGTTGTTTTAGCATTAAAAAAAAATCTCGTGTGATTAAATGAAAGGGATCCTCCGAGCATATGTGGAGCAAGTAATCCTTTTTAGTTTAAGCAGCCACCAGCGCCATAAACAAGAGGCACCCTGCCATCTCCTGCCCTTGTCGTGGAGCCTTGTGGTGTGACAAACCACCTGTTGCATTTGAAAGCAGTTGCATTTCTGTTCGTGTTTTCCTGACGGAAGGTGGGCCAATTGTTCCTCCGGGTCTTCGCTGCTGCCAGGTTAGTAGAAACTACTTGAGATGCCAAGTGCATTTCCTCTGTGCCATTCTCCACTCTTCCAGATTATAACAATCTTTGAAGTCATTGCCCCATTAGGCATTCCTGGCTGGGATGTTTAGAAAATGAATACAAATTTACTAACGAATTTTGTGCTAAGTTGGAATTAACCTGAATGTGTGCTTTCTGTGGCATTTTTTTCTCATTTTCTTTTCCTGGCAAAGTGGTGTCAGAAGGACCACATTTGCTTGCTATTTGGCAATTCGACTCTGCTAGTAGTCTCCTTTTTATAAATATAAAACAAATGTTTTATAAATATCTCAGAATCTGATTTAAAAGAATATGTCCAGTCCTAGATATAACATGATGTTCTGTTTCAGAGCCTGCAGTTTCTGTGAAGAATTTCCTGTAGTTCACCTATTAGCATGACAGATGAGTTTATCACTTCTAAAGAAATCATTTCAGGCGCCTCTGTCTCTATGACTGATCCTGGGATCTGTGAAGAACTGAGCAAATCTTTTACCTGGACAAATAAGAAAAGGAAGAGTTGGCTTTCAAGGCTGTGTAAGAAAAAAACATCTTTGCCAGGTGATTAGCTTATCTAGCAAGGAAAATAAAGCAATTGTTAATTAAAGAGAACAGTAACTACTCAACAAGAAGATATTCTTTCTTAGCAGATTTTCTGGAGAAAGAAAATAATAGAGTGGATGGGAAAAGACTGAGGGCTTATAAATAAAAAAAATTCTTTTGGATTCCTTCTAAACCTCCATGAATACAGTTCAATTAAGCATTAAATGTCTTATCTAAAGGAATGGAAACTAGTGAATATAAGAAATTGGGTGTAAATAGTTGTGAAGGAGATGGGCAATTTAGAAATAGGAAATATAAAACAAACAAGCAAATACCTATTTTTAAATCACAGATGTGCTGATAGTGCTTTTTGGCAGTCCTGTTATTTTTGCCTTTTCAAGGTGGTAACTGAGGCAAACATTTCTTGCTATACTGTTTTTACCACATCTGAACAATGTGTTTCTATAATTTTGTCTTTAATAAGTTATTGGTACTTTGCAAAATTGTCTGATTGTCTTTAATTCTAATATTTGTGATTCTGTGCTTCTTTTTCTTTTTGTTCTTAGAAAATGAATGGAATTCCTACTGCCTATCTTCATTAGCTGCCCGGAATATCTGTACTGGCAAACTTCATAGCTCTTGGGATCATTTGGAAACTGCTTCTCTTTGTTGTTCCATATGTAGCACCTCTTCTTGTTCTCTCTTAAATGCACTGACTTGGGGAGAATCCATTCAGGCACTGTCAAGTAGTATCCGTAACCCAAACAAGGCCATCTTCACTGTGGATATTAGAACAACTGAGGTACTAAATGGATTTGCATAACATTGACATTCTCATAGCATGCCACTGCTGAATATATAGAGATTCAATAGATATGGAATTATCTTATATTTACAGAACGTACTGTATTACAATCAAACATTTGAATAATTCACAAATTTTATTAGGGATATTAGGGATAAAATTTGTGGAAAAGATTAAAACAAAAACACATATTTATGATCTTGTTGTACAATACTGATTTAATTATATTATAGATTGCATAATTAGGGGCAGAAAACCTTAGATCTTATTTCATACTTCCCAAAGGACACTTTGTAAATCTTACAGCTTTCTATGATATACAAGGTATGTTAAGGATTCCCCCGCCCCCGCAAATCAATATTAATTGTAATCATTAGAAAGTGTCTCTTTGGAAAGGCATAGCTAGAGAAGATTTTTATATATTAATTTTTAATTTTGGAACAGGATCTATTACAAGTCCATTTTGAAAATGGAATAGGGTCCATGTCTATTTTTATTCCTTTAATAATAGGTATTTTGGAGTAATTTGTGTGTGTATAGATATATTTAACTAGCTTTGTATGAAAATTGAAACCAAAATGGGGCTAACTACTTTGTTAATAACTGTACTTGGCATGCACTTCATTGTTAAGAGCCAATTAAGTATTTTACCAAGATGCTAATGCCTGGATTTAACACCCATAAAATTGCAGTTGTCTGATTACTCATTTGTTAGAATTTGCTGATTATTTAAGCTTGTAGTACCTACTGAAGACATGTTTGTAAACAAAACTGCAATGATGTGTTAACAGTACTGTTAACTATAAATAAATAGAGCAAAATAGAATAGGCTAAAACCTCTGTGACTTGCTTCACATATTATGCTACATTAGTGTATGCAATGTATTAGGCTTAGTGTATGCAACAAATTCAGCTAATTATGATTAGTTCAATAAACAAGCCAGATTTAGAGTGATATGTGAACAAATGATAAAGCAATAATTATTGAAGAACACAAGATATATCTCACTCATATCTTGTGATCTATTTAGAAACTATTAAGATTATGTTCATATTATAGCTAATAGTGATTAATTCAGCCCAATTCACCTGAAATACTGGACCATGAACTAAACAAATCATAAATCAAAATAAGGCTGACACAACAGGCTAAACTACAACATAGCTTTAATTTATTTAAAAATATTACACATGCTAATGATTTATTTAATATCACATTAATTAGTGTTGTTTTGAATAAATATATATTAGAATACTTATGTACTATTAGAACACATTGAAATTCCATCCCAGGATATTAGCGTTTTATTTGTGCATATCACTTGGTATAGAATCAAGTCTGAATATATGCTTCTATTTAATTTTCTTCACAACATATTGAAATAATGTGCTACTATTTGTTTCTGGAATAGTTTTGCCTTATCAAACTAATGTACCGTATCTGTATTCGTTGGAGAATTTCCTACCCTAATATGAAGAAAGCCCAACTATGTTTAACTTCAAAGTCCACCAGAAGAGAATTTTTCTTGTTCTTTTTTAGATTCTAGTTGCAAATGATAAAGCCTGCAAGATTCTTGGATATAGTTCTGAGGAAATGATTGGGCGGAAATTATCTGAAATAATTTCAAAATCCAACTGGGATATTGTGGAAGCTCTAAAAGAAGGAAATACTGATCTTGAAGAACATGGACCAGTAATTCCAGGAACAGTGGTGCGTGATTTCTTCAATTAAATATCTTACAACTGATATATGCCTATCAATTTTTCAGAATTGTATTTTCAATTACTTTTCTACCACAGAAGCCTTAGGAATCTATGGGAACCCCACCATTTATTTCAATATAGATTTATCTTTGTTCAGATTTATTGATGAAGTTTTTATAAATTTGGTGTTTAAATTTCTAAAGCTATAATAGAAGTAAAATGATGTGTTTGCTTTATATATACATCAGGCATGAAGTAAAGATAATGTGCTTTTGTTTAACAGTGCAGTGCTAGAAAAGTTTGAATGTACTTAAATATACATAGGAGATCATGTATTGTATGTACATGCAATGTGATACTGATTTTTTATTATTTTTACCAGAGCATAAGTAGTCTAATTCAAGAGGACATATGTCTATTTGAGATTAATTCTCATCTAGGCTGTTAACAAATATATCATAGCCTTAGAATTAACTATATTAAATAATTGTTTTTAAATGTAGTCCTTTATGATAAAAAAGTGTAAGTAGTTCATAAGAAAATCAAACCTTTTTAATCCTATCCACTGATGACAATCAGACAGAATTGGTTTGTTCTGTTTTTCTGCATTTCACTGTGAACATTAAATCCATAGTTATTTTATAGCAGACCAAATTTCTTTTAAAGATAGTCCTACCATTCCAGTTGAAAAGCTGGCTATTTTGTTGAGAATTTCACATACACATAGAGCTACATTTGCTTTGATATATTAGAAATGTAGGTTATGAACTGTTCTACAAAACTAATAAAAATTCTTTTGGCACCCGAAGGACATTTTTGTTACATAATCTTTCCACAGTAAGGGCAAATTCTCTCTCTGATTTGTGTACTATATTGATTTGGTCAATCTGGAAATCTTTGTCTTATTTTATAAAAACTAATATGCCTAAAATATTCAATCCTGTTCCTCCTGCACAAATAATATTCAGAAATAAATATCCCTGGATTCTATACATTTATTTTTGACCTTTAAACAAAAATCTAATCTGAAGGGTCCATATTGTTACTGCTTGTACCTGACTTAATTTACATTATACTTGCTTCTGAAATAAATTTGAAGTGGGATAATATTACTCATTATAGTTTGTAGATTTGTAGTGGGGATTATTGAGAATTATTGAGAATCTATGTATAACTTAAAACAGTTTCGCGGACTCCTGAGGGACTGTGATGTCACAGGGAGTCTGTGAAGGTTTGAAGAATTTTTATGATATAAATCTTGAGTTAAATCTTGGTCCATGGCCACAAAAGGTATTTAAAGGCGGTCTGGTGGTGAAAAGGTTGAGAACCATTAACTTACAATATTCAAACACTGCTATTCAAATATGTAAAATTTTGATAAAATTCTTTGTAGGATGTGCCTTAAATCATCTATAGAATATAAATATAACTCAAGCATCTGAAATCTTGAATAATCATGGTTAACTTTTATATACAAAATTAATTATGGTGCAGTCATCTGGAAATAAAACTATTTTGATAAAACTTGCTAAAGTAATTTGCATATAATTAGTGAAAATTCATATCTACAAACATTATGCATATAATACTTAACATTAAATATGGATAAAGTATAGCAGGGTTGTCAAACTGGATTTCTTCGAGGGCCGGATCAGCAGTGTAGTTCTCCATGGGCTGGTGGGGGTGGCTGGGACAGATGCCCCCTGCAGCACCCTGCTGGCCAAAATGTTTTCACCCTCCATGGCCTCCTACAGCACTCTACTGGCTGTTTTCAGGTCTGTTTTTCTGATAGTTTCTGGGCCATTTTTCAGGCTGTTTTCGGTTGGCAAAGTGCTGCAGGAGGCCATGGAGGGTGAAAACGAGGCACAAGGTGGTTGTGTATGCAGCCCATTTTAACCGCCAGAGGCACCATGGGCAGATCCTTTGATATTTCCAAGCCGGCCCAGTGGGTTGGATTTAAGCACCCCGCAGGCCAGCTCCAACCCAGGGGCCTTGAGTTTGACACCCCTGAAGTAGAGAAACACATTCTAAAAGACAATGTTTAAAGGCTGCCTGTCTAAACCTGCAATTTAGAAAGCTAACATGTATTTTATCACTAGGTAGATGCCATTTCCCAAAATAATGAAAAGATCCCTGTCACTATATGGACAAGAAAAATTAAAGGCCATTGCAGTCAGTACTGTGTTGTTGTTTTGGAACCTGTGGAAAGACTCTCTGCTTCCGTTTCCTTCAAAAGTAATGTGAGTAAACCAGCAAAATAATGGAATGGAAATTATAGCAACATGCTTGTTTTTTAACATGGATGTCAAACCTCATGTTAGCCAACTTTATCAAAGAAAAGAAACAGGAATGTGTTTGCTTGTGTTCTCTTATAATTATACACAAGAACCACTGTTCCTGAAATAATACAGTGGAACTGAAATTCTTTAAATAAATGATATAATAGCTGTACAATCTTGATGTTTGTTGATGTGAAGCAGTTGTAATAAATAGTCTGATATATGGAAGTAAATGAGACTTTTTTCTTTAAATATTATTGTTGCCCTCTTCTAGAAAGGCATGATATAAATATTTTAAGTAAAATTATTAAAAAATTAGAAATTAGCAGGATGTAGAATCAATGTGGAGGTATATCTGCCCTAAAGTAGTTTTTCTAGGCTCTATTCCTTAAATCAACAGTCAACGGTATTATGTTTGGTCACTTCATATCTGCTATAAAACTAGTGCTTTGATACAGAATGCCTAGCATTTGTAATACAAATTATGTTGAACTCTCATATTAAGGGAGAGATTACTTCATGTGACCCCCTTTTTGCTCACCTTCATGGATATTCATCATCAGAAGATGTGGTTGGTCACTATATAAAAGATTTCATACCTTCTATCCAACTTCCTGCACCTGGGAAAAAAATTCCAAAGGTACTATTAAGTTTATTACAGACAATTATTGCCTTGAATGAATGAATGAATGAATGATTTTTACATAAAATAATGTTTGGGGTTAACTTCAACTATATGATAGTAATTTGAAACCTTTACTCTTCATTTTCTTGTATTTGTCAGTGGAAATTTTAGTATCTTAAATTTGCATTATTTTGTGATTATCACTTTCTTCTTTCAGAATATCAAAATTCAGAGATCTGTTGGCCGAGCAAGGGAAGGAACAACATTCCCTCTCAGTCTGAAACTCAAAGTAAGCCCTCGTGTTGATGAAGTTATTTCTGTATCAGATGACTCTCCACCAGCTATGGATGTTGAAGTTTTGCAAAATAGCACCTCTTTACCAATGGATTGTTGCTTCTGTGCTACCATCTGGGTGTTCACCACTATCAGCGGATTGGTAACTGTTCAGACAGATGGCACAATTTATGGAATTAACAATACATTTTCCCTAATGCTATTTGGTTATGAGAAGAAAGAACTATTAGGCAAGGTAAAAATCTTATAATTCTCTACTGAAATTTTTTTTCCTAAAACGATGTCCTCTCTCAAAAATGTATTTAGTTTCAATTACTAGATTTCTACTATCCTTTGTCTAATCCCATGCTGCTTGGAATTTCTACAAATTAGAGTACAATTAATTTGAGGGCCAACAAATTGGGAAAATTGATTAGTGCTGCAAAATGGGGATTTAGACAGGCCTTTAAAAGCCGAGCAGGGGTCCCCAATCCTCAGGCCACCTACTGGTACAGATCTATGGCTTATTAGGGACCAGAGATGAGCAGTGGGTGAGTGAGTGAAACTGAAATCATGCCCTCCCCCCGCATCCATGGAAAAATTATCTTCCATAAAACCAGCGGCAGGCGGGTGAGCAAGTAAAACCAAACCCACCACCTCCATCCATGAAAAAATCGTCTTCCATCTTCCCCAAAAAGTTGAGGACCACTGATCTAGAGTAGTGCATTCTTGACCATCCAAATTTTTGATTACAATCATGGCCAGAGATGATGAGTCATAGGTAGACAAGATCTGGGTGTTCAGGATTGGGAAAGACTGTTCTTAATACTAGGATATTAATTAAATTACCAAAAAATTTCTTTCATTTCAATTAAATGATGGGAAAACTTTACTGATAAGTTTTCAGCAGCAAGTTGAATTTTATAATAGTAGTCCCTATGTTCATCTTTTTAAAAAAATAAATAAAGAATTGGTTTTATTAATTGCCACAGAATAATAGGAAAGGATTTTCTCATTTCTATTATAGAATATCACTTTCTTGATTCCTGGATTTTACAAGAACATGGATAAGACCGATTCTTCTTTGCAACTTCCACAATCTAGAGAAAGCTATGTGAATGCAGAAAACATGCATTCCTCTGAAGAAATGCAGAGGGATGAATGTGCTTTTGAGAAAGGTAAGTTTTATCCACAGATAATATTGTTCACCCAAAATAATGTTTTGTTTTTAATAGATTGTGCTCGGCATCTGATTTTATAATGGTGGGATGTTAACATACTGTATTCAGAACATAGCAATTAATAATATTGGGATTTAAGTTAGTTCTGGCTAAATTCTATTGATTTCATGGCGTCTATCTAATTTAATCTATAAATAATCCAGGATTCAACCTGTTAATTTTTATTTTGTTTCTCTGAGGCAAATCCATCTATAAAAGATGGTGAGCTCTAGCTTAAAAGGCAATTCTGAATAAAAAAATAGGGTTCAGCATTATTATATAGATTACTTAAAACCATTCATTTGGTGACCATTCGAAGTTGCACTGGCACTGAAAAAAGTGACATGACCATTTTTCACATAGACATTGTAGCATCTCCATGGTCACATAATCAAAATTCAGATGCTTAACAACTGGCATGTTTTTATGACTGTTGCAGTGTCCCAGGGCCACGTGATCACCTTCTGCAACTTTTTGACATGCAAAGTCAATGGGGAAGTTAACAATCATGTTACTAACTTAACACTGCAGTAATTCACTTGAAACTGTGGCAAGAAACGTAAAATTGGTCAAAATTCACTTAACTGTCTTGCTTAACAACATAAATTTTAGGCTCAATCGTGGTCATAAGTTAATGAGTACCTGGACAAAAAAGATAATTTAAATTTATGTGTCCAATGGAACCAGGTTGCAGAGAATTATGTGGGAGAATTCTGGGAATTGTATATCTAGACTCAATTAGAAAAAGTTGACAAGTAACCTGGGTTTTACATTTACTAGTTTTCAGGATTTTACTTGTAATGCAAACAAAAATATATCAGATCATCTACTACATAGTTACGGTATTTCTAATGTTGACTCCCTTAATCTTTATTAAATTGAAAGAAGTTTTAAATAATAAATACATTAAATAAATAATGTTATTACACTATTTTATGTAATACTATTAATTCATGTATTAGTTATATTATTATAAAATAAACAAGATAAATAAAAAAAATAACAAACCTAATTGGCTTAACATGATTTTCTTGGGAAATTATTTATTCAACTTGGAACACATGTCATGAATAGCTTTCAAACATCCTTCCGAAATTTAAATTGGATTATAAATACTAAAGTGTTTGATTGTCACTATCAACAGAGTTTGGTTTATTTTTTGGAGGGTAATTCTTGGATAAATTTAGTCTGCTTTCTTATGATTAACTACTGTCACTGATAAATATCTTCTCTCTCAGCAATAATAAAAAACAGAAAAATTATCCAAACTAGAGAAGGAAAAGCTAAATGGGATGGGATGGGAAAGAGAGCAAAGAAAGAAGCACTGTTTGTATTGAAAAATCTTAACATTCATCAGCCAAGCAACTTCTCCCAAGGAAAGTGTCAAAGGCATCCATGCTAGTTTTTTTTTTATTGATATGCAGTAATTTGCATTTCCCATCCTTTAATTTATTTTCAGCAGGTTTCATATTCTTATTGAGTCAGTGAAAACAATAGTATTCCTTGCCCACCTTAAGTAATGCATTATTTATTTTTTCTTGGATTTACTATTACATATAGTTTTTCAATTTAAAGGACACATCTGTAACTAGCTAATTATACATATTTTAGGGGTGCATCAATGGTACAGATGTAGATATTCTAGATAACTGCCAATTTTGCAAGGTTATAATTGTACATGCTTGATTGTCCAAAAAATGATATCTTCTGTATGGTATAAAATGATACTGAGCCATGTAGCCACATTTCACATGTAAAATGGCATTAGAGCTTCTTGGGGCATATTTTGCTAAAAAGATTGTTGCCCATACTGTTTTCTTCTGATGCAGTCACCAGCTCATTCTTTGTTGGAGACATGGATTTTCCAGATCTGAAGGAACAACAGGAATTAGGGAGGAATGAAGCTGATCTCCCACATGTAAGGGAAATCCAGCTGGAAAGTTTGCAAAATGTGCCCTGCGCTCTACTGTCTCCTGCAGTGGCATCTTCATCCCTAATTTGGTAGGTTTCAAATGCACAAGTCTGTTTTACTGTTGCCACTGCTGAAAAAAGTTATATCATGAGATGGAAGAGTGGGAGAATTAGTTTCTATAAATAATATGGATAATGAGTTTTATTACAGGAAAACCGTATAGTAGCCCTGGTTGTCGTTGTTCAATGGCTGTCGACTGACTCTTCGTGATCCCATGGACCACAGAACAGCAGGCCCTTTATTCCCCTTTATCTCCTAGACTTTGCCTAAATTCATGTTCATTGTGCCATTGACACTATCTAACTTTCTCATCTTCAGCCATCCCCTTCTCCTTTTGCTTTCAATCTTTCCCAACATCAGGGTCTTTTCAAATGAGTGACAGAGTGGTTAGAGTGCCACACTGTAGGCTACTTTTGCTGACTGCCAGCTGCCAGTAGTTCAGTTCTGACTGACTCAAGCCTTCCATTCTTCCAAGGTTGGTAAAATGAGGATTCAGATTGTTGGAGGCAACATGCTGAGAGTAAACTGCTTAGAGAGGGCTGTAAAGCACTGTGATGCAGTATAGAAGTCTATCTGCTATTGATATTGCTATTCTCATTTGGTGCCCAAAGTATTTGAGCTTCACCTTCAGTATCTGTCCTTCAAGTCAGGGTTGATTTCCTTTAGGATTGACTGATTCAATTTCCTTGCAGACCAAGAGACTCTCAAGAGTCTTCTCCAATACCACAATTTGAAAGCATCCGTTCTTCAGCGCTCAGCCTTCCTTATGGTCCAACTCTCACAGCCATACATTATTACTGAGAAAACCATATCATAGGACCCTTGTCAGCAAGGTGATGTCTCTGCTTTTAATATGCTGTTTTAAGTTTGCCGTAGCTTTCCTCCTGAGGAGCAAGGATCTTTTAATTTCATGGCTGCTGTTACCCTGAGGCTCTTTGGTTTCTCTTCACTTTCTGCCAATACAGTAGTACTGTCTGCATGTCTGAGGTTGTTGATATTTCTCCCACAATCTTAATTCCGCTGTGTGATTCATCTAGCACAGCATTTTGCATGATGTATTCTGTATATAATTTAAATAAGCAGCGTGATACAGCCTTATTATACTCCTTTCCCTATTTTGAACCAATCTGTTGTTCCACATCAGGTTCTGATTGTCCTTGACCTGCATAGAAATTCTCAGGAGACAAGTAAGGTAGTCTAGTCTTCCATCTCTTTAAGAACTTGCCAAAGATCCACACAATCAAAGGCTTTAGTGTAGTAAATGAAGCAGAAGGAGATGTTTTTGTGGAACTCCCTTGCTTTCTCCATAATCCAGCGAATGTTGGTATTTTGATCTCTAATTTCTGTGCCTCTTCAAAACCCGTCTTGTATTTCTGATAGTTCTTGGTCTACATATTGCTAAAGCCTAGCTTGTACAATCTTAAACATGACCTTGCTAGTGTGAAATGATCACAATTGAATGGTAGTTTGAACATTGTTTGGCATTGCCCTTTGGGATTGGAATGTAAACTGACTTTTTTTTCCAAATACTGTGGTGGTCATTGTTGAGTTTTCCAAATTTGCTGGCATACTGAATGCACTGCTTTATCTGAGATGTGTTTTTTGCTAATTCTGTGTTGATCAGATCTCCCAATTTGTGTTATCTCCAAATTTGATAATAAATTTATCAATCCTATTTTCTAGATCATTAATAAAAATGTTGAGTAATACTGGTCCTAAAACATAGCTCAACACTGTATTTGAAAGTAGAACCAATGGCTGTTCAGGGAGATCAGCCATTGGCTCTACTTTCGAATACAGTGTTGAGCTATTAGTGCTGTCTTTCTGAGTACAGTTAGCCAAATTTACTATAGTACCATGCAAATTATACTTTAATAGTTTGCAGAATCATTTTAAAACCTTTGCTGAAATCAAAGTGGATCTGTAGCATTCTTCTTGTCGCTAGAGTAGTTTATCAAAGGAGACAAAATCTCTTTGACGTGATCTCTTTTTAACAAAGTCAGATTGGCTATCAGTAATCATGCTATTGTTTTCAGTGACATTATTTTATTTAATTGTGCTATGTGAATATATCAGTGAAGATTCTCAGTCATCCAGGAAGAGTTGTTTGGAAGTTGAGTCATGATAATTGGACTTATTTTCTTTTTTGGTTTGAAACATTTTACTGCTTATCCAAGTAGCTTCTTTAGTCTGTGCTATGTGAATAGTTTTATTAATGCAAGTCCTTGCATTCTAAAGAAGGAATACAAATAAATTATGGGTGAGTGGAGAACATGGTGAGAAAGATACTGGGTTCAATATAACAAAATAAATCTTCTTTTTTGCAGCGGAAACCATATACCTAGCAATAATGTGCTAGCTACTAATGAAGCTATATCTTCTGAAAATCTAAATTATGAAGATGGCACTGAAAAAGAGACTGGACAATCTGCTATCCATCAGATGAATGAATTACATTCTCTAAAACAAAATCATTCAGAATCGAATGTATTAGATGATAGAAGTAATTGCCTTTCCAGAAGTACTTATGAACTAATTCAGGAAGAAAATGACAATTTGAACAGACACGATTCTACTTCACCACAAGATATTGTGAAGCACCAGCCTTCCACAATAAGAAGAGGAAGAAAACATTCTCTCCTGGGCAGTGAGACATTTGATAAAAAATTATTAAAAGCTGAATTACAACTTGAGGCAAATGTACCTTGTGAAATTGTACATGGGTCATTTGGAACTCCAACACTGGATGAGCCAAAGGACAATACAGCATCTAACCCAAGGCAAAGTCAGGCAGTTCCACCCAGAACTCTAATGAATAGAGCCAATAGCTTAACATTTGAGAATAATTCCTTAGAAAGTTCAACTATTGATTCCTCAGGTTTTTTGCCTGCAAAAAAGAGCAGTAGTCTCCCTATACATGGAGGATCATCAAAACTTTATGACGACTCTATAATTATGGGAAGTGAGAATGTGGGTAGTAACCATTCTGTTTGCTGTGGACTGATGAACCTGGGGATTAATGAAGAGGTGAGATCTGACCCAAGTGCTGCCTGTCGACCAATAGAACTTTCCTTAGATGCAAAAGATCTTGTTCAGTCTCTGGATCAGACAAATAATATTGCAAGTGATCAGTTGGAGTTTCTGTTGAATGGTATCTCTCCATCAGCCAGTCAAAAGAACTTGTTTGTTAATAAGCCTTCTGAGTACTTTGACAATGATTTCTCTATACTTTGTACTTCAGAACTTGAAAGTGCTGTACCAATTTTAAGGGATGATCTAGAAATAAATTCACTAAAAAGTAATGTTGGGTCTGAAGAAGACTTTCTGATATTAAAGCAGCAGCATATGGCACAAGTAACATCAACACCTGTAAAACTAGAAAATGTGCTATCTCCAACAACTGATTCGAACACTGAAATACTAGAAGGCAGCTATACTGGTAATTGCTATCACCGAGATGGTTCTCGACTCAGTAAGTTGGAAGCAATTGTTACTGCTCTCCCTCTGATCTTTAATAAAAATCATTTAGAAAGCTACAGGGAATGGGAGTTTATTATGAAAAGGATGAATATTGAATACCAAAGAAAACGTATGAACACACAATCTAACCAAACTAAATGTTAATCTAATTTCTCTTGGTTGATAGTATTCCTTCCTTCCTTCCTTATAGACCAATCATGGCATATTCTCGAGTGCCATACCTAACCATATACCACAACTGGATTAAGAACAATACATAGACAGATAAAATTTAAAATCTATAATCATAGTTAATAACAATTTGGCTATAGATTTTCTTTTGTTGATTGAAATAAAATCACATATCAAGTGCTAATGCATGCCAGGCTTTATAGCTTTTTGAAAATATAAGGTCCTACAATCTAAATTTCTGGAGGGATGTTGGAGACATATTTTGGAAGAATTTGGCTATTTGGCAACTCTTCCAGCCTTGACTCACAGCACTGAACAAATCTCAAGGTGTTTTGAAAGTCAAAAGTTAGCTTTTCCTACCAGGTAGTCTCCAATATGCATGGATTGAGAATTTTGGCAGTTACTGTCCCAGCAACTCTAGAACATGCAATATTTAGGCTGACCAAAGCTATACTGTTTAATCATGAATTATTTTAGAATTATATTGTTAAGTATGGGTTTGAGCAGTATAGTGACCTAATGGTGAAGACACTTGCTTCCTACTCAGAAGGCTGAGAGTTCAATCTTAAGCAGTGGCAAATGTTTCTCTCATAAGGCGCAAAGGGAAAAAAATCTGCTTCAAGGTTCATGTAGATGTCAGGAAGGGCATCTGGTCAGTAATCTCTGAGCTCCATCCAGTTGCCCTGACTACCCTGAATTAAGGGACCATAGTGTCATAAAACAGGAGTTTTATTGTTAAGTATGAATTTCTTTAACAGTAAGTATAATTGTTTATATTTAAAATTCCACAGGAAATATTCCATTTTCCTCTAGTGAAAAAAGACTAGTAATAATGCTTTTATTTCACTGTTCAATTTTGTTCTTACATTAGCCAATATTGGTTATGTTTATATATTTCTGAAGAGTTTAGCTGCAATATTAAAATCCATGATATATGTAGGGGCTTCAGAATCTCACTCTCAGATTATTGTACTTTTCTCTATCTCATTTTATATGTTTTATGAGTTTTTATCTTGGTTAATAATTTTGCAGGCATACTCTTTGAGGTGAAACGTGTGGAATTGCATGATCCCGCTGCTCTTTTTTGTATTTGGGTTATGAGAGACCTTTTCCGAAGCCAGAAACAAGCAGCAGCAAAGACACAATTACTTCTTTCTAGCTTGGGCAGTTCCTGCCAAACATTAGATGAAATCTCAGCTGTTAATTTGGCAGAAGTAAGTATATTGATTTCTACATACTCGTACACATTAGCTATTGCAGTATTTCCTAGCATTAGTCCAGCCAGCCCTGCTCACTGGAGTTTTGTGAGTTGAAATCCACACATTTTAAAAGTTGTTGAAGTTGCTGGTCTAATAGGGGTACAATCCCTGTGAGCAAACAGTAGCTATTGGAGTGTTACTGATACTAATGTGATCAACTCACTTTACTAGGCCAAAGGATAATTGCCCTCTCCCATTGACACTTATTAACAACCAGTATTTAAAACATGCTGCCTATATTTTAGTAAGTAATAATTAACTTTAATAACTACTGACAGCCTGATCTTCCTTAAACTTGTTCATAACTTTCTAAAATGCATTCAGCATTACAATGCTGAAAACAATTTCCACAGTTTTAACTGCAGATGGTGGTTTTAGGATATTTTTTTAACTAAAATATAGTGGCTAAGGTTTTTGCACTATGACTGGAAAAAACTAAGTTCAACAAAAGATGTACCTATGAAAATTCAATGGATGACTATGCCAGTCATTCTCTCTCAACCCCATCTACTTTACAGAATAAACAAGTATTTAAATGTCTCCTTTTACTGGTCCTGAATTTCTCTGAATTTAGTTTTCATTAATGTCTTTATATTCTGATATTTTAAGAATGAGACAAAGCCTCTACAATGCATCACCAGTGTTGTACATGATTGTATACATACTTTTAAAATTATCCCCCTTTCCCCTTTTTCTAAACTAAATAAACCAAATTACTGCTATATATCCTCAAAGGGGAGCTGCTCCAGCTCTTCAGTGAATGATGCAAGATAAATATAACACATATAATATTTGCTCCCTCTTAAGACGTGAAAGGCAAAGTAACCATTCTCCATATCTGCTGATTTTGGCAAAGAGATTTGTGTTTAGAGAATTTAATGACAAAATTATTGTTTCTAACAAAAAAAATTGTCAGGCAGAAAATAAAAGGGAATGCTCATTCTTTATAATGAGCATAGTGATTTAACTGGAAGTAGAAACCGTTGAGGAAACCTACAAAGTGTGATTAAATCATCCAATACGAAATTATTTATATATCCTAGAAAGGGCAGGGACCCTGTAGCTACATTTTAATGCTAGGATTTTTGCTGAAAAACTCACTGGCATTCCCCAGAATAGATTGTTTAACTTCTCCCTGTACACCCTCTAATCCTTAATTTATAGCTCGTAAAAATCTCTTGCCCCTCTGTTGACATTTTTTCTTTTTCTTTTAAAGGGTTTTTTCTTTATTCATTGTTTTAATGAATAATGTGCCATGTTTGAATTTGTGAACAGACAAGCGTTCAGAAAACACTTTTATATTGTCAATAATGAAAAACCCAAACTATCCAAACTAGAGTTTTGGCCAAAACTCAGTGACTGAAAAGATGAAAATCAGACCACCAGATGGCAGTGGAAACCAGAGAATATGCCCTGGTTAATGTGACATTGAGTGCCTAGTCCTAGTCAATTAACTTTCATATCCATTAAACTCTTAAAATCCTCTAATTAGGGTCCCTAAATTTTTGTTGGAAGGATTAATTTGTTTGGAAAAAAACTAAAGTTTCTGCAATTACTTGCTCAATATCTCAGCAAGATGAGCAGTCATTCTATAAATGAAGTATGTTATAGTGGCTGCAGCAGTGCCATCATTACTATAAAAAACAATGGTCTCTTGAGAACTGGCCACCAGTCTGGGATGATGTTTTTGCTTAAAACAGTAACACAGCACAAATTTCTTCTTTGAAGTTTCAAAAAAAGTTGCCTTTTGCACCAGGCATATCATGCATTTCCATTTCCCTATGCATATCTTTTTTGGAGGGTAGATTTAGTTCCCTTTGGGGGAAAAACATTATAGGAACTCAGAAGATAGGAAACTCAGAGCATTTATATAATATTTTGGTTCATTTGCAAGGATATGTTCTGCACAGTATATGCAGACAGTCTAATCTTCCTGAAATGTTTTATATATATTTACCATCAGATTCCCAACATTGTAACCCTCAGAAGTGCCTTACTGAATTCAGAATTAGCTCTCTTTCCATTATCTATGTAACATATCATGTTTGCATTTATTTTTCTCTATTTTTGATTCTCTCTCCCTGTACCCCTGTCCAGTACACACACACACAGAGTTATGTACCTGAATTCTTAACTCAATCGAAGCATAATCCAACTCACCCTTTTAGAACATTCATGAACATTCTAGGCATTTCTTGGCAGTTCTGCACAATTTGCAAGAAATCTCTAACAAAAACAGACAGAATTGGATGATAATTTTGACAGAAACAGGGTGTTGTCATTTTAACGATAATTGAAACTGCCATATTTTCAGGATTACTAGGTACCTAGTTACAAGTACATCTGGTAAACCTGGAGCAAGTTTGGTTTATCTTTGGATGTGCATTCCTTTATTAATTAGATTGATGTCCCCGCTTTAGGCTAATTCTCGGAGCATCCTCATGTGTTTAGAGTAATAATTGAATTTCAAAATTAATTAGTGATTTAAAATATAGGAATAGCTCAAAAAAATCAACAATTTGAGGAAAGCTACAGATGAAATATTTACCTGTCTTTAATATATTTCCTACATTTTTCCTCATTTTTCTCTTTTATTGGTTATAATTAGTTCACTAAGCTGTTATAATGTGCATCAATTATTATTATTTTTTTGGCTGCAGATAATCAAAACCACACCCTTATTTGAGAATTCACGAAGAGCCGAAGAATTAGAAAGACTGAAAGCTTGTGAGGGAGGCTATGGAGAGAAATACGATACTGTTACTTTTATTGGAAAAGGAGCTTTCGGGTTTGTCTGGACAGGAAAATGCAAAATGGACGAGAAAGAGGTAAAAATGCTATTTGCTTAAAATTAACAGTCAAGTTAGTATTAGCTGCTTGTCACAGTGCATTATGTTGTTTTACGTGTGCTGTGCATTATTAAGAAATATCTTTCTTTTATACTCTAGATAGATACAGATAGTCCTTACTGACCTCTTATTCAATGGCTGTTATGACAGTGCTGAAAAAATAACTGACGAATTTACAACCATTTGCTACCTCTGTAGCATCCTGCAACCACATGATAATCAAAGAAGAAATTTGAGCAGAATAAGCAGGCATATATAATAAGGTATACATATCAAAAGACATGACTGCATTTGACACAGCCAGTGTATTCCCCATTGTGTGCCTGCTTACTCTGATTGTAAATCTGGTTGCAACTTTGAATGATTGCTGAATGAGTGATCAGTAAGTGACAGCTACCTGTATTTTGTTTTCAAAAAGAAGAAAAAAATATCCTTTCTTTCGTTTTTGTCTCGGGTAATGAATCTTTACATTGATTTAAACCTCTGTTTCCCAACTTTGGCAATATATGGACTTCAACTCCTAGAATTCTGAGCAATGGCCACGTTGACCAGGGGATTCTGCATGTTGAAGGCTACACCACAAGAAGCTGCCAAAATTAAGAAACACTGATTTAAAAGTAAATATTCAATATGTCTAAATTATGAAGCGAACTAGTAAATGCCTACTCAGATTGCCTTGCTTTTCTTTTTAACAAATCAAATCAAATTCAGTTGACCAATTTCTATTAAATCACTGAATTATTGGGAGGAAAAAGTAATGCATGTACAAATGCCCTTCCCATGCCATCATGATATGTGATTCAGTCTATAGTTCTTTAAGCAAACCAATAAATTTAAAATGCATACCTATTTGAAATGCCATTGTACAACTTAAGTATAAACTATTTTTAAAAATCTGTAACATAGATAAAAAGTAAATTAAGCTGCTTCCTATCCTGTCCAAATTTGGTCTAATTATTCCTTTGCATCTTATTATTCATAGGTTGTAGTGAAATTCATTTGGAAAGGAAGGGTATTAGACTACTGCTGGGTAGAAGATCCTGAACTAGGGACTATTACTCAGGAGATTGCTATTCTGAGGAAACTTCAACATCCCAATATTATCAAGGTATAGTAGACCTGTTAAGCAGATATATAAATATAACTTCAGGAATTAAGCCCCTTGTATTAGTATATGTGAAACCATTTTATTTGGTCTTAATAGAATATAGCAAATTTCCAAACATGGAAATTCAAGCATTGGATCATTCATCATTTCTGTATTTTGTTCTTGATTTGACTTCTTGCTAGGATTTAATCTGTGACTTAGTTTGCTCATTTTATACTAGTTCTCCTGAAATGTAAGATGAAAATGTCTGAATCTATTTCTCTAAGAAGAAGGCGGCATAAGACATAGAGTTGTGCTTTTCCATAATTGTGAGATGGAAACATTTGAAAATTATAATGTTAGCCTAGAATAAACTCATAAGGTTTAGATCAATGAGAAAAACTTATCCATGTGCCTGATACACTCTAAGCTCAATACACAGCCCCATTCAGCTCTTTGTCCCTAACATCTGTCCTCAGCCAAAATGAGAAAGTTTTATTTTAACTATCAAAATATTATTTTCCTTTGTGCTGTAATTGTAAGATGGTACATTACTGAATCACCTTTGGGGGTTTGGATTGGTGGCATAATTCTGCAGTGGTTCTGCTCTTTCATCAGTGTATAGTTTCAATCAGTGGTGATGGGGAAGAAGGAATTGGCCCAACAGCCTCTGACATGCAGTACTGAAAGGCCCACCCCTGTCCTATACTTTTAAATACCTACATCACAGGTGTCAAACTCACTGCATCACATTGCCATCATCTGACATTTCTTGATGGTTTTCCCATTCATGGAGCTGGGGTGGGCATGGCCTGCGCGTGATGCATCCAGCCGCCAATTTGACATCCCTGATGTACGTGAAACTATTAGATGACGTTATTTGATGATTCAAGATGTGGTATCATCAATATGCTGATGATATCCAGCTTTTATTACCTTGGGTTTTAGAGGAGATCCTGTTGATCCTGCTCCAGTGCTTGAATGCTATAAGGGTCTGAATGGGAGACAACAGACTATAGCTGAAGCCTAATAAGACGAAATTACTGTTTACACAAGGCTTCCCTATTGATTTTAGTGCTTTGCAGGTTGTTCACGTGGTGTCCTTCCTGGAGACAATAGTTGCAAGGCAATCTAGCTATAATGATTCATACTTTCATTATCCCCCAATTGGATTATATTGCAAAATATTTCACATGGCCCTATAATATAAAGCTAGTCCAGAAGGCAGTGACTCATGTACTTATCCATTCCTGACATTGGGTACATATAACACTAATTCTGAGGGCCTTGCACTGGTTCTCAGTAAGCTTCTAAGTACCCCCACAAGTTGGTGGTATTGGCTTGTAAAGCCCTTCATGGCTCCACTTTACAGGACTGACTACTTCCAACTAGATTGGCTTGACCTATCAGATCTTGTAGCTGCTAGTGATTCCATACTCCTGAGGTTAGAAGAACCAAGACAAGGCACACTTCTCTCCATCAGTCTCCCATTGGAAATAAAACTATAGCTAGTCCTCAACTTATGACCACAATTAAACCCAAAATTTCTGTTGCTAAGCAGAACATTTAAGTGAATTTTGTTCCATTTTATGACCTTTCTTGTCACAGTTGTTAATTGAATCACTGCAGTGGTTAAGTTAGTAACAAGGTTGTTAAGTGAATCTGGCTTCCCCATTGACTTTCCTTGCCACAAGTTTGCAAAAGGTGATCACATGACCCTGGGACATTGCTCTGTCATATATGTCTCAGTTGCCAAGCGTCTGAATTTTGATCACCATGGGGATGTTGCAACTGTCTTAAGTATTTTTTTTTCAGTGCCATTGTAACTTGAAATGGTCTCTAAATGAACTGTTGTAAGTTGAAGACTACCCGTATTGTAGCCCTTTTCTTACTTGAAGAAGCTATTAAAAACTGGATTGTTTTAGACAGCATTTTTTATCACTTTTATTATTTTGCTCTTATTTATTACAGCTTATGTTTGAATTCTGTGTAATTACTTAAATTGTGATTTCATTGTATTTATTGTAAACTGCTGAGAGTTTATTGAAATCAGCAGGATATAAGTCCCCAAAATAAATTAATATAATAAATAAATCCAGTAAATAAATAAAAAGTAGATTGTTTAATACTTTTGAAGTGATAAGGGTCCAGTGGAATATGAAATTTATTGAGTTATTTAAAAAAGTTGTTCATACTATGTTCTTTGACGTTAGGTGCTAGATATATTTGAGAACCAACAGTTCTTTCAACTAGTGATGGAGAAGCATGGAACCGGTTTAGATCTCTTCACATTCATTGATAATCAACCTGATTTGGATGAGCCTTTGGCAAGTTACATATTCCGGCAGGTGAGATTTTTTTAAAATGCAATCTGCAATAAAGAACTGATAAGATGGTAAAAAAAAATGTTATCCAGGTATAGATTTCAAGTTTGAATCCAAATCGAGGCAGAGGCATAAGGAGTTAGCTTCCTCTTCTTATATATATGCCTAGTCTTGATCTGGGGTATCTGTGATATTTTATCCTATAAAGGAATATCACAAAGTTTATAATGGGGCTGTGATGTTGTTTCTTGCGTATGTGTCTTGATCTGTATTCCAAAGGGCATTCTATATTTGGTCTGACCTGTAACTTCATTCATAAACTAAAATGCTTAAGGTGAATGCTATATATATATTTGCAATCAAATTTTAACAAAACCTCTTTTTACTATTACAGTATATTTTTCTCTCTCTAATACACATACACACATGCACACACACACATATGTATATGTATATTTGAGTGAATCATGTAATAAAAGGTGGTAATATTAAAATAAAAATCGTACCTAGGAAATCTGTAATTTTGTTCCTTAGAACCACTAATGCTGCTGACAGACTAATCATGATTTAGGTGTCATATTGACCACAAGAAAAAAAGATGGAAGAGCAAGAGACTTATGTATAAATGGGGAGGGGCGGTAAAAGCTATTTTGTTGTTGTTGCAAATAGAGCATGAGAAGATATTGGTTACTGCTTTCCTTGTTACTTATTTGCTACAACTTTATATACATCGCAGTAGTCTTCTTTGGTAAAGAACTGATCTCTGTGGTGCACTTTTCTCCATCTTAAAATTTCTGCGATTTCTTATTCTCTCCTCTAGGCCAAAACTAGAGGCAATAATTGGTCTTGCTTAAATGTTTGTCTGCCTAAAGGCAGAAGAAATATGATGAGATCTGCATTTATGGACTACAGTAAATATTAATCCTGGAGAATTGGGAACTTATCTGGTGCTGTAGTTAAAGGGCTGGCCTAGAAACCAGGAGCAATAGGCCTCCTTTAGGCTGAAAGCTGGCTGGGTGACTTCAGGCTAGTCACACTCTCTTTACATTTTTTTTATTTTTTACAGTGACCAGTCACACTCTCTCAACCCAATCTGTGTCACAATGTTGTTGTAGGGAAGATAGAAGGCAGTAATATTAAGTGTATTCACTAACTTGATTTGATCAAAATATATAAAAAAGGTGGAATAAAACTAATAATAAATGAACAAGTGTTTACCCTGAATTAGATTATTATTAGTTCTATTGGTCTCATATAATCAGAAGAGGCATTATCCCGCTCATCTTCCTCATGGAATAGTTCTAATGAAAATGTTACTTAACAAAATAAAGTGTATGAAATATTGCTTCTAGTAATACATAAAACAGTAGTGACATTTTGAGTTTTAATCACTACAGAAGCAGATTAAAATGAAATGTGAATTTCATATTCTCTTAATTACATATCTATTTAAAGGCAAAAAGCTAATAATAAGATTTTAAGCAGAACATATAATTATTTCTTTGGTTACAGTTACTTTATTGTCTGGAATGGGTGCTATTCTGATCTCATCTTATTTGTGCACCAGCTCATATCTGCAGTGAACTATCTTCGCTCTAGGAATATTCTTCACAGAGACATAAAAGATGAGAACATCATAATTGCTGAAGATTTCACAATCAAACTAATAGACTTTGGCTCAGCTGCTTATTTGGAACCTGGCAAAATGTTCTATACTTTTTGTGGGACAATTGAGTATTGCTCTCCAGAAGTGCTATCAGGCAATCCGTATGTATGATTTTCAAATAATATTTATGTTTCAACAGAGTATATTAGTGTGATTTAGGGGAGAGGCTGTGTATTAACTCCAAAATTCACATAGGGAAACACCACGGAAATTTTATCATATTTAAAATTAATAAAATGAGTTATGAATATATTGTCGGGCTGTCTAGCAAGCTGAGTAAAAATCTAGGAAATTTTTATGATGTCCAGGTTCAGTCAAACTAGGAAATCATAGCAAATATTAATCCACAATTTTAAATGTTTTTAACATATTGTTTTTTTAAAAAGCTTTTAATTATAATTTCCTACTCTGAAAAACACAAGAATTTGTGATTTGTGGCAGATTTCTTGGTTATACCCAGCATCCTTATTAAATTAAAATATTATTGAACTATAACATTTCTGTTTAATTTTGAATCTCCCTCACTTTTGGGAATCATATAGCCCCTAATCAGATCTCTTCCCAATAATAGAGAAAGCTTTAGGGGAAAAGGTGAGAAAGGACAGAACAACACGTCATTTGGTGGGAAGAAGGTATATTTGGATACATTTTGTTCCTGGGCACTATTTTTTAAAATTTCTTTTGTTTGTATTTCTATATTGGATGATTTTGTCTGCTAAACTCAATGAGCTTAACTATTTAATTCTCTATAGATATTCAGGACCAGAACTGGAAATGTGGTCACTAGGTATCACCCTTTATACCATAATCTTTGGAGAAAATCCTTTTTGTGAGCTTGAAGAAACAATAGATGCTGTATTGCGACCTCCTTACAAGGTGTCAGTTGGTGAGTAGTTCACTAATGCGTTTGCAAATTATAAATCAAGCGAAAAGGAAAAAGGTTTTTCAGCTAGGTTTTCTATTTAACATAATTTATAGAATGACTGGCCTTACACATGGCATGCCCAAATAAACAATTTTTTTTGAAGCTTTAAATCAGAATTTCTATATTGCTAGAACCCTGAACTTTGCAAATGGGATTGATAATTTGTTGATTTTGTTAAGAAAGACGTCTTCTTTCCATGTCTCTTGTTAATTGTTTATAAATTGTACTTTTCAGTACATTGGGTCTTTATTATTCATAAGAGGAGGGAATCCTTGTTGCTTAATACTTGTCGTACATTTCAAGAAATAGCATTCCCAGATTCCCTGATGGGGACAGGTAATATAAAGGTTTAAGATGAAAATAGTGTCACTCACTCTTTGAGGTGACTTATCTGGATTTAGATGGAGGGAGTGCATTTTCTTTGTTTTGCTTAATTTCTAAATAGTGTTCAGTGCCATCAATCATGTTTCTAGATTGCCTATGAAAGATGGATTGAACCTTCAGATTGAAGATTCTGATTCTCCTTGAGTGAGCAGTTGCAGTTGCTGTTAGTGAAGGAGGAAAGGTTTGTGTCCTTAGGCACTTTATTATGAAGTGCAGGACCAATGCTATTTCCACAAACATTTATAGCAATAAAATATAATACATAAACTATAATATCTAATAACAGAACATCTAATAAGTATAAAATACCAGGCCTTTTCTGTAATCTTTGCAGACAATTAAGCAGCTATCCCCTTTTATTTAAATTTATGTACTGTATAGTTATGATATAAATATTTAGCAGTATTTAGAGACATTGAAGGAGAGTTTTATTTATATCAGATGGTAAATAACAAAGCTAAAAGGAGTTTGGCTGCCCTGGACAGTTTGTTAATAGCAGTACAATAGTAAAATACCATGCCTAAATATCCCTGAAGGAGGGACGTTCAGAAAAAATAAATATTGATGCTCCTGTAGTATGGACCTCAATATTACACATATTGTGTGGGCCAAGTTATTCATTATATTCTTACACATCCTTTCCAAGATAGCAAAAGATAAAACATTACATTTTGTTGGCATCATAGCTCATCTTATATTTAGCTATTTAAGCTTATTTCATACCCAGTCTGAAATTGGGTATCTCCAACACACCGATTTGAAATTTCTGTATCTGTGTTGACTTGGCTTTGGCATGGTAAGGGCCTAAGGCTTTCAACAAGGAAATTTGGAAGTAGTTGTTGATGAAAAAAAAATCAGCTACTACTTCCTGATTGGTCAGCTCTGGTATAACAGAGTAAGTCCAATATTGCAGGATATGCGCTCTTGTCATTTAGCCTCTAAATCCAATTCAATGGGCTGGCTTAGATTTTTGTTAGGTTCTTTGGGACTGTGTGAACTAAATAGAATTGGCCTAACCATTTTGACTTGGCTAAAATGATAGAATAGGAATTCTGTTCTCTGAGATATTAAGAGTGGGTGGGGCTTGGAAATAGCCCTCCCGGTAGCAGCCCTTTTGCTCTGGAATAGATTGCCAAGGTTAGAATGGCTGCCTTCTTACTAACATTTTGAAAAGAAGCAAAGACTATTTCCTTCCAACAATTCTTTGGCTGGTGTTATTTAATTGAGGGCTAACTGTTCAGAATTAGGTGACTGCATAATATACTTTATATTCTGTATTTCAAAACACATTTATGGTTTATCTGGCATATGAGATGCATAGAAACTCAGGAGGAGTGACATAAAGGAAGTGTGTGTGTATTATAAGTAAATACATGTAATTACTGTACTTTCTTCAGACTTTCAGGTTCTAATTATACTTTTCAAACCGTCATCTGTAAAAGGCTTGATGACCTCTTCCTGTAGATCACGGGTGTCAAACTTGTGGTGTCATGTTGCCGTCACATGACGTTTTGTGATGTTTTTTTCCATTCACAGAGCTGGGGGTGGGCCAGTTTGACACCCCTGCTATAGTTTTGGGAGGAGAATCTGAAGTATATAAAAATCATAAGATAAGGACCATTTAATTCTCATTTCCCTGCTAATTCTTTGTTCTGAATTTCCATTCTATATTGACTGTCCTGTGAGGAAAAAAAAGATTGTGATTTTTGTTATGAACACATGCCATTTCAGTGATACTCATTTGCATAGCTTTTAGCTTACATTGTTTTATTTTCATGTAGCCTTTGGATCAAATAATGAATTGCAATATCTTAAAAGAAAAAAAGAAATCCATTTCAGATAGTCATAAAGGATTATAATTTTAAATTATAATTCTTTGGAATTATATCTGCATAGGTGCAGTGTGCCTTATTCAAAGCAGATGATCCTGAAACCTGGGTTCTATTGCAGTAATTTTCACTACTGAATAGAAGCCATCTTGAGAAAAGAAAGTAATTACAAATGAAGCCAAGAAAGGTAACAATGAGAAAAAAAACACGTTTGAAGTGTTCTGGATTTCAGTTTGTAATAATTGTTCATTTTACAATTACAGTCAATGAAAGTAGAATATCTGAAAGGCAAGTTGAAGGCTAATATGGTGGTGTTTCTCTTTTCTTTCTTTAGGTCTGATGAGTCTCCTCTCTGGACTCTTGAAGCCTTTTCCACAGGATCGAATAACTCTAGAAATGGTCATACAGGATCCTTGGGTGTTTCAACCTGTAAACTTGATGAACTATGCATGGGAGAAAGTATTTATTTGTGACAAAACAGGTATGAGAAAAGATTCTGAAAACAGCGTTCCTAATTTACCATGAATTCTCAGATGAATGAGATTTTCAAAGAATTCTATACAGGGGATATTTTGCATTTGACACAGTTGTTTCAAGGTCTTAGCACACAAGAGATGTGTTTGAAATAAATTTCTGTGCAGTGCAATTTATGTGTGTTGCGCATCAGTAAATCTTGTTCTGTTCAGTGACACTTCTGTTACATAGTATGGTATTTGCTACTTGGTGTTTATTAATATTAATAAAAATATTTTATTTTTAGAAAACAACAGTTTTAAAATTCATCCCACTGGTTGCAATCATGGTGGTATTTGGGCAATCCCAAGCCTGGACAGTGAGCAGAGTTTTAATGATGAGATCAATAATCATGAGACGGCAAATTCCCAACTAGTTGGAATTATCTCTTCTGCGGATCGAGAGCCATCAACCTCTTCCCAATGCCAGAATCACTGAAATCTTAACTTTGGACACAATCTTACTCGTCTTGTGAACTAAAAAAATGCCAGAAGGACATCAATGTGATGAACATAATGAAGCAGCAAAATTACAAGTTCACTCTGCCTCCTGTGAGCGCGTCTGATATGATTCTTTAATTCCGATATATGGGGATTTAGTCTTCATAGTGCCTGTCTACATAACAGTAGTCTAATTATAGTCTTTTATAACAAAAGTTTCCTCATACATTAGGCCTTTTTTAAAAAAAGAAAAACAGTATCTTTCACATTTTTCTTATTGGAATAACAGGACATCATTTGAAATTTTGTTTAAGTGAATTACTGACAGGAGTCCTGATAAAAAACAAAAGTTATTGATGGCCATATATTTTACCGCATCTTCCAAAATTTAGCTGATACATAACTAAAGGGATAATCAGTATGTATAATATTCTATATTTTGGCTTTGTGGATGATCTTCAGAAAAATCTTCACAATAGAGGAAACATTGCACATGTTAAGTTTAAACGCAAGGTCAATATTTTCTTATAAATATCAAGAGAAAACAACTTTTTAATATGTTAGTCAATATCTACGCTAAAGTGGGCATTTATTTTCCAACAAACTATCTTAGCCAGAAGTTTCTGACAGGTGAGTTTTACTTAAAAACCTTTATTATGCTGAAAGAAATAGTCTCTAGAAAGTTCAGTTGATTTGACCAATGCATTCATTCACATGCATGCATAGTTCCTGTGAATTATAAATTGGCAATTTAATTTTCTATAATTCTTTTTTAACTCTTTAGGAGCAATACCTTTTTTTTCAGATTAGTTTAGCACAGAAGATAATTACTTCTCTTTATTGATTGTGTTGCTTGATACCTTGATAGGTGAACATTTGTATTTGACTAATTCTTCTAAGGAGTATTTCCTTCAGCAATGCAGCTATCCTTAATATTAATGCCAATTTGAATGTTATTTTACTAGGGTTCACTTTAAAGGTTGTTAGAGGTGGAACACAGTGTCAGTTCTTTTTTGGTTGTATTATGAAGTTTGTGCCTTTCATGATGAAGAAAGCTGTTATCCAATCTACAGAGAAGAAAAGCAAAATATTTGGAAGAATTCTACTAGTGTTTTTATGTTTTAGTATAGAAAAAGGCATCAATTGCTAGCAACAACTACTATTCAGTCAGTCCTTAATGCATTCTATCCCTTGAGGCCTAGTATTTCTCTATCCTGGTGCATATTTCACAATAATGTGGAAAAAATGCAAATTTTTAGATTGACTGATTCCATGTTATCCAGTTTGCTAAAGAGTTGTATATACTAACATTACAGAAGGATGCAATTGAAAATTAATCCAAGAGAAAGCCTCACTAGATAATGTCCCACTTGGGCATAATACCTAGATTTGTCAGATAAAATTAGACTAAATCACAAGTAAGGCTGTAGAAACTTGCAAAAAGGTGTTTTGAAACTGATACCCGTTTTCTTTCAAAAACTGTTCATTGCTGCCTGCATGTATTTTCATGGATAATTGCTTGGTTGACAATTCTAATGAAACGTGCATGCATGCATAGAAAATCTAAGATTACCTTCAAAATAATCTTATGAAAATTCCAGAGAAGCTGGATGCGTTAATGCTTCAAGAAAAATAGGTGCTTTGTTTAGCTAATGTATTTTGTGAAGCAACTCATTCACTTGTTTTGCACAACCATAATAATCGGATCAATTTTATGTCTTGAATTTTTGCCATATACTCTATTTTAGACAATGAAAACTTTTTGAATGATATTTGCTGTAATTGTGTTAAATCATTTGCTGAAATGAATGAAATACACAGTAGTATTTTAATGTATGTCTCATATTACTTTCTTTTCATGAACAGCTGTGGTCCATCTTTTTCTTTTTTGGAGGATTTTTTTGTTCTGCACATTTCCCATTATTTATAGAAAAGGAATATATATTATTTTTATCCTGCTATGTTTAGAGAACTCATAACTGATATATCTGACTCCTTTTTTTCTCCTTTCCAGTCTCATTTTTCTAAAATAGATTCAGTTGAGAATGAATTATCCAAAATAACTCAGTTAAATTAACAAGCAAAAACTTACATTAAAAAAGTTAAATTTGTGAGTCTGCCAACTAAAAGAGTCAGGAATATTATAACTATATTTTTTGGGGATGTCATCTCTACCATCATTTGATCAAAACAAAGGTGTTGTCAGGAGGGACCTTCCTTGAAGAGATGAAAATGCCTTGATTAGAATGTGTGTAGATATTTTCATTGACATAATTTGACAGACTGCCTGCTACAGTTTTTAAGATGTTCCTTCATTTTTCTATGTTCATTAGTATTGCTATTTGTCTGTTTTCCTTCAAAAGGAGAAATTAAAATAGCCTAGAAAGGGAGAGTTATCCTCTCCCCTTCTACATGGCACTGTGCCTCATGAGAAATAATTATAGGAGAAATAACTCTTCATTCAGAACATAAATGTTTTTATTTGTCAGTTTGGGAAAATACTGACTAGCAGAATCTGCTGGAACACACTAAAAACAGAAAAGTCAGAACAGATCTCAGTAGTCCTCTATGCATTAGCTGTCTTTTTCTTAGAAAGGAAAGAGAATAGTTGAAAATTAATTCTTCATTTCTATCGACATGCTTGAAGAGTATAGGGTAACATTTTTTCATCCAGGATATTTTTCTCCTGTCAGCGTACATAATTTTATTCTATATTTCCTTTCAAGGAATCTAGGGCTTCCCACAATCTTATCTTCACAACAACTCTATGAGGAAGGCTAGACAGAAAGCTTGCTTTCCAAGTAATCCAATAAACGTCATTTTTAAATTATGTTTTTGAGTAAGCATAATGAAATTACAAAAGACAATTTATTGGAATAAAAGTTATATACATCTTAAAAATAAAAGGGGAACACTACTTTTTTACAAACTCAAAAATAAATTGTCTAAAAAATTCAAATGTTTAGAACGAATATTTTTACAATCAATTGGATACAACAAAATTATTCCTGTATAGTAATTTTCTTTGCAACATCCATTAAAAGAGTATAAAATTTAATGTTGATATGTTCTACAACTAAAACATGTGATAAATAATAGATCTAATAGATAAAAGTAATACTACATTTTAGGCCAAAATGTAGCAATGGAAGGACAAGTCATAATCATGTTTTATTGTTTCATTCTTCCAAATTCTTTAGAGCGTTCTTTAAAATGGATAATATTTGTGAAAAAAAATCTACTAATAACCACATTTTGAACTTTAGAATAAGATATTCAAAGTCATTTCAAATGTCACATGGTTAATACCACTTTTATATTGCTTTCAGTTTCAATTAAAAATTGATTAGGAACATACATAAGATGTTCCAAATCTTAATATAGATTTAGGAAGTTAAACAATCAGAATCAAACAGGTTAAATCAGAAATATATTGCCCCAGTAAGAAAAGCAGATATTCAAACACAGAATAAAGTATATCACAGCTTTTTCAATTTATATAAATAGGGATATGTATATAAAAGCAGAGAGGACCTATACAAAGAACTAACATTGGATGGAACTATTGCAGGAACTGGCATCAGAGTGGCAAAAGCTGGGAAGTATGGAAATTGTTGAATAGACTGCACAAGTACAACAAAATCCAGATATATTCTGAAGAAATAGGGTTATCCGGTGGCTTCTGCCCTTTGTGATTGTGACATGCAGACAACACATATGCACACTTGTCCTGGATCCCACCTATCAGTCTTATAGGTCACATTTGTCTCCGATAACAGTAAAAAAAATCCTTGATCTTTAAAAAAATCCTACGTCGTGTAAAATTGTGAATCTGAGGCATCACTTCTGTACATTTTGTGCTGTGGCAATATCAGAAACAGTTCTATAATCATGCTAATTTACATAAGTAGATGGGCATGATTTATAACGTGCTTCCAAATAAAATTTTAATATAAGGAGCTGTAGCACAAATGTTCGTTTCTATAATTTTTCTGCAGTATACTGACGCATGACTTGGTTTGTGGAGATGTAATCTGATTCGTTCGGGTAGATCCTTTATAAGCAGTATGAATATTCATAAGTATCGGACTTCTATTCAAGTAGGATTCTTTACAAATGTCAGGTACGATACGCCCTTAACTACTCTCGGGAAAGATAATGGCGCACTCGCTCTGTTCACATATCTGATTTGGTCTTCATTCACAATCTTTACAACTACAAAGTTTTTTTATTCGCCCTTCGGTTGTCCCACGGAACGTTTATTCCCCACCTTCCGTTTCGGTAGGAAAGCATTTACACGAGCACCTTCCCCTTTCGTTTTCTCTCCGCTTGTCCAAGCTGCGAAAGCTCAGAGATGCCGAGTATGAAATCAGCAATCCGCTATTGGCGTGTGAGTACGCTTCTTATCATCAGTCTGTCCTTCGAAAAATAATGTGTGAACAGAAGCGCCACTTACTATTGTACTTTCATGGGTTAATAAGCAGGCGTAAGAAAAGATACCTGATGAGTTCGCATGCCATATATCTTTCCGTATCCTGCATGAACGCAGCAAGTGTCATTTGTAACCATGGTTTACGATTGAGTGACAAATACAAATCAAGCAAATTGTGGCTCATCAGGCAATAATGGCGTAACACTATTTGTCTTATAAGTGCCGTTTCCCTTTTACGGACGGGTGAGATGGAAGTTTTATGTAATCGTTTTCAGCCTCATGCTTTCCAGCGATGCTACCACTTCATCCACAGGTTATATGGTCATGTGTCCAGAGAAGGATGGCTTCCATAAAGGGGGAAAGGTCGATCTTACCTGTTCGTGGTAAAGGGGCGAGGTTGAACAGGGATTCCTATTCATGTGTCACTCTGTTAAAGATCACAGTCTGGTTTTCATTCATTCATTTAATGTACCTGGAGATTTCAAGGACATTAAAATACATATTTACTACATGTATGGGTCAGTGGTGAGATTCAAATTTTTTTACTACCGCTTCTGTGAGTGTGGCTTGGTGGGTGTGGCAGGGGAAGGATACTGTAAAATCTCCAGTCAGAGGTGGTAATTGCTGGTTCTCTGAATTACTCAAAATTTCTGGTTCTCCAGAACTGGTCAGAACCTGCTGAATACCACATCTAGTGTGGGTGGGTGTATAGTGTTTAGAAGAAAATGGCAAACATTTGTAATGTAATTGTTTATGAAGATCAATTTTTGGTAAACCTTACATATCCATACACGTAAGCATATTTCAAAGTTAAAAGCAAAATGGGATTATTATGTAAATGTATACCAAATTGCAGATTTAATCTGAAATTAATCTCCTTTTTTGATAGCAAACAGTTTAAAATTCCTGTTCAATCTGAGGTATATACTGTATCAGATAAGTTGAACTTTTATATTTACATATGTTCTTTGGCCATGGTTGTTTATGTGCACACAATATACTAGACTTGGCTAAAATGGAGCTACTGTGTTTTGGTATGCTGCAGAATAACGAAGTTTTTTTTTTTAATGTGTAGATCAAATTATTACTTAATTCTTTATTTGGATGCAATATGTCATTTGAATATAGCAATCTTAATTTTTTAACCTGAGTTTGGGGTCACATTTGGGTGAATCACTACTTTTACTGTAGATAGTTCAAATTTAAAGTCTAGGTGATTTACATTTCAATTTTGAAAGTATGCAATGAGATCATTATAGAACAGTCTGATGTGGTTTTAAATTAATGTTTCATGAGTATTAATATGGAACATTTTATCTTTTGAACAGACTAGGCCACCAGCATATTCTGTAAAAGCTGTAGAAATATTATTTGGAAAAAAATTGCTTCTCAAGTGTTACCAGTAGAACAATATTTTTCTTTAAGCATAATTTTTAAATACCCCCCAAATGGAGTACTGATGTTTGATAGTTTATGTAGAACACTTTTCATTTTGTTTTGGTGTTGACCAAAACCAAGAGATTTCTCTCGTACATATTATTTGTGAACATGTTTGCTACTCATTTTCTAAAAATACAATATTTAATGTGGCCTTTGTGATTTGAATGAGGCTTAAAAGTAGTTATGTTCAATATAAACTGTAACACTTTTTGAACAATTAGATGTTTCTGTCGTGACAAGTTCATCTTAATTGTGTGAAATACATGGATACTGTAATTCAATACCTCAAATAAGTTAAATTGGGAGGCAAGGTATGATAGCTTTAATATTTGATAAATTATGGTGTGATGCTGTTTTAGTTTAGTTTTGGCAAGCGTCTTTGATCTGCTGGCAACTATACTTGCTCTTTCCTTTAAAATACAAATATATTTGCTTTTTTAAATCTATTTTTGCAGATTTTTGAGAAATACAGCTTCCCCCCCGTTGCCTATGACTCTACCCATTTACCTTCTCTCAGTGTATTACCAGTTGCCTTTTGGTGGTCTCATCAACACCTGGATTGCAGATTGATTACTACCAGGTCTTTTGTACAGAGCAAAAAAGGTTTTCCCCCTTATAGGTCAAACTATGAGTGCTCTCCAAAGCCCCAAGAAACTTTAATTAATTCACCAGTAGAAGAAGTAAAAACAACAAAAGTGGACCATTTGGAGCTAGAAGAGGACAGAAGTGCTTATGTTAATTTGGGATTCAGTCCTGCTCAGATAACACAGCTATTTAGCTTGCAGCTGGATGTACCATTTCAATCAAAATTGACTGCAATTTCAGAATTACTCCTATTGGGTTTAAGCATTACCACAATACTAAAGACCCTAGAAAAGAAGCCTGAACTGCTGGGAATGTCACCCAAACATTTGAAGGAACGTGCGGATCTTCTGAGAAGATTTGATTTAGATGCAGGTAATGCTCCTCTTGAATTTTGCAGTTGCTGAATTGAGTGGATTGTTTAGTTCCAATTTGTTTAGATTCTGTTCACAATACATTTAGTTTTTCTGTCCTTTATATTTAAGGAAGTGTTCATGTTCAGTTAATCATATACACAGTCAATGGATATTCTTCAACTTGCTACAAATAGCTGCATATGTTTCTGGATCAATTCCTTAATCCACACTATGTTTCTTATATATAGGTGCCAATTGCTTGCCAAAAGAGAATACTAGAATATTTTCCCCACCATCATTCATTTCAGCATAACCTTTTTTGCTGCCAGAATAAATATTTGAGGGTTTCGTGGGCATCTTCGAGGATTGAAGGGTCTTAGAGCAGTGCTGTCACTTGACAAAATGGGATTATTTTGCCATATATGTACATACACACACACACACACACACATACACACACACACACTTCTGGGGGAAGATCCTAGAGTTGGGCTGATCAAGTGCTTTAAGCTTCTGTTATAATTAAACATCTGTTTTCCTATTTTTACATACATTCACATGCACAAACACACACACACAAAACATTTATACTCTGTACACTACTAAGGAATTGCAAGCAATGGTCAATGTGGAAATATTTTATGTTGAAATAGCCATGGTGGCACAATGGTTAGAATGCAGTATTGCAGGCTAATTCTGCCAATTGCCAGCAGTTCTATCCTGACCTGCCAAAGGTCGAGTCAGTCTTCCATCCTTCTGAGATCGATAAAATGAGGACCCAGATTGTTGGGGGCAATATGCTGACTCTGTAGACTGTTAGGGCTGTAAAGCACTATGAAGAGGTATGTATATAAGTCTAAATGCTATTGCTATTTTTGCACCGAAGAGCAGTAAATTAAGTACAAAAGTGGGATAATGTAGTAATGTACACTCAGAAATATTCCAAATGCATTATTTAGAGAGAACACGTGTAGACATTATGTGAAACACTTAGGAAAAATTATATCTTAAAAATATACTAGTTTGCTCTTAATATTGTTAGGGATACATTTGTCTGTCTAAAGACAAAGATGATTTTAGTCAGTGCTATCTTATCTCTTTCCTCTTATTTTAACAGGAAGCATTAACCAGGTGGCAGTAAATTTTCCAAGTATATTTACAGTGCCACACAAGAGAATAAAATCCCTAGAGAATCTCCTTAAAGAAAAATGTCTCTTCACAATGGCACAAGTATCAAAAATTCTACAAACAAGTCCACAACTCCTTTTAGAAGAGTTAAATGATGTTGAATACAAATTCCAGGTATTTTCAAAATAACTTTCCTGATGTCAGATTGCACATGGTGGTACACTGTTCCATTGCTGAACTTGAGCAATTCAAAAAATAAAAATATGCTTTAGGAGATTTCATATATTCCTATTCTCAGAATGTGACTTTAACTGTTGCATTTATCACTCCTTCAAATATTGCCTCTAACAATATAATTGTTAGAAAAATTGGTTCCTATGCACTTTTTTTGCTTATTAAAATTTATTATATGGATCCTGAGAAATATCTGTCTATATTGAATCTACCATATGATTTTTCTTGCTTTTGAAGATACAATGATGAAGACTTCGGCCTCATATCTTATTTCAGGAAAACTTACATCCTGATGTTTTGAGTTCACCGATCTTTAACTGTATTTTGCTTCTTGTCATTTTAAAAAAATGGAACCTTCCATTGCTATGCCTTTTTTTGTCCTGACAATTGTGGAAAATGGTACATGACTCATAAAGTCCAGGTCACAAGAAGTAATTGTCCCACTCCAGTCTGCCTTGATCAGACTTTATACTTGTGAAACTAGTTGCTCATGAAGTGGCACTTTTCTTCCTATTGGAGATCTTCAAATAGAGACTTGATTACCATCTTCCTAAAATGCTTTAGCATAACCTCTACTGAGAAAGGGCTTGGAGTGGTTATTTGGAATTCAAGCGCCATTAGTACCTGCTATCATAATTATAATTTATAATGCTTGAATTTTAACCTCAGTCTCAGTCTTTGTTTCAATTCTTTCACATCCCAGTTGATTCTCAGATTTAAAATAAAAGTAATAAAGTAATAAAAGCTAATTTTCTTGTACAGAACCTGAATAAGGATAGTTTTTTCTTGCAGGCTGCAAGTTGTGCCCATTTATATTAAGAGCATAACTTTCTTGAAACTAACAGACACAATTTAGTGTATTTCTGTGTTGAACTGTGTCTTGAGTTACATTCTTTGTAGTAGAATGCTATAGTGTTCATTCTTTCACTTAATCTCTGTTTTTTAGTTTGCCTATTTCAGGATGGGAATTAAACATAGAGAGATAGTGCAGTCTGGTTTCTTCCAAGCATCGCTGGCTGAAATAAACAAACGAATAAATTTTTTGGAGCGCTTGGGACGCTATCAAACTCCTGATAAGAAAGAACAGACCCAAATTGTCAATCCCAAACTGAAAAGTATTATCAGAGCTTCTGAACAGGATTTTGTGATTGAAATAGCCTGCTCCTCAATTGAAGAATATGAGGTCTTTAAGAAGTTGCTGGCTGATGAAGAGGAGCAGAGGAGGCAACAGGAGGAAGCAATGGAAGAATTCTCAGATTCAGAGAATGATGATGGAAGTGGTTCTGAATAAATTTGCATTTAAAAGTTTTTGCTATTTGGTAGTAGTAGTAGTATTTCTTGCCTTTTTAAGATAGGAAGGAGGGAGATGGGTACTTCTGATAATAGAGAAATCTAATGCTTGTGAATATTTTTAAATGAGTTATTAAAAAATGGAAGGCAGGTTGGGAAATCAAACTCAAACATCAATTCATAAATATGACTTTAAATAAAGTTTCTAAATGGTAGCCTTATTTGAAAATAAATGTTTTTTTAAATGCAATTTTTATAGCTAACTCCAGTAATCCTTTTATTCTTAAAAAAAAAAGCAGAATGACTTTGAAATAAATTATATATTTAGTCTAAAATGGAAAAAAAAACAAGGTAACTTTAATAAAATAAACCTTTTTTAGTTTATTGGTGCATTACATATGCCTTGATCTGACTACAGAGTACTGGATTGATAATGGTCCTCTTCTGCCTTAAGACAGTCTCTGGGGAAAACAGTCTGACAAACAAGGAACAAGCAATAAAGATCTTTTATACTCTTTGTCTTCTGCAGATACTATTTTAAAACTTAACTTTGGATTTTGAAAAATGTAATATTTGGCGCTATCCCTTCTTCCTTCTCTTTATTCTTGGAAACTTTAATATTCTAGTTAAAAGATGAGATGGTTCTCATAAGCCTAATATGTAGTGTAATTGCAGTACTGATGTGGTTGTTCAAAATACCAAGAATTTCACTTCCTTCTTCCTCTTCATGTAGTCTTCCCAACACACATTTTCTGCTGACCATGCTCAGTTTTCATTTCATTTATTTTTTTTCAAGATTCTGTCACAATCTGAAGTTTTTACACAGTAATTCTCTTAAGCCTGGTGCTGGTTCTCTTGTGTGCAGGTTGTGTTACTGTAGGGCACAGTGCCCTGTGCAGACATCTAAACATCAGAAGTAGAGGGAACAATACACCAATTCAACCAGGTAATGTAAATGAATGTGCAAGTATTTCTGCTGGCTACATTGACTGTAGCAGGGTTTTTTAAAATTGTAATTCTACATTTTTAATACAATCTGTGGCCCTTTAGTGTTGTGCCATCCCACATCAGGGAAAAGAATCACAAATGGATAGTATCATTCACAGCACACATAAATAACTTATGTTGGAATGTGGGTAAGCATCTATTGATGACTTCTAGGATTTTTAAATTTTTATTTATTAATTAATTTCTTATACCACCCATCTCCCCTACATGGTGACTCTGAGCACCTTAAAAGTTATAAAACAAGTAAAAATTAGTTAAAATATCAAAAGAATGAAGGAACTTTGGAACCGCTTTGTGCTATTTCTGCCAATAGCAAGGACTGTCTTTCAAATTAGAAAAATATCCCCTTTTCAATATGCTCCTCTATGCTAAATAAACAATATTTACAGCTCTTAAAATATGCCATGAATTATGTTGCAGGCAATGGGTATGCCTTTTCTGCAATAATCCAATACCTGCCAGAATAGTAATTTAAAACTATGACTTTCTGGTTGTATTGCTTTATAAAATACGATATATGTCTATTAACACAACCTTATCGTTTTAACTAGTCATACGACTCACAAAGGCTAGGTAATAGTAAGGCTTTTTGAAGGCTAGTCATCGTATTTTGCAACATAAACACCACTGAAGATGGATGGAAGCCTTTTTCCATCATCGGTATCAGAATTTTGTCTTTTAAGAATATCAAAGGAAATACTTTACGTATTAAACATTAAGATTTTTGGTAAAATTCTTTATGAAAGCACAGAAACCTTCATTAACAGCATCTGGAGGCTGAACAACTAAAAGTATTTTGGTTTTTCTAAAAGACAGTCCTCTATTGCTGCTATTGCCAACTTTTTTCTTATTCTAACTTCTGAAGTGCTAATAATTTGTTAGCAATAGTAATGAATTGAGGGAGTTGGCTGAAAAAAATGGATAATTTTTCATTTACCTTAATTTTGCCAAGGAACAACATATGGTTTAAGTATTGAGGATCAATTTCTGAGGCAATAAGATTTGGTTATAAAGAGAACACTTTTTTTTCCCAGGACTCAGGTTTAAGGAAGTCCATAAATCAGATTATATGTCCAAATCTCAAATACTATTAAACTTGAGTACTGTTATGCAGGAAGCTTGCAAAAGAACTTTTACTCAATTTATATAATGGAATTAGATCCTATGATGGAAAGAAGCTGGAAATGAAAGTGAGATATTATAATCTTGCTGAAGACAAGGGGCTTTATAGTGAACATCTCTTGAACAAAAAAGATGGAAAGTCTTTCGTTCCAGCTGTCCCCCCCCCCCTTTAAACAAAAATCAGTTGACATGATGAAGCTATTGTATCCTTGGGATGAGGTGGAGCCGAAGATACCTAGATTGTTCAGTATTGCAGGTACTGATGTGCTAATTCTCCATTTCATGCCAAATATTTGTATTTCGATTGTAAATTAATAAATGGATTTGTTCTCTATTCACATTGCAATTAAAATCTGTAGCAGATCACTGTTATTCAGCATTCCTTGAGAGCAGTTCCTTGGTAGTCCAAAAGCAAGTAGGATCATGGTGAGGAATTCTGTTGATACAACAACTCTGGCACTTATCAGTAGAAGACTTAATGGAGGGAATCTTCCTCTTCCATTTAAGGATTAGGACACAACCTTAAAATGAGAGACTGTTTTCCATCAGTCATTATCAAATAAGCACTATAGAGAGGCAGAAATAAAAGTTGCAATACAATATATTAAAAAGATGAGTCATACTGTGGCTGAATTAACCTGGAAAAAGGTACTTTGCAATGTATGAGAAAATGTACAAAGCACCTATCTTCAAACAGTTAAAACTGATGGATCCTTTGCAAGACTCACATGGCTACTTTATGGACTGTTCCTAATTGCATACATATATGCATGCAGCTAAAAACATCTTACAGAGTAACTGCATGAATAATCTGGTCGCTCTAATGATTTGAAAAGACACATTCCTATATAGTATGCTATGAAGCATTGCTTTGTTTAGCTTTGCTTAGCACTGTAATACATGCAAATATAAACATAATGCATAATATATATATAAATGTTACATAAAAATAAATGAATGTTGTCATGAATTTTCTTATGATGCCTGACTTTTTGAAATAATAAAGTCATTATTAGCATGCCTTGCTAATTCCATTGCATTTAAAAAATATTTTGTGGCATTCAGTCAATATAGCTACAGTTTCCTTCTAATGTTTGGCAGGCTATCAATATCTTAGAGGTTCCTCAAAAAGGAGATGTAAATATTTGCTTGTCAATGATGCTTTACCCATGGTTTAAGCTACGGGGAATTATAAAATGAGACTTGTTCAAGGAACTCTGATTTATCAAGTGTCTAAATTCCTTGATTTATCTAATATATCAGTTAATGGAACCATCGTTCCCATCCACTGCCCAATAAAGATACTTACCGTGGGTTTCAATGCCTGTTGATTTGTTTTCTGAAATAAGAAATTTTAATATATGACTATTTATCTTACACAGTAACGTAAGACTTATTTCTAAGTATTTCTTTATTCTGATGCTACTTAATTCCAACAGTGTGTTAGGCAAAAGAAGGGGCAAAGAAAAAACATATAAATTATTGATTATGATATTCAGGATCTTTCATAAGTAATTCTTAGAGACTGTTTGAACAAGCAGTCCCTGTGGTTTTCTTGACAAGGTTTTTCAGAAATGGCTTGTCATTACCTCTTTCTAGAGCTGAGAAAGAGTGATTGGCCCAAGGTTAACCAAACTGGCTTACAAAATCCAAATTGGCTGAAATCCCTCCTAAATTAACATCCAGGTTGTATGGTGTTCACCATATTATTAAAAATTATAATTGGTGCTATGAGAAATTGGAGGTTAGGCATCCTTAGGATTTCTCCCCCAAATAAAAACTACATTTGTTTTACCTGCTGAGTGCCTTATTTGTTACAGTACTCTCACAACTCTCTTTATAACAAATGTCCTGATGCACTTTGTAGACTCTTCTGTATCTGATAAGAAAACAAGCATATATCAAAGAATGAATGATGGAAAATTTGACCATAAAGAGGTATAGCGTGGGTTGGAAATGAAATCCCAGAGCTTAAATCCCTTAATTTTTTTTTTTTACTGTGCAAGAGTAACAATCCCCCAGTGCCCTAATAAAACTCCAGGCCACTGTCAAAAAGACATTACTCACATTTTCCCCAAAATCTCAGCAGAATCAAGCAACCAGCAATCTCCCCAAAATCATATTGCCAATTTTTGATGATGCAACCGGTGAAAGTAGATACTATCTTGCTATTTTTAGGCAGAAAAATGGTATTTGTAGTATAAATCAAAACTAGCCTTAATTCAGTGTAAAAGACATCTCTCTTCCCCCCCCCCCTTTTCTCTCTGGTCCTCCTATGAAAAAAAGTGAGCAGGCAGGTTGGAATAAAAAGCAGACAGCATCAGGAATAGCAAGCTGAAATCTGAAGTTTGATATGTGAAGAAAAAAGGATGGTCAAGACAATACTTACAGATAATGGCAGACACCCTCTTCCCAGACTGGAAAAGATTTTGTTTCAGAGTACAGCCGAGTACAAGTCTGAGGCACTTTTTTACAAGCTGGAGGGGAAAAATATGTACTGAGAACATTTCAATAAATAGAAATACATATTTGATCTAATTTTCTTTGTGCAAATCAGACAAATTATTCAGAGCAGTGCCAAGGAATTAAATTAAACTGTTCTTATGTGTGGAATATATCTTGAAAGAGAGATTTGAAGAGGAAAAAGGAAATCCACCAATAACAGAAGTACATGATACAACTTGATTGTATGTTCCTGCAGTTTGCTCTCATATAATAAATGATGCTGTACTAAGGAGGGTTGTATAGGATCACCTTGTAAGGCAAGAAGAGCATTTGTAAAGCATGTGAATATCATCTTCTCAAAAGAAAAAAATCTGGTGCTTTTTACACCCTCATTTTTATTTTAATTCTTTTTTCTTCTGCTCAATCATGTCTGGTTCTCCAAAAACTGCTTGGATAAGTCCCTGCAGTTTTCTTGGCAACGTTTTTCAGATGTGGTTTGCCATTTCCTGTTTCCTAGGGCTGAGAGAATATGTCTGGCCCAAGGACACCAAAAGTCTCCTGCTTTATAGCCTGATGCCTCAATCACTGCACTAAACTGGCTCTTATAGGTTAGAATTTTTAATAAAGTTCAGTATCATAATTATGCTAGACAAAACAGCCATGAAAACTTCAACCTTCCCTCCCAGTTACAGTTCTGTCCACAGATACATAATTACAAATTGTGCTGTGCAGACATATTTCCTATTTCCTAATAGCAACATTGAAATAATTCCATTCCATAAAGCAAGCTTGCAGCAATTCAATCTTTGCTCAATTTCTATCCATATATCTGTTTACAGTACTTAATTATGTAAAATAGTCCAGTAGCCATGTCTGTAGTCTCTTTTTTCCATTAAAAAGATGGACACCTATATTTTGTAAAAATAAGAGTAATTTGAATTTATAGCAGACTGGATCACCTTCAATGTCCTCCTTAATTCACTGTGACTTACTCTAAGGTTAGATGTTTCATGTTTATCAGAGTTTAAATACAAACCACTTCTTCTGGACTGTTCTTGGTGGCATAATTTCATTTCATTATTTCATAATCATAAGTTTTTCTTTTATGCATTTGTAGCAATCATATTACAATTAGATTCCATACGTAGAATCTATATGTACACAAATCTTACTTCCTCTTCCAGAAATGTATTTTTTTTAGTTCATGGGAAAAAAACATAGACGTATAACAGACTGATGTGTGAACAATACTTAGCGTTGGTTAATGGCCTATATTAATGGATATATCAGTTCCCAAAGTCTGATGAACATTAAAATTACGACAAAGGCATGGGCATATGTCTTCTTTGGGTCAGAAAAAGTTTTGTCAGTACTGTAGCATATATTTCCTACAGTCCATAAATCAATTTCTTCCTCTATTTACCAATGCAGATTTTTAACTCAACTTCTCCTTCCAGCCTATGGATAAATTTCTATGCAGTTTTTATTCTGCACTGTTAAACACCATTTCTAATTCTGTATGTAAGTTTTTCATCCCTTTTAAAAAGAGGAGCAACACTTGCATATTCAGGCAGTTTCCTATTACCCTCTTTTTTCTTTCTTTTGCTCCTTCTTAGTAACATGCGGCAAAATTGTTCAGAAAAATACACTTTTCTCTTAACTCACCTAGTTCACATAATCTGCCTTTGAATCCTGGAATACAGTCACAATTGTATGACACTAAGCCAGCAACACAGGTCCCACCATTTTTGCAGAAGTTTATGGAACAATTCTGCCTCTCACCTGGTAATGCAAAGGGAAGGGTGTAATATTCTGGCTGTTTTTAAGATTCTTGATAATCCAGTACAAATCAAACATTACTTAAGGTTGGAGAGGCAAGGGGGTAATCTTGGACCATCTCTATCTCCTTTCTTCAAACATACTTTCTCTCTTGGTACTCTCAGGTTCTGACAGCTGCGCTGCTAGTTTAGCCCGACTAGTTGATTCCTCCACATTTTCTTCCACTTTCACGAGAGCTTCTGGTTCTAGAAAAAGCAGGCAAGAATATATTTTAACCAGAAAGTTTGTGCTGTGTGACAGAACAGAAAGCCAAGAAGGGAGGGTGAACAGTACATACGTGTTTTCACAGAAACAGGTCTACTTGGAGAGCTGCTGATTTTAGTAGTGATCCTTCCTCTGCCATCCACTAGTTCTGTAAATCTTTAAAAAACAGAAAACATTCAGACATTCCCATTTGCAAAGCTGAAATGATGTGCAACAACTTAGCACCCCATGCACCTATGGTTATTTTATTCTAGTTTAATTTATTGTAATCTAGTTTCATTCTTTACCTGGGTGTTAGTGAGGGTTCCTCGGGGACAGAGTGCTCAGCAAGCACATGAAATTCTGGTAGGAAAGCTAGGGGCACTTTGTTTCTCAACAACCGGGGATGCCCAGTTTGGCTCCAGCGTCTTTCAGAGGTGCCATCTTTCTGCACTAAATATAAGACACAATAACAAAACTGGATGAATGGAATGTAAAAATCTGGCTACCTCGAGGCCTGTCTCCTTTTTAGCAGGGTATGCCTACGCCACAATCTTAGTAGGAAAAAATTCAAAGTATGCTGGTGAATGTTACTGTAATTAGGATGTGCAGATGGTAGAATTACGCCTTTCCTTTTAGGCCATTTTACCCAATAAAAATCTTCCCAGAAGAGAACAGATTCAGCAAAGGAGATCTTCCTCACCATAAAAATAATCTTGGACAGATATGTTAACTTTCCTTGAGGATGCAGTCACAACCAGATTTATTCTATTCCCTTCCCAATTATTTATTTATTTATTTAAAATAATAATAATAAGATACTCAATGATTGATTTCCAACAACTATTTTTGTTTCCTTGGTAGCAGCATGATGTGACTTTAAATCAAAGGCCAAGCAAGACATCTAAGCCTTTCATTTGCACATCTAAGGAAACAGGATGCAAACACTGATTCTTAGGTTTTCTTAAAAAAATCTTGCTTTTATCACAGAGAATAGAAATAGAAATAGCTGATCATTGAGTGCATGAAGGATATAGACAGACAGATTATTGAGGAAGGTAAACAACAGCAGTACGGAGAATAATGTGTGATCTACACTTACAGGCTGTAATGTAAAGATGGGCAGGCTCACTCATCACTTGTCCTTGATCAGTATTTTGAGCAGCCATCACAGATAAGCGATACCTTTGACCTGGGTTCAGGTCACGCACTGTGTAGGAAAACAACTTTCCATTGGGGACATAGCGGCTCTTTACACTCTGGCTGGTACTGACATTGATGATGTAACCTTCCACGGAGCCCACAAGAGGTTGTTCCCAAGTCATCTGGACAGAGGTGGCTGCAACTCTGGATGCAGTGAGGTTTCTAGGAGACAGAGGTCCTGTTCAGAGGGAAGAAGGAAATTTGATTGGAATTCTTTTTAGCTGCCTATCAAATAAATAGTTATGAAAATGGGGGAACCTTCAACATTAGTACTAGACTCACTTCTCTGCTTTCTTAAATGAGCAAGCAGCTTCTGAAATTCACTAGTTAACTGGCTCCTAGGATTGCATTACCTTTGTGCCATCTTTTACATTCGTATTCTCTCTCCTCCCTCAACCTTGTTCCACTCATAGGAAAGAAGGCATCCCATGTGTACTATGAAAGAATTGCATACATTTGGTTGCTGGTCTTCACAGCAAGAAGTATAGAAGAGGAACAATGTTCAAAGTAGTTTAAACTAGAGATGGATGTTTAACTCATTCCAGATGAAATTATGGAGTTAATTCATATTTGAGCCACCCTTCTGCATCAACCAAACTAATGATATAATGTATAATTAAGCAAGAAATCATGCACAATGAGTGGTAAGGGTTCATTCCAGCTGTATACCATTGACAAGCAAGGTAGGTCATTCCCTCCTTTACTTTCCAGAGTCTTATTTTGGAGGAAGTTGCATGAAGAACAGAGTTTAATGATTTTCAAATTGTGGCTTTAACTGTTTGTTAGGGGTTATTTCCTCTTTAGCAGTATTTTGAAGCTAATGCCAGCTATTAAATGGCAGCATTCTCTCTGTACAATTATGTGTGACCATGAAGAGCAGTAGTAGTTCAGGATAAAAGTTTGTTCATTTTTTTATATGTGAGGGCAAGGAAAAGAAATGTACTAGAGTTCAAAAAATATATTTTTCCTGCTTTATAAATAAATGATCATTCAAATCATAAACTGTGCAAAGTTTGGTCAGATGCTCTCCTATGGTATCATCTAGGGGGCTACACTTATATCACTGTTTTGCTCTGTTGTTTTAATTGGTTTATGAACTACAAAATGACAAAGCAAAAAGCAAGCAGAAAATGTTCAATAAAACTCACGGGTCCAGACATAAAAAGGAGATGTAGCAAAGCTCTCTGTGGGATTATCTTCATTACTAAGGCCACTCAAGGTCCACATGTGGATAAGATACTTCTGTCCTGGTTGCAGGTCCCTTATGGAAGATCAGATATGATGAATAAATCTTAACCAGAGAGTTAGGGTTACTGATAGAAAAAAAACACAGTTCCTTATTGACCACTGATGAGTCAGAAATTTAGATAAACCACTCAGTCAGATGTATGCACACAGCTGTTCAATATAAGATAAATACTTGAATCAATGCCAGTTTCAATTTTCTGTCACAGAATGCTTCAATTGTCTTTTTAATTTGAGAAGTTTTCATATTTAATTTAATGGAAATAAAGGTGGATTCAGACAGATAAATTTTCCCTTTCTTTTTGCCACTTGGTCTTGTTGATTTGTCTTCCCTTTCCCATCTTTATTATGGATTCAAGAGCTAATTTTAAAGCTAATTTCTTGATGAAGTGTTTGTATACTGAGGTTCCCAAGCTTCATAAAAAACATCTAAGCAAGAAATACAATTGCTTAATCTCTAATCTCGACTAGGCCTATGGAAATAATCTGGTAGTGCTCCAATAAACTCAGAAGGCCTTTGAAGTAGCTGTGCCAACTTTCCAGTGGCTATTCTGAGGCTTTGAGGAGTGGATCTATATGAGTGCTTTGCTTATTAAATTGTTTACCCTGGCCTAATCTTTGGTGCTCTATCAAGCCAGCTGTTTAGCTAAGTTACAAAAAACCTCTCTGGACTACTTTTATTTATTCACCACTACCTCCCTTCTTCTATTCCATTATATCTTTTGCTTCTTGCTCACCAAAATGTGTATTTGGTCACAGTATTGTTTAATTCTACAGCATGATCCTCAACATCGTCTGGCTGCCGTATGGACAGGCGCACCTTGCTGACTGTGGCATGTTTGAGTTTATGAAGAGCCCATTGCACAGTAATGGCTGTGGAAGTCACATTGGCTATTTCAAATCCTTCTACTGGGTGGGGTCCTGTGAGGATGAGAGAAGGGAAGTGCAAGAGATTGTTACAACTCACTACAATGGACAACACACCCACTTGATCTTCCTCAAGAAATATTTTTCTTGTTTCCTGCTAACACAAATGTTGCTCTGGGACTTAGAATGCACCCTCCCTCTACCTCCTTTGGCAGTAAACTACATGGTGTCTTGCAACTGTACTGAAAGAAAAGCATTTTATTCTATAGTAAAGGGTCTCCCTCAAGAGGTTCTGACACTCTTAATTATCAAGTATTTATTTATTTGATTTATATCATTGCCTATGTCCCCCATTCAAAATCCCAAATCCTCCAGGCAATGGGAAAGAACCTGAATGCATCACCTGATAAAGTCAAAGCATAGATGTACATTTAAGTATCACTAACATACTGATACCATTCCCTGTGTCAACACATGATCTGACCCAGCAGCTTCACGTAGACCAGGGATGTCAAACTCAATTTCATTGAGGGCTGCATCAGGGTTGTGTTTGACCTTGGGGGGCTGGGGTGGGCATGGCCAGCTTGATGTCACTTCTGTTGGGGCACCTATGGCAGCCTGAGTGCTCTGCCAGTGAAAACGGGCTCCCCAGCCCCATTTTGGCTGTGATGGCTTCCTGCAACCCTCTACCAGCTAAAACGGAGCTCAGGATGGCTGCACGCAGTCCTCCATAATTCTGTTTTCACTGGCAAAAGCACTACGGGCCAGTCCTTTGCTGTTTCCAGTGAGGCCCCGCAGGCCAGCTCTAAGCACTCTGTGGGCCGGATCGAGTCCCCGGACCTTGAGTTTGACACCCCTGGCATAGATGTTAAAAAAGAATGGGGAAAGAGTGAAGCCATGAGACACCCTATAAAAAAGTAAAGTAAATGGCATATAGAAAGGATGCAGCCACAATTTATACCAATATCCAGGAAAATCTTAGTTTGTGGTTTGTATTTGAGACTAGCAACAAGATAACCTTCTCTGCCTCTGGAATTTGTTAATTTTTTATTTTTAAAATTAAAATCTAATTTCTAAATGTTGATTTTTGAACTTTAAAAAAAATGCTTTTATATACGTACCAATAATTCTCAAGTTACAACCATTCCAGTGGTGGGATACAAATTTCTTTTCTACTGTTTCTGTGGGTGTGGCTTGGTGGGCGTGGCAGGGGAAGGTTACTGCAAAATCTCCATTCCCTCCCCACCCCACTAACCTGATTTCCAGCTCCGTTCTCCTGTGCAGGGCAACAAAAGAAGACCCAGCCAATCAGCTGGGACTTGGGAGGCAGAGAATAGATGGGGGTAGGGCCAGTCAGAGGTGGTATTTGCCGGTTCTCCAAACTACTTAAAATTTCTGCTACCGGTTCTCCACAACTGGTCAGAACCTGTTGAATACCACCTCTGAAGCATTTTTTGTGTGACTATCTGAAATTACAACTGCACTGAAAAAAGTGACTTATGATTGTTTTCCATGCTTACAATTCTTGCAGTATCTCTGTGGTCACGTGATCAAAAAATCAGAAGCTAGATTCACTTAACAACCAGGTTGCTAACTTAACAATGGAAGTGATACACTTAACAGCTGTGGCAAGAAAGGTCATAAAATGACCCATTTAAAACTCATTTAACAACTGTCTTGCTTAGCAATGGAAACTTTGGCTCAGTTATGGTTGTAAGTTGAGGATCACCTATCACCTGTATTGTTTTTTATTTAATTATTGTACACTACCCAGAGTGACTTCTCATGACATGGGAGGCTACATAAATTTCATTAATAAAGATACTTCATGAATGCACATGGTTATTCTTTTACAAAGCAAACTCTAGCTCCGCTTCTTCCAATCTGATACTTTACATTGTGGTTAGTATTCCTGATTTTCTGAGAATTATAATTTCCAGACTTCTGGAGGGGGACAGATATTCTCGCCAGTCAGTCATGAGCATAACAGCATAGAAAATGTACATCCATTAACAACAATACCATCTATTCAGCAACTTTCTGAGAGCTAATTTAGTGCTATGTAACTCACATTACAAGGGAAGTCCCAGAAACAAATGTACTAACAGCATGTGACTTTTATATATCTTATGCATTCATATTCTAGCACAAGGCACAATACCACAGAAAACTAGTCAAATTTTAGCTGCATTACCCGTAAACAATCAGTCCCCCAAATATTTCATTGACACAGCAGTTCTATTAATCTAACTGGTTCTTATTCTGCTTTTTGAAATAACAACAGCCATAAAATAGATCAGAGAAATATCTGTACTATTAGGGTTATAAAGCAGCACAGTTAAAACTTGAAAAAGCCTTTGCCCATAAAATGTTTTAAGAACGTTGATACAAGTTAGTGAGATTGATATAAGCTAGTATGTTAGTATGAGAACAATGCAAATAAAGTTTGTCCACATTAAGAGCTCAGTCCAATTCCAACAGAGCTGTCTGAAATTTTTAGAGAAGATAATACTGCAGAATGGCATTTGTCTTCTCTTAAGTTCCCAGCTCCTTCAACAGTTTAAGAAATATATGCATGGTACTGCAGGCATTTATTAAGTGTCACATGTGCTCAGTATTAAGGTCTACACCAGACTGCAGGTAGCACCTAATACTTAGAAGAAGAGATCGAATCAAAAGTCTTATTTAATTGTGAACATTAGTAATGATACCATTGTAAAATATTAAGAAATATTATGAGTCATCCTTTTAGGTAGTTCTTTTCAGGACTTATCATTCATATCCTTGAGGAAGAAATACTTTCCTTTGTTTTCCTAGACTAAAAAAATCTCAAGTTTAGTGGCATTGCCTAGGATATTTAGTATATTGCTTCATGTGTGCTCTTACTTTAGAAGGGTGGAATATGCTGTCTTTCCATTACACTTAATTTATTCTGATGTACCAAATTGCTAAAAACCAGGACAGAAGAAGGGAAGAATTACAGATTAATAGGTCAGGAGCTTTCAAACCAAGAGGCCGAGCTTAAACAAAGTCCTCAACCTTGGATTGCTTTGGAGAAGGTTGAGGAACCAGGTCAGTGAGAGATCTGCTCCTTTTCCTTGTCTTTATTATATTAAGTAGCACAATAGAGGGGGAGCTGTATAATATAGCATAGAGTCTAGTCACTGAAACAAGTCCTAAATCCAGAGGAAAAGGAATCGGGAGTCGAGAAGAAACAAGTCCTAATGCAAACAATGGCAGAGCTCCTCACAAGTATACCAAGGATCCTGCCCTCACGACAGAGCAGGGAACATGAGTAAATAAAAATGATAAAATAGCGGATAAAAATAGAATAAATCATATAAGAGAAATCACATCAAAGCTAGGCATTGCTAGACTTCCAGCTAAAGGAGTAAGATCTTTAGAACAACAACAACGAAGCAGCAGCAAGGCCCTCCTCTAGCTGAGACCCAATTCGGGCTTTTTTTAAAAATACAGCTAAACCATAGCTGAAATATAACTAAAAGTGGATTAGTGATCACACTGCAAAAATTTCAAAAATGTGAAGGGTTTAAAAATAAAAATAAAAATTTGAAGACTAAGATATGATAGAAAAATAGCCTTAAAAGCAGGTAATAATTAGAATAGGTTAATTTAATCTTAGTTAAGCAGAGAGCCTACTTGCCTGCTGCTCCCATCTCCTCTCATCAAGTCATCCGCATTCTCGATTAATAGGTCATTTAATAGACTAAAAGTCATTTTACTCATATTAATTTTGTCTATCCAATTAAAACACTTTAAACCATATTATTCTCTACTATTCTATTAAATTCTACTCTTTAATATTATCTGGAATTCCCTTCCCACTCTCAGGGCTATTTATTTCAAGACTCTTCTTTGAATTTTTTTTAAATCCCAAATACTAGTGTCAAAGACAAGTATGAAACAGTGAAGCACATACAAACTTTGTAAATAATTTGTCCACACATTCCATACCTTTAAGAGGAGTAATCAAAATTAACTTTCTTTCTATATTCAAAGGACACTAGTAAATTATCAAGCATGATAATTCAGGTTCTTTTAATGGTTTTTTTTTGTTTATTACAATTAAAGAAATCAAAATATCACAAGCTAGCAAGCAGCAGCCAATTGAATCTTTGTTGGGAGCATTTTAAGCACAGTCTGAAAATTCAATTAATCTGAACTAATTCAGCCTAAGATTACATCATATAGAAGAAATATATATAATGAGAGCGGTGATGCCTGATTATAATTTTGTAACTGCCACTGCAAGTTATTTGCTGCAACTTTGACTTTTACAGGCTGTGGTTATAAGGTAATATATATTTGGAGAACAAGACAAGATTAATGCAGCATTTTTCCTTTTGTTTCTATGCTACTTGGTTCATTTCCCACTAGTTATAGATAAACATTCCTGTGATAAACAGCATGTCTAAATGTAATAATGCTAGCTTGGTATAAAGGAAAATTCTATTACAAATTGAAGAATGGTGTCCCACTACTCTTACTGTACAGCTTTCCCCAACCAAGTGCGCTTTGTTCATGCTAGTTGTAGATTATGGAACTCTAAGGGAGAATAGCCAGGTTCTGGAAGGCTGTTATATATGTTAAGGATCTTGCACAATGTTTTGAGGATCCTTGAGCACTGCTTGCATGGCATTCTAGCTACTGCAGCCAGGCATTTCTGCACCCACAACTCTATTCCTCTAAAGGAGCTACTCACTAGTACGAGTGACGAGCATGATGGGCCTGCTGATATCATTCTTGTTATTCGATTTGCGTTTGACTGAAAAGACAGAAATATTGTAGGCTTTGCCGGAGGCTAGTGCCCGCAAATGGTGGGCAGCACGACTTCGGTCCACATAATCAGTCCAGCGGTAAGAGCCGTCGAAGGATACGTACGTCACGGCGTAGCCATCAATCATATGCTTGGCAGCCTGGTCCTTGGGCGGGCGCCAAGAGATTGACAACGCATTCTCCTCCACTTTTTCCACCTTTAATGACATTGGTGGCAGCAGCTCTTCATGGTTTCAGTGCCAACAAAAAGAAGGAAGAAAATAGAACTCATTTAAATGAGGTAGTTTGGTTTTCTACTGACTAATTTCTTTCAGACAATTTCAGAATATGCAGCTATATTGGAGGCACCCAAGTTTGAGTACAGCCATTTGTTATATTTTATGTCGGACTGCTTCAAATTACTGCCATCTTAGGAGTCTCCCTCTCTCTCCCTCCCCATCCCTCCCTCCATGAGTGTGTGTAAATCGTCACAGTTGTAGCAATGCAATCAAAGTACCAGTCAATATGTATGTCCATCAGCATCACATGTATATATAAAGAGATGGTCTTTGTTCTGTTGTGACTATCTTAACCTTTTTAACACCTCCCTCTCTGAATAGCACTGTGCCCTCCCATGAAAAGGTTTTCCTTCCCATATTTCCTTCCCCAACTTTACAATATACCTGGAAGGAAAACTGAGAAACAAAAGTCAAATAGTGGGATTCATCTACCTTAGAAGAATCAATGAGATGTTTTTGCAATTACAGTACCTATTCTAAAACCAGTGACCTTTCCTAATGAAATTCCATCAAGCAATTGAAATTGTTGAGATGAAATTAGGAAGGAAATTTTCTTCATTCTTCCCAAATGAAGAAAAAATGAGGAGGAAAATGTATGAGAATGACTAATGTAGATTCAGCTTTTTAGTTTGATTACCTTTTTCACAATTCCTGCCAGTGTAGCCCACTTTGCAGGTGCAGATGTGGGATTCATTAGTTGGTAGACAGTAGCCTCTATTTCCACATGGATTGAAGAAACAGGGATCACTAACTAGGACAGAAGGACAAAGCAATTCATTGAGAACCACAGTTTATACAGAAGAAAGTGAAAATGTTTGTAAAGGAAGACTGAACTTCATTAAAATGTGTATATCTATTCCTTTTACTGTCTTGGAAAGTTAGTAAGTACCTTTGATTTGCTAAATGCCCTTGCATTTCATGTTACCTTACCTGACTCACAGTGATAGCCAAAGAATCCCTCTGGACAGACACACAGGTAAAAGCCACTGTGACTTTCACAACTTCCTCGATTCCGACATGGATTTGATTTACAGGCATCCACTTCTGGGGAGCATAAATACACTCACTCAGATATCTGTAGGAGGTGTCACATGGAATTAAGAAGATGACTCTGCTTCTGGTGGATAGCCCTTTACAAAGATGTCCGCTCTTATGTAATCTACACTCAGTACCCCATAATGACAAAGTGAAACAGCATTTTAGAAATGTCTGTAAATTTATTGAAAAGAAAAAAAACTGAAATATCACATTGGCATGATTATTCAGACGCTTTACTCAGTACTTCGTTGAAGCATCTTTGGTAACAATTACAGCCAGGAGTCTTTTTGGGTATGACACAACAACCTTTGTACACTTGGATTGGGGGGTTTTCTGCCATTCGTCCTTGCAAATCCTCTCAAGCTCAGTCAGGTTGGAGGGTGACCGTCAGTGGACAGTCATTTTCAGATCCCTCCCAAGATGTTCAATAGGGTTCAAGTAGTCAGGGCTCTGGCTGGGCCACTCTAGGACATTCACAGAGTTCTCCTGGAGCCACTCCTGTGTTGCCTTGGCTGTGTGCTTAGGATCGTTGTCATACTGGAAAGTTAACCTGTGGAATATGTTTTCATTGAGGATATCCCTGTACTTTGCTCCAGTCAGCTTTCCCTCAACCCTGACCAGTCTCCCAGTCCCCACTGCTGAAAAACACCCACACGGCATGATGCTGCCAGCACCATGCTTCAGTGTTGGGATGGTATTGGGCAGGTAATGAGTGGTACCTGGTTTCCTTCAGACATGTTAAGAATTCAGGCCGAACAGTTCAATCTTGGTTTCATCAGACAAGAGAATTATGTTATTACAAAGGGTCTGAATACTTATGCCAATGTAATTTTTCATTTTTTTTCTTTTTAATAAATTTACAAACATTTCTAAAATTCTGTTTTCTCTTTGTCATTATGGGGTACTGAGTGTAGATTAATGAGAAAAATTTCAACAATTGTAGAATCAAGCTGCAGCATAACAAAAGTGACAAAAGTGAAGAGGTTCTGATACTTTCTGAATGCACTGTATATTTTATCCCTAATAAGTAAGAAATTGGTGGAGGAAAATCATGTCAGATAATAACACTGTTATTTCTAAGAAAACCTAAGGATAAAATACTTATAGGGCCCAGGTATCTGCAATTTCAGTTTTGTTTTTAACAACTTTTTCAGACGGTTCAATTTCATTAAGAAATACATCACTTAAGTGACTATCTGCAATGACAATCTAACTATCTGTAATGAATAGCCTCATGACAGGGGAGATGTACAAAAAGTCTAAAAATAATAGGAATATATCACAGCTGGCTCGACATAGCCTAGTCATTGCAGATTATCTTCATTCTCAATGAGATGAATAGGAGACTACTTCATGCCACCTAAAATCTCTATCAGAATGTATAAAACTTGTAAATCTCTTAACAGCATTTTCTAAGAATTAGAACAGTGATATGTTCTAATTTATACTGCTGTGCACAGACCAGCTACAAGGTTTATACAACCTACAATGGCTTATACAATCTAGAACCAGCTACAAAGCTTATTCAACTTACAAACACCCTGCCTTCCAATGTCAGAAGGAATAACTTCTTTAAATAGCTATGATTTTTACTGTAAGAGTTAAATTAACATTTATGCTGAATAAAATGTATTTATGAGACAGATCAAACAGCACAAAGATGTTTATCTTCCACTATTAGTAAGAAGTAATATTGGAAGTTCTGAGAATTTAGAATTCATTCATTCATTCATTATTTACCCATTTCACACTGTGTTCCAACGAAGCCTTCAGAACAATGACAAATAAATGATCCTGGCTGGTCTTTGCAGACTCCACCATTTTTGCATGGACTAGACTGACATTCATTAATTTCTGTAGGTGTGACAGAAAAATTAAAAACTAATTGAGTTATTCAACCCAATGGTAATGATGTGCTAGAAAAACAGCATCATTGAACATTTGTGGAATAATTTTTCATAATGTCCAAAGCTATTGTCTTATTTACCATTTCAATTAAACCTTACTATTTTACTTTTGCAAAGTTGCAAAATAACCTTCGTCCTTGATAGCCAGCTCCTCAAAATTTTAGAACTGCAATGAATTGTCACTAAAAACTACCAAGTGCAAAAATTAATGAGATTTAACAATTATTTGTGCAAGCAAAGGGACAGCAGAATAAAATGAAGATCAACATATGCAACAAAGGATGCATTATAATTAGTACTACACTGTTGTGAGGAAGGGAGGTAGCCTCGACAGAGATATGCAAGATCCTTGCCAAGACAATGAAAGATAAAAAGCCCAGAAGAGACAGAAAACATTTGGAAGTGACTCCGGCAGATACCTTTGGTATAGCTGAGGATATGCTTTAGGATAATGTACATTTCTTAGAATTATATGCCAAGAAACGTGACTACAGCCATACTTAATTGCAATGATTGTAACAACAGAATTCCTAGGAGTCTCCAAAAAAACCAAAACCACAAGGTGTCATTTATGACTGGAAGAATGACTCACTCATATGGCTTGTCCTTGTGTGCCCGTAGCTATAGTACAACTATGCCTTGACAATATTTGTATCAAAATGTTGTTCTTTTCATATTTCTTATCAATGAATGAGACAGCTTTAAGTAGATGTCAACTGTACTAGTATACAATTATTGTTTTTCCCATTCAATGTTCAATGTGTAATCAGAGGTTGGTTTTAGTGTGTTGGGATTTGCGAATAGATCCCCTCCTTCTGGTATAGCTAATCTTCATACAGACATTTTTCTCTTAGCATTTGTTCTTCTCCATAAGGACTGTGCTTCTTGACATCATTTCATGTCTCTCACCTTCCAGCTATGTTTGACACTAGTTTCTCTCAATATTTCCATCAAAGTAGAGGAGAGAGGACCAGATCTTTACAATTTCATTCCAGAAAGAAGGGACATGTTACTGCTAATTTATTTTAAGAATATCCTGGAGTTTATCTGTACCATAAGATACAATAGCCATATTTTTTGTGATTACAGGTTCTTAAAATCCACAGTCGTAACTTGGAATCTGAAATCTTTGAATACTATATGAGTGGGTATCAGCAACCTTGAAACAGAACGGTGTGTAGTTCTCACTTAGCTAAGATAATTGGGATTGGAATTTATGTCACAATATATGGTTGTAAAACACATCATGTGACCATGTGGCTTAACAATGGCAATCCTGACAGTCCCTGCTGCTATTGTTAGGTGAGGTTTGTAAGTTGTTAAATGAGGACTTCCTGCTAGCAAAGTGAATGTGGAAGCTGGCACAAAGTGGCAAGTTTTGGGTAGCTTGCAAGCAGGCCAGTGGGTGGCTGAGTGTTACAGAATGCAACTCAGTGAAGATATGGCTGCCGCCATGAACCACAAATGTGTCTCGGCAAAGGTTGGCTGCTGCGGAGTATGGGAGAGCATGCAGGTGACTACTGTGACCTGATGGGAGCATAGCCAGGCAGGAGAGTGTCTGCAGTGGAGTTTGGTAAGGGGCACACATGTGGATGAGCACGAACAGCTGCAGTGTACAGGAGGGAACAGACACAAAACCACCTGTGTGTCTCTGGTTCCAGTCCCCACTCTCTCAGAAAGCAGTCAATAGCAAACAATTTCTGAAAATCTGTAAAGAAAACTGCAGAGTCTATAGCTCAGGTAGTGATCAGAACAAGACTGACTTGAAAACACATATGCATCCCAGAAAAAAAGGTGACTCTCTCACGGGGCATGGGATAGAAATCAAACAAATCAGACTAGATTTGTTAGAGGCTGTTCTGAATTGCCACTCAATGTACAGTGCTTCAAAGAACCGATTGTCATGATTTTCCTCACTGTCTGATGATGTGCTGAAAAGGGACAGCAGCAACAGATTAACAGGACAACCTTATCCACCCCAGAAATAAACAAATGCAACAAAGGAAGCAGCTAATTTTAGGTTGTTGCTTTTATACTGACCCAAGCAAAAATAAATGTACTTGCTCACAGCAGGTAAAAGACAATAGTCACAATTCTACAAGGAGTGAACTGATTAAAAAAGAGGCAGATTTTATTTTTGTTTATTTAGTTTGCTAACAGAGCCTGATGGAGAAATAAATATAAATATAATGCAATACAATGCATCCAATAGTCAAGGAATGTCCTGGGATTATTTTGTAATTTGAAAAAGAACTGTGGAATGCATTGACCACCATTTTATAATATAACTTTCTATTTGTTTGGTTAATATTCTGCTACTTTCATTTTTTGTGAAATCCTCCCCTTGTAAACAATGGCATTATTTCAAGCTTGCATCACTCCATTCCTCAATAAATTATTTGCAGTGCTCCCAGCATTAATTCCTCTCATTCTTCTTAGAAGGCTGATAATTCTCTCTCAATTGCATGAGTGGCTGGGGGTTTTGCCTTTATATCTGTCAAAACAGAATTTTCACATCTAAAAGGATAATGGACAGTTTTGCTGTTCGCCCAAGCAGGTAATGAAAAGAACAACTATCCAAATTGTGATCCAACTGATAAAAATCTTATTCTGAGACTAGGATATTTCACGCACCACAAATTTAGTTATTAAGATTATCCCCAACATCTGGAGGTCAGGTGCATTGTGATTGGTGAAAACTGCACTTAAATGGAATGCACTTTAATTTTCCATTTTAATCTGATCTGCTGTGGACACTTTGGGATGTGATCTTTTTGATTTCCTTATTTCCTTAGAACTCTTTGTTCATAGGAAGAGCTCTTCTCCAGAACATATGGAGAAGTAACAGGACCTTGCCTGAAGACTTCTTCCTGCCCCTCTCCAGCCTCCAGGTATTCAGTCAAGAGATCTGAAAAGAATCCAAATCTGAAGGAATTGAAGTAGTTTACAGCTAAATCGTACAATAGCAATAGTACTTAGATTTATATATCGCTTCATAGTCCTTTACAGCCCTCTCTAGGCAGTTTACAGAGTCAGCATATTTCCCTCAACAATCTGAGTCCTCATGTTACTGACTTCGGAAGGGCAGAAGGCTGAATCAGTCGGTGAGACTCAAACTGGCAAACTTCTGCCAGTCAGTAATCAGCAGAATTAGCCTGCAATACTTCATTTTAATCACCGTGCTACCTGTGCACCTGTGGCTTGGAATTCTGTAGTTTGATACATGTGGTAAGATAATGACTGAAAATATTGGTCAGTTGCCAAACAAGTATATTTTCTACATCCAAGGACTTCTAGGTTACAAAACAGATTTGCAATTTCACAATCCTAGACTCATGGCTCTGCTTCACAAGCAAGGGGAAAGTGTGCCCTTAGACTACTGCAATGCATTTTATATAGGGCTGCATTTAAAAACCACTCAGAAATTGCAATTGGATCAGAATGTAGTGGCCTGTTGTGTTGACTCATACCCAATGTTGGGAACATATAACTCCAATACTGTCAAGTCTTGTACCAATTGTTGGTTGGTTTTTGATTATAATTTAGAAGTGGTGGTGTTGACAAGGAACTAAAGCCAAGAAATGCTTCTTTTCAGTGGTTTAGGAATGGTCTCCTATAAGAGATCAGACTGGCTCCTTCCCTGATGATTTTTAGACAGAAATGAACATGTGAACTTTTGGGAGAGTGTTTCAGTTCAGTATGTCTTGAACCATATTCTATTCATTTTTTCTTTTTCTTTTTGTGATTGTGTGGATGATTTATTGGATTATGATTTTAAATGCAGATTTTAAAATGTTTACTTTGAATTGTACTGTAGATGTTTTGTTTTGTTTGTTTCAAAGAGCCATCAGATTGCAGTGCAATGTGACAGACAAACCAACAAAAATGGCTTAAGAACCTTTATGCAAATTGTTATATATATATATATTTATTTATTCAATTTATATAGCCATCCAAATAGCCCAATGACAATGGACAGCTACCAAATGACTCTGGGTTATTTGCCCAGAAAGAATCTTGCCTCTTCTCTCATAGCATTTTGTCAATTTCTTATGACACAATGTGTTAAGAAAGCTTTCAGGTATGGCTATCATATATGGGCTGCAAATATTGGAAGTGCACTAGATGGTAGAAAAGTGTTGGGATTTTCTGAATCTCTTTGTCATCTCCAAGTGGTCATTTGACCATATGTAGTAGCCCAGCTTTTGAGATCAAAGGTTCCAAAGTATTAATAGAGTTGTGATCCAATGAGAAATGTACTTTACTAATAAACAATTTCCTAGCAAAGATATTTCCATGTTCTCTTACCCAACTCACAGTTGTTTCCTGTATAGCCAGTTTTACACAAGCAAAGGTAATGGGCAATTTGATCTTTGCACAACCCCCCATTCAGACAGGGTTGAGATCTGCACTCATCAATTTCTGTAAAAGAAGGTAAAAGAAACAGGCATCACCTATCTGCAGTGGAAAATCTGATGCCTAGAAAGCACCTGGAAAGAGACTGTTGCATTCTTGTTTCTTAAGTATATAGATATGGGGTATCATTAGTTTGAATATTAAAAAATGTGCATATTAAAAATAACCCTTCCTCCCAATCATCAGAATACAGGGTTGCACAATGTTCATTTTTAAAAGAAGTAACTAAACATCCAGGGACTTCTAGGTTACAAAACAGATTTGCAATTTCACAATCCTTCTAAATTCATGGCTCTGCTTCACAATCAAGTGGAAAGTGTGCCCTTAGACTACTGCAATGCATTTTATATAGGGCTGCATTTAAAAACCACTCAGAAAAAGGAGAAAACAATTGCAATATCTGCTATTGTCCCCAAAACACATTTCATATGGGTGAGAAGAGTCATATCTGATCCAAAAATTTCTAGATTCAAACCCTAACAACCTGAAGTGGAACTAAGAGATCCATCCAAAACATTGGAGAACTGCTACAACTCAGTGCAAGTAATTATAAAAAGTTACAAATGGACCTTATATCTGTATACATAATGTCCCTGTAAAAGACAACTTCCTAAATTCTGGGAGATTTTTCTGATGCTTTCGTAGACTTGAAGCATATACACTGAGGAGTGAATGCTTCATCCCTTCTTGAAGAAGAATTACCTCCCTTTGGAATTTTATTAGTTCTTTATTGTAGGGAAGAATTGTTGGTTATTGTTGTTGTTGCTATTATATCATCGTTATAATTATATTATTGCATTACAATGATAAATATTGTTGTTATAATCATTGTTGGTTATTATGTATGCTAATAACAGTGAGCAGAAACTCCGTATGGAAATGTATTATAATTATAATTATTGTTGTTATAATCATTGTTGGTTATTATGTGCACTGATAACAGTGAGCAGAAACTCGTTATGGAAATGTAGTTCCTTCCTTCTTCCCTTCCCCCTTCTGTACCAATAAAACACAGGTATAATATTTAAAATACCGAAAAATCATACCTGAAACAATAAAAAAATAGTGACTTCTGCAAACCATAGCTATTGCTAGAAACTTGCAACCTTTATAATCTCATAGAAGGACGATTGTAAGATCAGAAATATAACTAAAATTTCTGAAAATTATGTTTATGAATGCCAAACATCATGGGTGGTACAATTGGCAATGTAAACTATACATGACTCAAACTTTAAATCAGAGTAAATACACATATGGTTATTGTACAGAAGATTAGAATATCTGGTAATATGCCAATTTGAGCTAAGATAAAAAAAAAAATCCCCTATGTGAAACATGTAAGATATTATAGAAGTATGTAGTAATTGTCCATGAAGAACCTGCAATCATTCCATAAAATGGAATGATTGCAAACCTACCATTTTGTAAGTTTATAAACCTCAACTTTTCTATTTTAAATTTAATTAAGACTTTATCTGGACCAAGCATGAATGAAAGAGTGAAAAGCCACAATATGTCACACCAGAGTCAATTTGTCTCTTCAGGGATGAGAAAAATCTATGCAGTAGGATGTGATGAATCAGGAACTAACTTTTCCCCCCGTGCTTCAGGCAAAATTTGAAATTGCAAAGTCTCAGGCCAACCGCAAAGTAATGCATCCAAGTTCGTTTAAATGGACATGAAGGGTGGCTTTCAGAAACTTCCAGGGTACAGGCATCTTCATAAGCATAAAGATGTTATTTATATAGCTGCAAGCTATATTATATGGTTTAATGATTTGGGGAGTTAAGGATATTACATCAGTCATCTGTAGGTACCATTGATTACAGTAGATAACAGGAGTTTCCTATTATTTGTTCAGGATGATAAAGGGAATTGCTTCTCCTTCACAATAAACCCTACCTATTCAATATCTATTCAATATTCAAAATCTAAGGGACTGATTTGGACAAAATTCAACAGCACTTTTTTGTGTGGCTGTTTATAAAAATAGGATCACCAACATGATTGCCAACGTGCAATGACATATATGGTATAAGAAGAAGAAGAATTCAGTATCTATATCTTGTAGCCATATCAGCATTATCTTTCTCTTCTAAAAAGTGTAGAGCACTCGATTTTGCCTGCTCCTGGTGCTAGATAACTGCTTGTCCTAGCAACAAGTCTCCTATAATTAGGATATTCTCTTTTAATGGTCAAAAGCAGGTACAAAACTGGGGAGAAGTTCTACACTACAATCTCATTTCTCTACCTTTAAGGCAGAGAATTGACAGAGAAATAACTTTCCGACCAAAGAAACTTCATACACATATATCATATATTCATTATATTGCTACAGTGGAAATAAATCAATAAATGCCAGCTTTCAAAACACCTGCAAAATTTGAAACCATCTTGGTGCTACTGATAAGTGAAATTAGTTTATATTCTCCCAACCATCATTAAATATGTATAAAAGCATTCTCATATCTGAACTCTCCAGATGTACTAGCTTCAGTTCTCCCTAGCCAGACTAATTATTAGTCCAGTGAATCTCAAGGTTATTAAATTAGGGTAGTCAGAAGCAGAGCAGTCTCCAAATATTTTTTTAAAAGCATAATCAAAGATATATAGAAATCAAAAGGAGGTTTGATTTCATTCAATCATTCTTCCAAGATTAATATTTTTAATTGTTACAAAGTAGTGCTGAAAAATAAGTCAAAAGAGAAATGGTTGTTTGAAGTTGACAGAAAAACAGTGGTCTCACTTTTTTTCTGTTTATCACATACATACATATGTACACACACACACACAGAGAGAGAGAGAGAGAGAGAGAGAGAGAATATCAAATTACCATTGCATTCTGGTGGGTCACTCCAGATGCCTTTTTCCAAACATAGGCGAGGGTTATTTTGGGAATTCATAATATAACCAAGAGCACAGTGATATATTGCCAAGGAGCCCATCTTAGTGGAGTTAAATGCTACCTGAGCATGCTTCACTTCAGTGGGGATTCCACAGTCAATTTCTAAAATAAAAAGAGTGAGAAAGAGTGAGAAACAGTTAGAGAGAGAGAGGGAGAGAGAGAGAGGAAGTAAATTTGCATAAAGGTTCAGAAGATAAAAAAGCAATGAGTGCCATTATAGTCTGACTTGCATAAATAAAACCTCACAGTGATGAGCTTTTGGGTATAAATATAAATATAACATTCATGCGTGATGCAGAGTTATTTTAGAAAAGGTATTTTATTGTAGCTTGCCATTAGGCAGGCTTTCAGCTATTGGCATCCAAAAGAATGCAACCATACCTGCATGCTTATTTAAAGAATGTTACGAATGCAAGTTTTGGCACAACTTCTAATCAATATGGATACAAACTTTAGCTCCGTAGTCTCTGAGGGAAAAGAAAATTGTTTGCAAAGCTCTGGGCTGTAAATTCCAGCATGCTTTACCCTACTTGTGCTGCCAGATTTTAAACACCTTTTTTTCTGAAAATAAAAAAAAAGTGTGAAGTAGAATATTCTAGAACATTGGTATTTCTGTTCAAAAAAAGAAAACCGCTGTTTTATTTAATAAAAATGTAGGCACTGCCCTCTTTCCTGGCACAGATGAATCTCATGGTGACAATTATTATCTTTTCCAACAAGGAAGCTTCTTTTCTAGGGTGTATTATGCTTTTCTAATGTTACCTGATTGGCAGTGTCTTCCTGTGTAACCTGCAGAGCATATGCAGACATAGCTGTTGCCAAAATCCTCACAAGTGGCTCCATTTTTACATGGATGCAGGAAACAAGGAGAAGGAGCTGTAAAACAGATTCCATTCCAGCTTGGTAAATTGTTCCATTCCCAGCTTACAAAAGGTTCTGTGTAGGACTTTAACATAATACAATTTCACTAATGGCAGAAATTGGAGGTTAGATGGAGGCTCCTGTCTGTTAAAACATTTTCTCAATGCAAGAAAAAACAGGGCTACGTTAGACTTGCCTGGCACCTCAGGGCATGAAATAAGTGGCTGGTGAAAAGGCATTAATATGACCCTACCCAATAATATCATATGACCCTTGGAAATATAACGGATGACCAATCTACAGCCAAATATGTATCCTTTAGGCAGCTCTTGTTATTATTACATTTATACCTCCTTTTTCTCTGATGGCTCATGGCCAGACTTTACCCTATTACAATGCCACTATGAAGGGCTGGGTTAAGTCACCTAAATGAGCTCCATGATTATGTGAAGGGTTTGCATTTGGCTCTTCTGGTCTCAGTCTAGCACCTTAAACATTAATATAGCTTAGTCCTTCAAACCTGCAAAACAAAGCAGTAATTTAAAATTTCCTGGAATCTAAGATGATATATAGTTCATTAAATTAAATAGCTTGTACAGTCTTGGAAATATAATGACTTGGCACTTGGTACTTATGAGGTAGGCCTAATATCGCCTTTTCACTCATCACTTGTTTTTATTTTCTCTTCATATTTGGTCTGTTCAAGCAAAAATCTATCAAGTTATTTTCTATTAAACATATACAGTATAAGGTGGGAAGAGTTTTGAAGTGCCAATCAAGTTCCAGTGAAAAACTACTCAAAACTTATATCCAGTTGAATTTAATGGGACATAGGACCCAAAATGTATGTATATGGCTGAAAATTTCCTGTGCTGCTTTCATGAAGATAATAATCATGACACTGAGGATGAAAGATTCAATAACATAATAGAACAGGATAGAATATTAATGTTCTTTTTGGAAAAAGTGAACTCTTTTGAATTGGTATCCAGGTTGTTTGAGGGATGTAAGCAGAGGCGGTATTCAGCAGGTTCTGACCAGTTCTGGAGAACCAGTAGCAGAAATTTTGAGTAGTTTGGAGAACCGGCAAATACCACCTCTGCCTGGAGATTTTAAAGTATTCTTCCCCTGCCATGCCCACCAAGCCAGGCCCACAGAACCGGTAGTAAAAAAATTTGAATCCCACCACTGGATGTAAGTAGCAAAAGATTAAGGCCCACAAATTATCTTAAAAACATATTAAGAGGTGAACACAGTTACATTAGCCAGGCTTCAAGTTGTTTTATAGTTTGACTCTCTTTGATGCAGATGTCATTAATTTTTATCAAAGAGGTTAATCATGTACAGTAGGCAAGAGTTGCTAAACTATATCTTTGCAGTTTTATACAGGCAGCATGAAAGCTAATGAAGCATTTGAACATAACCTTTCCCTCACTTTTTCATTTGCTTTTATTTTAATGTAATTTTCAGAGGATTAGGATATGACTGAAGACTGCATTGTCTTTAAAATAGGAACTCCTAGAAGCCCAAAGTAAAGGATGGTGGGAACTGTAGTTCAGCAACAATTGAAGGAATATACTCTGTCCTCTGGATTAAGGAACAAATTGTTATTCAAAGGCTTATCACATTTTTCTAACAATTACAATAAATGCTATTTTAAAATATCATCTCACGGTAATTACTGTTGATAATTATTTTAAATACTAATGCAAAGTAGGAACTTCCTTAGCTTTATTCTTTGGGGATAGGAACACCTGCTGCTTAATGAGTGAAGAACCCAACCACAAACCTCTTGCCCAGCCCAAAGGCTACAGGCAAAGTCTTTGGATTCACAATTATGCTCCAGTAGGCAAAGATCCCTCCTATGCCAATACCTATTTCGCAGTGCCGTCCAGTGTATCCAGGCAGGCAGTCACATTTATACTTGCCAATATAATGGAAACAGGTGCCCCCATTATGACAAGGCCCTGAGGTACAAGGATCAGGTTTACCTATAAGAACAAAATATTTTAGTCACAGAGTGTACAATTACAAAGCATTCCAAGTGGACAAAATGGTATGTCATTGAGTACCTATCTCACAGTGTTTCCCTTTAAAGCGGTAGGGACAGGTGCAGTGGTATTCCCCATCTGATTCCTTACAGGTCCCTCCATTGCGACAGGGTCCAGAGCTGCACAATTTGGGTCTTGCTGGCAAGAGAAAAGTAATAATACTTGCTATATATCCTTGGAAATAAACCATCCCATGCAAATGGGATGAAAGAAGTAGTCTGTTCCTTGCTTGTCTAGTCCTTTCATCACATTAAACCAATCCCTAAACTTCCACCAACCAATCCACAGATATGGATTATGAATAAATGAAAGCTAGAAAACCAAATACTTTGCCAAAACCTATTTCTCTATAAATAACATTCACAAATATGGCCAAGCCAAGCTTTATTTTAAGAATGGTTTGTTGAACAAGCTGGCATTGGACAAAAAGGGGAAGGGGAAAGTATCATGGAGCACATGAGGACACTCAGATAATAACTGTCTACAACTTCTTAAAGGGATGGGGGTCTTGTGTGACTGTCTGCCAACCCCAAGAAAAGAAGTGCTTGATTTAAGGAGTTGCCAGCAGTTCTCTGCATGTCCCCATGAACACTCCAAATTATCTTCAGTACAGATTGTCCACATAAAACCATACTTTCCTCCCTTCCAAATAAATACTTCCCAGCCAATTTGAGGAATTCTAGGAGTTGAAGTCCACATATCCTAAAGTTGTCAAGGTTGAGAAAGACTAAATCTGATAATTCTTTCTTAGATAAGATGTTAAGACACACCAAGCTCCAAAATGTAATACTTTCCAAAGTACCCAATATTGGGTACTTTTTGATACAGACCTACAAAGGATCCTATAATGTCTGTTCTAACAAGAGAGTACTTCTTCAATAGTCTCACCCAACTTTGGCTGGCCCTAGGATGAACCATGCACTAGTGCAGTCATATGAGAGAAAAAACACCAATCCTCGCAATCAGTTTCTCACCCAATCCTGTTCTGGGTGAAAAGGTTGTCTCTCATCAAAGCAGGTTTGAGAATGTAGATTCTGTTCAACCACCTCTGTGTTGTCAAGTACCTTTCTCACAATATTTCCCAGTGAAGCCTCGGGGACAGTCACAGGTGTAGGAGTCTTCGTGAGCATCACAAGATCCACCGTTCAGGCAGGGCTCTGAGTCACATGGAGAGGGTGGCTCAGCTGCAAAAGCAGACATGGCCTCACATGGGATGATGCTAAATGAAAAACCCACCTGCCCCATGGAGACGAGCTCAATTAAATGACATGTAAAAATAGGACACATCTCTTTGAATCCAGATGCCCAGGGGTATTCTAGGCCAGGAGTATCAAACTGGTGGCCCATGGGCTGGATGCGTGCATGCCATGCCTACCCCATGAAAGGGGAAAAACATCACAAAACATCACATGACAGCAATGTGATGTGGCGAGTTTGACATCCGTGTTCCAGGCCTTGCATCCTGGAATCCTGGGATTGCAGACATAGTGGTGGGGTTCAACTGGTATTACTATCAGTTCGGTGACTATGTTTTAAGTGGGCGCTTTGCGTTCACGTGTGCCAGACACGCACGTGTAAAAAACCCTTAAGCTGTGCCGCCCAGACAGCTGAAAAGCACTGCGGGCAGGTGCGTAGCGTTTGAAAAGCCTCCTTTTTCCTGCTTTTTCAACCTCAGCTGTGCTGCACAAAGCAGCTGAGGCTGAAAAAGCAGGAAATAAAGGACAGGTAAGAGCCCAGGTGGGTGGGTGGGCCGAACAGCATCAAACACAGAACCGGTTCAGTGTCTGCTGCTCTTCAGAGCTACCAGTTCTATAGAGCCGGGCAGAACCGATAGCATCCCACTCTCGGGAATGACATCATCTTAAATATACACAGGGTAAAGATAGAGGCGTGGTTGGAGATTTTGCAATATTCTAAAGAGTGATGGGTAACTCTTTTTCCCATACTGCATGGCTGAGAAAAAAAGCACCCTATTCTCTGATGTTAATGTTCATTTTAAAGGAACTGATGCCAAGAAAGTATCAATTTCAAAGGAAGATCGTTTTTTGAAAGATATAGCAGGCTCTCCTTCCTACTATTCACAAACCCCAAACTTAACTGCCCACTTGATATTCTCACCAATTTCACACCATTTACAAGAGAAAGTATAATTTGCATGAGCAGCATAAACAACAAAGACGGTGCAAGTCATTTGCACATTATTTTCCCACACTACCATGTCACTTGCATGTTCCTTATAAATTACATTGCATTTCTCAAGATTGCTTTTCTCCTTCCTTCATTTTTAAACCTATCCCTTAACCTTCACTAACCAGGTTAACTCTTGATTGGCATCATTATATGACATACTCCTCTCTTCCCAATCATGTTTCTTATAATTAGGACACACTCTAATCCTCTGAACCTTTTTTTTTACTTACTGTGATTAGTGCCATAATCAGTATGGCACACACAAAGGTAACTGCCACCATACTCCATACAATAACCCCCATCAGGGCACTGGGTGTTCATATTGCAAGGTGTAGTAGTCACTTCTGCAATAGATCAAAGGCATATATAGGGTGATTTCCTATTACACAGCTGAGCACACTACAGATGAGCTTTATAATGATGAGAAATGTCACTCATTAAACTCAGCAGGATCAATTATCCACCTCAAGGAAAATTATCTACTTTACTTACAAAGCAAGGATATATAGGACACACAAGAGAAGAAACAATGCTGCATGGCATAAAATTGTCTTCACTAGACTAACCCTTCAGCTTGGTCACATTATCAGTCACTGGCTTGATATGATCTGTAGTTCAAAAAAACTGGGGTTTTTTAGCTATAGATACGGATTCAGATCATTACTCATGGCCAACACAAATCTGGACTGTTATCTTGGTTCTTGGTGCTTTCAGTGATCATATGCCAGGGAGCGGCTCTGAAGGAATCAAAACATTGGTTGGGCAGTTATGTAAAAACAGTTATTTTGCCCATGTTCACAAATGGAAATGTCAGTCAGAAGTTTAGGCAAGACAGCTGAGGTGGGATCAACATGAAATCATCTCAGATCACTAACAAAGGCAAACAATAAGCATTTAAATGTGCAACTAGTACAGTATCTTTTATGCCCAGAGCAGTCTTGTTTGAGTGGAGAAGTATTGAAGAGCTATAGGAACTGATCCTACTTCAACAATGAAGAAAATTAGGTAACCTTGAACTAGGCAATCCATAATGAAATCCACTATGGATATATAGATAAAATAGGAGTTTGAATGAGTAGAGAAATCATGCATGCTACCTTCTTCATAGGAAGTTAAGAAAAATGTAATTAATCACAAAGTTAGATAATGTCAGGACATCCTGAGGGACAAATCTTCCAACCCAACTGACATGGTGGTTGTTGCAGATAAATTAGGAAGCAGAAGTATTAGCTATGTTCGCCACCTTGAATATGTGTGTATATTTGTATAACATGCCATTGATGCGATACGATTGCATCGTATTACACTCTAGGAATTTCTAGGGAGGTAATCTTTCACAACACAAAAAATAGAATCCGATAACAGCTTAAAGACTAACCAGATGATTATCATGTAACATTTTATGATTCAGAGCTGATCCATAAAAATTTACACAGAAGTAAATGTGTTATACTTTAAGGTACCACAGTATACCCTGTCACCTTATCACACCTGCAGCAAGAATCTAAAGATAATAAAATGTTTGCATAAATCAGAAAACTTTCTCTTACCAAATTCACAGAGAAGCCCAAAATATCCAGGTGGGCAATGGCAAACAGTGATATTTCCATCCAGGCACTTTCCTCCATTCCGACACTCACAGTCATCTGAGACTTCTGCAAAAATTTGAGGGAGGGAGGAAGAATATTGAGGAGGACAAGTTAGACTCATCTGAGCCAGCAAATCTGAGGCCTTCATTAATCTACTTCCAGTAACCAAAGTAGGATGATACAGCCTGCCGCAAGGAAATATCAGAATTAGAGCTTGTTATGTATCCTGAAGAACTTTTACTTCCTTTTCTTGTAACATTGGTTATTTTTCTTTAATTAAGATCCAAGCAATGGCAAATTACAAACCAGCTGTGCTCCCCACAGGAGTAATCACACTTCACCTATTAAATACTCCCTTGTGGTGGGATCTGTCCCTGGTTCAACAACTCTAATGAATCTTATTGCTTTTTCTTTTTCTTTAATGGTACAGCAGACGCTGCCTATTCTCTTCCTAGAAGACGGTATGAGCCAGGAATTAGTGCCTGTAGGCTATAGAGTGGGAAAGGCATAGTGAAGATAAATGAGGTCAACAGGAGACAGAGTGGGAGCATGAAAGAAACTAGTTCTCCAGAAACTGGAGAAAAAAATGGCCTGGATAATAGGCATTAAAATAAGAATTAGCAACACATGATGGGAGCTGATTCTATTCTCTGTGTAATAAGGACAGGTAGCCCTATGTAGTGTTGAAAGCCCTTATTTTACATCAGCCAGAGTTCCCTCCAACTGTACCACCAATTTTAATATCGCCGTTGCTGAGAATCAGTGATACAATCTCCTAACATTTTTAGGAAGAAATACCAGTGGCAGTGAAAGTGTAAAGCTTAAAGCAGACTTTATATAGTTTTTTTAAAAAATCTCAAATTCCTTTCAAATACAACTTCAGTGAAATGTTAAAATCCTGCTTATAATCTTTTACTGCAGCCCTGTCTCTTGTATATGAGCCTTGGTTACTAAAAATTGATAGAATTTTTTTTGAATCAACATTTCTCAATCTGAGCAATCTTTTACGACTTGTGGACTTTAAGTCCCAGAACTCTCCAAACAGGATGCTGACTGAGGAATTCTGGGAATTAAAGTACAGTCTTAGTCACTTAGACTAAGAAACACTGCTCTAAATGATAGCAATATACTAAACATACAAAGATCAAAGTTACTACTGGTTTTATGTTGTGCTAACATTTGGCTTTTAATCCCCAATTTGAAATGATTAAAATCCCAAATCTGCTTTTGAAATAAATTTGACATCAGAAAAACATTACAAACTGTTTATTGTGAAAATTCTGACAGCAGAGTTCAAGAAAGGAGATATGATGGCCATGACACACACACTTAAAATAGTAGCTACTGCACCATACATCTGAAGTTGTGTCACTATCTCCCATGTCATGAGTACCACCATATGCAAATGGCGACATCAATTCTACTATTAGTTTGCTAGCTGTGCCAATGTTTTCCTTTGCAAGTTCCTGACAGGATCTTATCATTACTACCAGTGGTGGAATTCAAAGTTTTTTACTACCAGTTCTGTGGGCGTGGCTTATTTGGTGGGTGTGGCTTGGTCATGTAACTGGATGGGTGTGGTTTAGTGGTCATGTGACTGGGTGGGCGTGGCCAACTCAATGTCACTCATATCAAGGGGTGCCTCACCTGGTCCCTCCCCTCCCAGCCATTCCTTGTCACCCAGCCTCAACTTATCTATAGTTCTGTAAAAATGTTGTTCACCTTTTTTGACTTTATTATCTGCATACTATAGATGTACTTTCATGGACCACTGAAAAGAGGAAATGGCTCACATGCTTTACTCAAGAGTGTGATAGGCAACAGGCTTTTAAGGGGCTGCCACAAAGAAAGGGGGACAATGTATTTTCCAAAGAAGCAGAATGTAAACAAGAAGCAATGGATGGAAACTAAACAGAGAGAGAGAGAGAGAGAGAGAGAGAGAGAGAGAGAGAGAGAGAGAGAGAGAGAGAGAGAGAGAGAGAGGGGGGGGGGGAGAGAGAGAGAGAGAGAGAGAGAGAGAGAAACAGACAAACAATTTTGGAAGCAGGTCCTTTAAATTTCTCCAAGGTTGGAGTGTATTCCCCCCCCCCACAATCAGACCGCACTCCTTCTCATTCCAGACACTTTAACTCACACAGGGAAAGCGATACTTGCAGTGTCCATGCCTTTCTTCCTTTCCCCCAGGGAGAAAGAGGATGTGGGGAACGGAAAGCTAGGAGAGCGATCGCAAGTGAGCGACCGGGCGACTGGGTTGGGGGCATGGCCAGCCAGGGGTTGCCACTGGTTCAGCAACCCACACCAAATAACCACTACCGGTTCGCCTGAGTAGGTGCGAACTGGTTGAATACCACCTCTGATTGCTACTGATAAATCTAAAACAACTGGGAATTTAATGTGGTTGGAGACAGTATTAGTAGTAATTTTTCCAGAGCTAACCTGCACAAATGCAATCACTGAAAAAGAAAACAAATGAAAACAAATTGGTTTTCTGCAAACTACCCACCCAGACTGCAGAGTTCCACTGCTAATTTGGAAATAAATATATACAGGCATGAAGCTCAAGGAGAGCACAAACATTTTGTTTTCTGTGTTTGACTCCAATACTTACTATCTCTGCAGTCAGTGCCTGCGTATCCTTCTGCACATTCACAAACATAACCTTGACTGCTTTCAAGACATGTGCCATCATTCTGGCATGGATTGGAGCTGCAGGCATTAGACATTCTAGGGCCACCTAAAAAACATCAGTGAAGTACTCATGAACGTACTCATTTCTGTAGCACAAAAAAGAATATTAGAACATCTTCTCAGTATCAAATACAGAATCTGGTCTTTATCTATAAAGCCCTACATGACATTTGGCCTGATTACTTTTGGGACACCTATCTCTCATAGTATCCACCCAACCAATCCTATCTCGCAGGGTTGATGTGCTTCATCTTCTTTCAATTAAACAATGCCATCTATCAGGACTGTTATACACCTTACATGGTTGTATTTTGTGAGATGGATGGCTATATAAATTAAATAAACAAATTTGATAACTAAATATAAACGCTCTGCTTCATCACCTGACTCCTTGAGATCCAGATAACCTCCACCCTGCTGGTATTTTGGACAATCTTGAAGACATTGCTCTTCACCTAGGCCTTTGGCAAGAGCGATTGGGGTTCCCTTCAAGGCAATGTGGGTTTGTTTGGTTGTTGCCTGGTTTCTGCCATATTTTCTTCTTTGTTTTTATTACTGTGCTATTTTATTGTTCTATATATATTTATCTGGGAACCATTCAGTAGGATTGTATAAAAAATTATTTAATTAAATACACTTCCTTCTCTTGATATTCTATAGGGAGGACACATGAGAGGTAAACACAGATGACTTTAGATAATCTAGCATCCCCAAAATGTAGGCTCTCAAGTTAAGAGGCAGTTCCTGTATGTCCAGTTTTACATATCAATACTTTTTACCACTGCATAGATATTAGGAGGACCTACATGCGTGTAAAAAGTCTGGTCACTTGTGGGCAATGCTTTACTAAGGATAAGATAATGGAATGGAAAGTTCTGCCCAAGAAGCTGATTCTACCTTCTTAACAGGGCCTACCTCAAATAATTTGGACAGAAGGCTAAAAATATCTGAAATTAATCTACTTTGATACCAATATTTCTTTTCACAAAGCTGATCAACAGAATGCAGATAAGTCCTTGACATGTAAGCGCAATTGTGACCAGAAAGGTCATAATTAAGCAGCATGGCCTTTGAGGCATCACATGATAGCGCCCAATTTTAAGACCTTTTTTTTGATATGATGGTTAAGTGAATCACCATGATTTGTGGCCCTCTCTGCCAGCTTTCCTATTTATTTTGTTTATTAGAAATAAGATGGGAAGGTTATTACAAACATGTGACTACAAGATGCTGCAACTATTGTACTATAAATGTGAGCTAGTTGCCAAACATTAAAGCATAATCATATGTTCATGTGGATGGTGCAATTGTTGTAACTTTGGGGATGGGTCATAAGTCATTTTTTGCTGTCATAACTTTGAACCATTGTTAAAAAGTGGTTGTTAAGTCAAGAACTACCTGTAATTGTTAAATGGATTTTGAGGTGTGATTTGTGAATCAATTGCCGCAATGATTTTTTAAATTATTGCTCTATTAATACAGAACTTCCTTGGATTCTACCTTTTTTAGTTGTGGTTGGCGGGGGGAAAAATAAGACCTTTTCAGATTTCTAATACTAATATTATTAAAGATTTTATAACAATAAAACTAATAAAAAGAAAAAAAATCAACAAAAAATAGAGAATATAGAAAGAAAAAATAAAAAATAAAAACAAAGTAAAAATAAATATAAAGAAGTGACTTCCCCTTTCATCACAAAGTAAACAATTTTAATAACTTCCTTTCTTCTCTTAAAATGCAACAGATGATCACTTTTCCATATATCCAAGCTTTATTCATAAAAAATACATTAAAAGCCATCATTTCAGTCCTAATGTCACCATATATCCATTAAGTCTTACCAGAGATAAAACATATCTATTTTAATCTTGATTAAATAAACCAATGTTATATTCTTTCCTTTTATATTTAATTAACCATCTTCTTCTTTAATCCCTTCAAAATGCCCTAGAACTTTCTTTTCATTTTTGTCCCTTCTCACAAAATTCTTTAAAGCTTTAACAAGCCTATTTTGTAAATACTATTTACTGTAAATGTATTTATCCAGATTACGCTCTTGTTATTTATATAACCCTTTTCATTATTACGGCATTAACTGGTTTCTTTTGCAACATTTTTTTTCCATGTCCTTCTTATAGCATATCATTTTTAATTCATTTTTAAATCAGTGTCAATCATGTCAGGTAATACTTGTTCCTCTTCCATAGCATCTTTTCAACACAGTCTATCTACAGAGGCAGATACTCTTAAAATTAACTTCTGAGTCCATTCTTCAAAAATAATCTTCAATATGCCCAATGTTAAAATAGTTCAAAGAGAGTTATGAACATCAGGAGTAAAATGCAATAAGCATACATAGGGAGACTCCTTCACAAAACACATACAGTAAAATGGCATTGAGCTCTTAAAATACTCGCTTTGTACTGGTAAGACTACTTCAAAGCTTCATTAAAAACTAGGAGCTTGGGGTAAGGGCAATGAATTGTTTTATGCAAGGTTTAAGTATGGTGACTAGTTCATTCTAAGCATGGATCCAAGCAAGTAGGTCTGGAGCGTGATTACTCATGCCGCTAATCACTTAATCCGAGTCATCTTGCCCCTCTGGTCAAAACAAGCTCCCTATCCTTGAGCTGTAACAGTTTAATGAATAAGTAGTAGCTGGATAGCAATAGCAATAGCACTTAGACTTATATATCACTTCACAGTGCTTTACAGCTCTCTCTAAGTGGTTTACAGAATCAGCCTCTTGCCCCCAATGATCTGGGTCTTCATCCTACCAACCTTGGAAGGATGGAAGGCTGAGTCCATCTTGAGCCAAAGAGACCCAAACTGCCAAACTACTGGTAGCCAGTGATCAGCAGAAGTAGCCTGCAGTAATGCATTCTAACCACTGTGCCACCATGGATGAGGAAACACAATTGCCATTTCCTAAAAGTAAACTAAAGAAGAAGCTGAACAATATGAATGTCAAACATTACCAGTCGCTGGATTAAAAAAATTATTGAAGACCATTCCACGTGATCAGGGTGTACAGGGGGTTGAACTACACATTTTTCCCTTTAGAGAAAACAGACAAATATACTCACCATATTGGCAATTGTTCCCATAGTAGCCTGGTGAGCATGTGCAGACATAGCGCCCTGGGCGAATATAGTTGCACATCTGCCGATTCCTGCAGTTCCTGCCCTCACAGATTGAAGGATCTAGAATGAAGAAGAAGGAGCCTCAGTATAGATCAATGAAGCTGAATAATTGAAGATAACACATACATTATGGCTCTAAGCCAAGGGCCTGAAAGTAGCAAAGAAAGAGAAAAAAAATAAAGATTAGCTTTGTAGGAAGAAGGATGCCATCACACAGTTATAAAATCAGGCACCTATTTCACAATGCTGTCCAGTAAAAGGTGTTGCACAGGAACAAGTATAGTTGTTGACAAGATCCATACATTGCCCACCATTCAGACATGGGCTCGACTCACATTCATTTATTTCTGCAGAGAAAAGAAAGAACAAAAATATTAAGTCTAAAATGAAGTTATAGTGTTCATTTTGTATAAAACTTATAGTGCTCAAGCACTATGAGATCTGTTATTCATAAATAGGGAATTAACTGATTAAATAAACAGAAATACTTATTAACATAGAACAGAAGCAAACAATGCAATTGCTATCAGATCAGCAAGAGATTAAACGGTGATTACATTAAATACACATGCTTATTTTTGGCTCACCTATTTCACAATCTTCTCCAGTATAACCTGGCTGACAAAGGCAGACAGCGGTTGTGTTTGTTATTTGGCATTCCCCACCATTCTGGCAGTCTTTGGTTTTACAGGGAGACTCCTCTATTATATTTCAACAACAACAACAACAAAAGGAAAATTAAATTATGACGTTATTTTTTTTCTCTGACAAAACCATACAGGGTATAGAATCTCTCAGCTTCTGAATTTGCACACAGTCCAGCTATTGAAGTTAGGATTGTTTCTTGTTTAATGGAAGAGAAGTAGGTTGTAATGAAAATTATAGGGAAGGAAAATGTGGGAAGTTTCATGATAGCCATACCCATCTGTCTTATCTGCAGCACATCATGCTTCATCTCTTTGATCATTCTAGCTGGGCATTCTGAGAAGTGTAATCCAACACCTCTAGAGATACCCTGTCAGTAAAGCGCATTCTTTCCTAAAATTAAAGTAACTGCCACAAACAAGTTCTGCTATGAGTTTGTCTTGGTTATGTGTCTATCTAATCTGCTTTCAAGCAAAACCTCAGGGCAGCTAAAAAAATGAAAGCACAATACAAAAAATTAAATGCTAAATACTGTTAATAGTAAAATCATAATCACATTTTCTCCTTAGATTTGTTATTGGCTTGTGTCTTTGCTCTTACACAATATTTCTCACCAATTTCACATGTAGCTCCTTTAAATCCTGGTGGACACCAACAGCTGAAGCTGTTGATGCCACTGATACAAGATGCTTTATTATGACATGGATTGGAAGCACACTCATCCACATCTGGAAGAGAAAATGAGAGGTGCTATGGATTAGGATTTACTCAGATACTTAATTCCTCTTCCCCCAGGGAGAAAAAAATAATCTTTAAGATCTATAGATTTAGATTATCTAAAATAAAACAAGTTGCTGTATAAGGTCTAATTTGTGCCTGAAATAGTACAGTTGCTCCATACAATTGTGCACCGCAGACAAGTAGGACTCACCAATTTGGCATTGTTTTCCAGTGAAACCAGCCAGACAAGAACAAGTGTATGAAGGGTTCCCTGTGATGCAGTCCTCAATACATTTTCCTCCATTCAAGCAAGGACGAAGTGTCAGACACACTGAAGCTGCATGAAGAAATAAACCCATTATTCAATAGCTGGAAGCATGCCCAGAGAGATGTTAGATGATGCTAAACAGGATTTTTTTTGGGTGGGAGAGGTTGTACTTGTGCCATTTCACCAATATGACCTACATTCTTGTCACTCTGAGGCAGATTAGTCAGTTGTGAGTAGGATCCCTGGATAATTCATGGCTCTCATATAAGGCAGGGGTGTCAACTCTGTTAGAGGCACCAAAATAATCCAGGTGATATAAGGTTTCCTGTTGGAGCCAGGGTTTGGACTAGATGATCTCCAAGATCCCTTCTTAACCCTGCTATTCTATGATTCTACGTGGCAACTGAGGTATTAGACTAATCTAAGTTCCTTAGTTCTTTTAGGTGATTTTCTGTAACAAACTTAGATCAACAATGTGCAGAAGTTCACATTTGTTTCAAAATCACACAATGTAATGTACTCATCATCCACATCTAAATTGGATTGAAATGTACAATAAATATATTACTTAAAAATAAGTTTAAATAAAGAAAGTTGGTTTTCTTTGCTTTAGTTGTCCATTGCCAATACTTTTATTGATCTATGTAGGAATTTTACAATCTTTTTGAAAATCTAATAACATTAATATCCTCAATAGATCAATATTCAGCCTTTTATTAAGTGAACTTTTAGTAATCCTATTTAATCATTTTTACAGAAAAATATTTTTGATCGATTCTATAATCTTCATGGCATCTCTTTGCCTTTTGTTATATTGTAATACTTTTATGACAATCCCAAGAGTTAAGAATTACATCAATAACAAAAAAATTCCCATTATTAAAGAATTTGCCAACATTATTAATATTTTAACAGAATTATGTGTTCAAGGAAATAAAACAGGCAGAGAAAACAGCTACTAAATCTCTAAAATTGTTACATTGGAAATCAGGGAGCGGGAGAAGAAAGAAGGAACAATAGCTTGGACAGATATGCAGAGATGCATATCTCAAAGATGAAGAGATAAATTTAAATTAAGAATAAAGAGTTAGAAGAGCAGTCATTTAACTCTAAGAAGCCAAAGATTGGGAAAATCTGAATACATGTTTTTATCTGGAAAACCATTCAGACCCTGCAAAACTGATGGGTCACAGATTGTGGGAAGTTTCAGTTTTTGAACAAATCCTCAGCATTACAGGAGAATAATATCTGGCATGATGGATAGCTTTTAGTGATGGTTTTAGCCAACCCCTGGGGGATATGGATATCACGTCCCATATGGATTTGCAAACATATCTACTAGTGACCTCAGAGCCTCACGCATTAAACATTTTGCAACTAAACCTGGGATAGAATCTAATGTATCCATTTGGATATTACACTGGGATCGCAACTTCCAGAATTCCAGCTATTAAGCTTGCAGAATAATCTGGGAACTGCAATCTTATCAGATTTGGGACATCAGATTGGAGAAAACTGGGATCAAGTCCTATCAGACATGATTGAATTAATTTAGAAAACATTATGGATTTATGCTTAATTTACAGTTTAAGAATCTTTGATCTTTTTCTAAGCCAACCACTTTGACACGTAAAAACTAATGAGAAGACTTGAGTTCCATCATGAACCTATGTAGATAATTGGGGGCCAATTTCTATCAGCCCAACAGAAGGGGAAAGCACCATAGATGCCATTTTCAGCTCATGGTTGAGATGAATGCCATGATATGAACTGTAACAAGCAGAGTATTAACTAAGAAGAAACTAGCTTTCCCTCATCTTCCAAATAATTCAGTGTTAAAATGAGGGAATCTAGGATTTACTTGAGAATACAGTAAAGATAATCGATGAAATCATCTCTATTTCAGGATCAACATCCTTTCATATAAAGACCTACTTTTTTCAGAGGTATTCTGTTAATCTCTTATTTTTACTTGTTTCATTATCAAGAAATAATTAAGTAGCTCTTAATCAGTCAGAAGAGATCTACAGCCACCAAGGGATTCAGTCTGAGTAGCACAGCCATATCCCCCAAATTTATACCTTGCACAGTTTCAGCATCCGTACATCCCATATCTTGCTAACCATATTTATTATACTGCATTAACATAACAACTCAGTGTTCAGAAGTTTATGTGCCACTCACAACTGTTCCTATTGCATGGCTGCCACCCTTCACAGAACTTTCACAGGGACAAAGAGAAGGGCTGGAAGAATTGGTTTCATTAAATAAACCTAACTGCTGTCCTCTTACTTGTGTTGTTGCAGCCCCCCACTTGCACCTGGGCATCATCGATTCTGAATACCCAGCGCCCGGGGATACCCACATTTGTCGTCATCTCCACGTCGACAATGTCATCAGTGCGGGATCCGGGGATGTTAAAATACCGTTTTCCATCACCAGCATTGAAACCTGCCTAGAAGACAAGGGCAGAGACTGAAACCTCTTGCTGGGGAAAGCAGGGCAGCTGCGGGGAAATGCAAGGGACTTCTCTCTTCCACCATGCCCAGTGCCCTGCAGAGGAATGGACTGCAAGAACATAAGGAAGGGAAGCATCCAATTTCCCTGAATATTGCTTTGTGTTTCTGCTTCCCATCTAAATAGCCACTATGTTGCATAGGAGGCCTTAGCAACCCTCACAACACAACTCCTCTGATCCCTCGGTGGAGATGATAGTTTGTTCTAGAAGTTTTCCTTTGACAAATTCCTTACAAGGAGAAATCTTGTAGTTCAGTGAAAAGTCACATGTTTTGTACATATGGAGCATCCTTTGACTCCACAGATTGGGCTGGGAAGGGCTTTGGTCTAGAATCTTGAAATGCTATTGCTAGTGTTAACAGAACTCAGCAAAAGGGACTAATGAGCTCACTTGACATATGGCAGTTTCACTTGTTCCTAGTTTATCTTCACTTTCTGGACTTCATAACATTCAATTCCCAGGGAATTTAATTCTGATGAAACATGTTGCCTGAACTTAGAGGTTCTTGGTCTTGTCAACGCCTAAACGGGAACCCCATGGAAACCCAGCATATATCAAGTTGACTCCACAGGGGAAAAAGGGGATGTGTGTGTAATAAATGCAGCAAGAATGTAGCTGTTTTCTTGTAAGCCAGGGGTCAGGACTCCCGGGATAAGAACTCTTGACTAGGCAATCATACAGTTGTCAGTTCATAAATGACTAAAACTGGTTCACAATTAGCAAACATAGTTGTGGGCCACCAACATCTGGAGGTTTACTTGCAAGTTTATGCTGAGGCAAAGCATTTCTTCTTCAGGACCATTTATTTGGACCCGTGTTCCAGCTGCTTCAGGACAAACCAGTAGAAAATAAGCAGCGTATATAGTCTAGAAGCCATCTCCTACTGTTTTGAATGTCATCTGTGATTAAAGACTTTGGCTACAACACATGATAACTGTCATCATTAAAAGGAAAAAGGGAGGTGGGAGGGGAAGAGGGAGTTCAGATGCTCTACTTATCCAACTCTTTTCCCAAATGGCTTTTGGCACCAAAAGGCCCCAGCAATCCCCACTCATCCATGACTCACTATCTGGAAAGTGCACAAAACACTGAGCTTATTTTCATCCCCATTCATCTATACAGGGTGAATCCAAGAGAATCTTGGACTCTCTTGCTGCTTTCCACAAAATGAGCACAGCTCTGTTAGCTCAAGCCAAGCAGCAGCCTCTGCCATGCTGAGCTGCGAGGTGCTTCTGCCGGGCCACTCTATCGTGTTGTGAATTACAGCAGCAAATTCTCACAAATTTGGTCAGAAGCCAGTGCCTGGTGAAAAACTTCAACTTCCTCTCTCTCCCGCCTTTGGCTGAGCCAGGGCAGGGTGTTCCTAAAGCACTGTACAGTACCCAAAGCATGTGGTTACTGCTCTGTTTACAATCATAAAAATCTACACTCCTGAATTTCTGGGGCTCAAAATAGATTAATTTCCTATACACCTGCAACTTCCTGCTTACTGGAGATAACTCAGATGACTGCCAGCAGCTGGCCAAGCATAGATCAATTAATGGTAAATCCACACATCCGAACAGCCACCGACTAAAAGAAGAAAGAAAAAAAAACATATAGAATGAAATATAAATGCCAAGAGAAAGTTGTAAGTTGCTGCAGTCATTGCTGGATGACTCTTTTTAAAAAGTTGGTGGCTAATGAAAGGAAGGAACTCAGAAGCACTGGCCAAAATAAAGAGCTACAGTTTCCTTCACTAAAGGTCCTATGTAGTCTTAGCTCTGAAGGGAAGGGAAAAATAAGATTATCATTTAAATTGAGGCTAAGGATTATCTTGGTCATGATGACAATATCAAGACAATAAACATCACCCTCAGCCATCTCCAAGAATGTTTGCTGTGTATTAGAAAGGAGATTTGCTTGAACGTGATCAGGTAATCTACCTGGGCTGCTATCCCTCCCAGGCCTGCTAAATTTCCTCCACTGCTGGCATGCATGCCAGTGGTCCAGGTTATTGATTCATAGTTGAAGATAGTGAAGGAAAGCAGGCCATCAGTGATGAGGGCTATCTGGAAAGTATTTACCTGCAAAGAAAAAAAACACATACAGAGTATTAAGGCAGTAGGCAACATCCAGAAAGTTGCAACATTGGTGAATACTAAAGTAAAACCTTCTCAAGGAGGTCTCAAACAATACTTATTGAGTCTTTCTGAGTCCTGAAGAACTGCTTGGCTGCAAGAGAGGCAGAGTGCTCTGAGGAGCACTGATTCATGGCAAGAATAGTAATAGCACTTTTATACCAATTCACAGTGCTTTACCAGCCCTCTCTAAGCGGTTTTACAGAGTCAGCATATTGCCCACAACAATCTGGGTCCTGATTTTACGGACCTCCAAAGGATGGAAGGCTGAGCCAACCAACCTTTGAACTTAATGAATTTTTTATTGTCTTGCTATATTGTGTGTCCTATCTTTTAAAATAGTTTTAATTTGTATTTTTTATTTCTTTCTTTTAACAATGCAATGAGTATTGTATTTTATTCTCTGATCTCTCATACTATAGGAAAGATAGAATGCAGATGTCTGAAATGAAGGAAGATGATTCTCAATCATCCAGGTTATGATTGTCCCATAAAGTGCTTTTGCAAAAAGCAACTGGACTTCCTTAGTTTTTCCCTGATAATGTTTCGCTTCTTGTCCCAGAAGCGTCTTCTGGGATGAGAAGCAAAATGTTTTCAAGGAAAAAAGCCAAGAAAACCCAGTTACCTTTTGGACAAGCACCTTTAGATCTGAAATGAATATTGCTCTGCTGATAAGCCAACAGTTTACTACAATTTCTGTTCTACCCAAGCTTAATCACAATGGGGCAGGGAGGAAGCTCTTTTTATTTTTATTACCTATCAATCAACATTCTGGTCCTGATACTTACTGGAGAAAACAAGTTTCCTCCAAAGAAGGTAACCTTGTTCCAAGTTGCTATGAATACCCACTGAGCTGAGAACTCTGGGAATTCTGGGAAATACTGTGCAATATCCTTAGTGGCTTTCTCCAAAATGGCTTGATCTGTGGTTTCCCGGTAATACACTTGTCCTGAATGCCGGTTATCAACATCAGCCCAGAATGCAGCAACAACACGTCGGTCATTGGAAATGGGGAAAGCCACGGGAGTGAATTGAGATACCTCTTTCAAGAAGGAGATGATTCCATTGTTGTTTACCTGGGCAGAAAAAAGAAGGCACATGTGGTAAAAAAATAAAATATACTCAGGTATGAGAGACTAGGAATAAAGCAAACTCCTTCGCCTTATTTGACCTTGCACCAGAAAGACAGCAGAAACCATGTAACAATCCAGAAAATACACCACAATATAAGTCTCAGTGCTTGTTATAGAAACCATACCTTGAAATTCTCTCAACTATTAAACCAAAAGAAAAAGTTACCGACAAATAGCCAGTGATCTGCTTCTGCTTTCAGATATTCCTCTAACCACACTCCCTGCTTGCCTCTTGCATAATAGGGTTGGAAAGCCATCACCCAAGGATCTAAGAAGGCATGCAGAACAAACCATACCCTGTTCTATTACCGGAGATGGGCCAAGGGAAGGAGGAACAGCTGAGAAAACTGCAGCAGCCACAGTGATTTAAACAAACAAGGTGAAGTTCATTTGGGCCAGTCTCACCTTCAAATGCACTCAAACTTTGCATTTCCTCCCATGATTTAAAGAGGCAGAAAAGTATATTTTGAAGGTGCTCAGAGACAAACTCCGTTTCTGAAGGCAGGTGAGGCTCTTCTCTCAAAGCAGCATTTGCCGGGGTGAACTAAAAGCAGACCCCTGAAATCAAGAGGCAAACCACCTCTCCCATGTAGAAGCAAACACTTTATGGCCAGAGATGATTTGTTCTGACACACTATTTCTTACTATTCTATACAGTTTCATCCTCTTGATACACATTGTAATAGCAAAAGCAGTTTCAGAAACAGAGAAAGACGTTTGAGCTATATTATGGCATTCTACCAATATCACACATAGGATTTCTATGTAAAGGAATTGAAATCTCTCATTCAGAAGTACACATATTCAAAAGTGCACATATAGACTGGGTAAAACCAGGCTCAATAGCAGTGACTGTGAGAGGGATCTTGGAGTCTTAGTGGACAACCAGCTAAATATGAGCCAGCAGTGTGCAGCCGCCACCAAAAAAGCTAATGCATTCCTAAGTTGCATTAACAGAGGGATACAGTCAAGATCAAGGGAAGTACTAATACCACTCTATAAAGCCTTAGTAAGACCACACCTAGAGTACTGCATCCAGTTTTCTGAGATTCTAGAAAAAGTACAGAGAAGAGCAACCAGGATGATTAGGGGACTGGAGGCTAAAACATACAATGAATGGTTGCAGGAACTGGGCTTGACTAGTCTAGTAAAGAGAAGGACCAGGGGAGACATGATAGCGTTCTTCCAATATTTGAGGGGCTGCCACAGGGAGGAAGGGGTCAAGCTATTTTCTAAAGCTCCAGTAGGCCAGACAAGGAATAATGGATGGAAACTGAACAAGGAGAGATTTAACCTGGAAACAAGGAGAAACTTTCTGACAGTGAGGATAATCAACCAATGGAACAGCTTGCCCTCGGAAGTTGTGGGAGCGCCATCAGTTGAGACTTTCAAGAAGAGATTGGACTGCCATTTGTCAGAAATGGTGTAGGGTATCCCACTTGGGCAGGGGGTTGGACTAGATGACCTAGAAGGTTCCTTCCAACTCTGATTATCTGTATCTAAAGACAAAAAATCATCATGAACCCTCAGTGGAAGATACAGTAGTGGAATGGATTGTAATCTGTTTTATGCCATTGTAAAAAGTCTACCAAATGCTATCTTTTTCCTTGAAAACATTCCTTACATGTACAGAAACAGCTTCATAGGGAATAGACTGAAATGCTATCTTACTTTCACACTGAAGTCTTCAGTCAGGCAGAGAGTTGCTGATATAAAGTAGTGTTCAGGTCTATAGAAGTTGAGTGGACAGTCTACACTACGTTATTTTCCAGTGTTCATAACCTGGGTCATATTGGATGGATTTTGCCCATGTTTTAATCCTCTGACTACCATGATTGAATTCTTCCAACAAAAGTGAAGCTTCTTGTTCTTTATCCCTTCTTTACTATGCAAAAATGAAGTAGGACATAAATAATCATTTTCTACCATCTAAGAACCTCGTGCCTTTTAAGAACATTTTTTGGAGGCCATATACACTGAAGTCAAACCTTGATTCTTTGGATCACCATTATGTAGACTTTGGTTACAACGGACAAAAAACCACTTTAGATTTTATTTCCAAACAATGGGCAAAGTTTATTGTGTTCAAAACAATGCAGGAAGCTGATATATTAAATGAGATTCAAATTAAACTACATAACTTGTCTAATTTATTTATTTATTAAACCAATTTATATTATAAACAGCCTGGATGGAAGCTATATGCTATATCAGGGATCCCCAAACTTGGCAACTTTAAGACTTGTGGACTTCACCTCCCAGAATTCTCCAGCCAGCATAGCTGGCTGGAAAAATCTGGGAGTTAAACTCTACAAGTCTTAAAGTTGCCAAGTTTGGAGACTTCTGTGCTATATCAATGACCATTGTGTCATTTGTATCAATCTGCATCATCTGGAAAACTGATATAAATGATGTCAAATATCAATTATAAAATTATACAAATAACATACATTTGGCTACCATGGAGATTCATACATAATACAAACCATTTCTCCACAAATGGTTCATTTAATTGAAGTTTAACTACATACCACACGGTCAACTTCCATGGAAGAAAGAGTGTCATGTAGGCAGGGAGATGTATGTATACACAAACTTAAAAGTCCAACCACAGAGTAACATAAGTAGAACATTTTTCATCTAGCAGCACTAGATAAGATTCTGTGTTGTTAGACTTCTAAGCCTGTTGGAGCTGCTGGCAGCTTGTCTCTGTTTTGTGTAACTTTGGGTAATAGTTAATACATCTACATGAAATGCTGGTTAAGTAGGGATGAAAAAATAAAGCCAAAGATTGCCTATGTCAGTCTAAAGTCATCTCCCTAATGCATCACTCTTAGCTTTAATAGCATTTAGATGTCAAATACCCACCGCAGTACAATTTACAATATTACTAGTTTGGTTTTACTTTGGGTACTGTCTCATATATGGCTGTTTTAGTTAAAGATGTGGTAATTCAAGAATACCATGGTATAAATTTCTTGTTCATCTAATCAATGAAGACTCATTAACAATTACAATGATATTTGTGTGGGGTAAAGGCAAGGTGTTATTCAGTGTACACCGATGTTTTACATTCTCTCATTTTGCTAATGTTACCTTTATAGGATAAAGCAGCTCAAATTAGGCCATTGCACCACCAGGAAGCCCCCTCTGACTCAGTGCCTCTTTCATGTTTAGTGTGTACACAAAGATCAGTCAATTCTCTGGAATTAGAAGAAACCTCAAAACCTCTGAACTCTAGCCTGTGCATCAAATAGCAGGAAAAAATTCTGCTGGGGAAAGAAGCTGAGCCTGTGTGCATAGAAAGAATGTGGTCTGAGATGCAGGTGTGACATTTGTTGGGGGTGGAGGCTGTTTCACTCTGGTAAGCAAACTCAGAAGTCAAAAAATGTTTTGTATGCTCTGCAAAGTGACCAGTCATGTGCTTGCAATCTCAGTAAAACCTGAGAATAGCATCACTGTGAGGTTGAACAGGGCAAAGTAGCAATAGCAACAGCACTTAGACTTATCTATTGCTTTCACAGTGCTTTACAGCCTTCTCTAAGTGGTTTACAGAGTCTGCATATTGCACCCAACAATCTGGGTCCTCATTTTACCCATCTTGGAAGGATGGAAGGCAGAGTCAACCTTGAGCCTGGTGAGATTTGAACTGCTAAATTGCAGGCAGCTGGCAATCAGCAGAAGTAGCCTGCAGTACTGTACACTAACCACTGTGCTACCACAGTAAGGTAGGATCCCATGCCTATGTAGATGTAAAACTGTTAAAGGGCACAGATTAACCAGGCAATATTAGGAGTGTGCACCTTCTACTTTGGAAGATATAGGATTGAAATAGGGAACTCATGTAACTAACAGAACTCATCAGAATCAGTTGCAGCCTTCACACAATCGCCTATTAGCACTGACACTTTCATATGTGTTCAGGGACAGGAGCTCTTAGAATTACTTGAAACACTGTTAAAGAGCCTCTTGGTTGGGAATCTCAGACCTTAGCAAGGCAGTAGACTGAGGAAAAGCGGGGTGCAATAATGAGTTTTGAAGCAAGACAATTGTTTTTTTAGCCACTGCATAGATTTGCGAATATCACATTTATTTGAGATAAAATAAATGATGCACTTATTAAAGGTAGTGCTTGCCATCTGCTGTATTTTTAATTACTTTAAAACATTAAACATACTGCCTAATTAATTAGATACAATCTTTATTTTAAATAATTGGGCTTTTAAAGATCAAACTGTTACTCTAATTGATTAGAGTATGTGACAAATTTGCATATTGTAGGGTTGGTTTTGAATGTGGCATCAGCTAGGACTCCAGGGCAGTAGTGGAGATATGGCTATTGTCATCAGGGAATCCCTTACGGCTTTCAAGGATGCTGATAGTGAGACCCTGTTAATTAAACTGGGCTCTAGGGATCAGTTAGGATTATGGCTGTTGTTACCAACCCTCCATACTGTATAACAAATTTCCTGACTAATCTTGACCTCATTTCTGAGTTGGCACTGGAGTTCTCCATGTTTATAGTCTGGGAGGCTTTAATCTGCTGTTCCGTAGGCATGGGAGTTCATGGCTTTCATGAAAACCATGGGTCTATTCAGGTCATCCAGAACCCAACTTGGTACAGCAGTTACCTGCCAAGTTAGCTCTTCCTGTCAGAGAAGTGGATTGGTCTGCCTCGGGTGACTGATGGACCGGGGGGAGGGGGAGTTTCAAAGGAAATTGGGGTGGGGGTGGGTTGTCCCTGTGATCTGCTGCATAGTCTATTTGAGGCCTTGGTTACTAGTTGGAATTAGTGGGTAGCTGAGGGCTTGGATCAGATCATCTCTGTGTACCCTCTCCCCTCTCATGGATCCAGCCACTCTCTGTGATTTATGGAGAAATTGAGCAAATTGAAAACAGAGGTGTCTAGAACACTGCTGACACTGAACAAAGAACAAACTCAA